TTGGTGAGAAGAGACGGCAGAAACACAAAGCAGATGCAGAGTCTGATGCCTTGATTTTTGCCTGATGCTTTTACGCTTACCACTCCTTTCTTTTTACCCTCTTAGATGAGTCGTCAGAGCTTCAAACCCAGATCTGTAACGGTTTCAAATCATTAGTAGTTCAGCTTCAAGGTGAGTTAGCAGCTGGATTTCTAAACCTCTAGCACAGTAAACTGCAGATGTTTATTCTGTTGTGCTTCATGTTTCCCTCTTTCTGTCACAGAAATACTAAATAAATGCAATGGGGATTTATTGGAAATGAAAGAGGGTAAATTAAAAACCTGGCCCTCCTTATTAGAAAACCTAATCTTCTTTGTTGAGGTGAGACATCTCTGCTTCTGCTCATAGACGCACAGTTTCCTACCTATACTGGATCTGATATGTTGAAGGTGTAACATGTTAATGTTATTCTGCACAGACGGTGTGCATAGTCTTTTGGATGGCTAGTCACTGTGCCAAGATCCTCCGACCACTCAAGACTAGTCTACAGAAGAAGAAAAAGAAGAAAAAGGATTCAAACACAGCTCTGGTACAGTTTTAATCCTTGTATTATATCTCCATGTATACGTGGGGCTCATATATTAGGAACACAGTATTCTGTAGTTCACTCGCTGACCTGATAAGTAATATTTAGTAGTAACTCTCCACTGATGATTTGTGTCTCTTGCAGCCAGCGGTGGTGTGTGGGTTCCAGGAGCTGACAGGGAGCTTGCAGGACCTGCTTACCCAGGCTTTGGAGCATATAAAGGGGCAGGAGTCTGGCATCACAGCCCTTAAACTGGCCAGTTTAACCTTGGAAGAATACCCACAGGTTAGTGTGCCGGTTCCTTTTGCCACATCTACATTCATTTATAGAAAAAACTTCAACAACAAAAAGATGCTCCATGCTTCATATATACTCACAAGCCTTGCAAAGTGAAGCTTCTCTCATAAATGTGTTTAAATATCAGAGAATATTCAAGTTTTTTTTACTTGTAAAGTAATCTTTGTCTTGCATTATTACCCCTACCCGCTGGCTCCTTTATTACAATGGACCTTATGTGCAGTTGTACCTTTTTACATCTTTATTATATTACCCATAAAAAAGAGCCCATATAATAGATTTAGAGAGATTTGAACTACTATAAGAACACTGGGAAGATAATTAGGCTACACATTTACTCCATGTGATGCCAACAAGCCTCGCTGGCTTTGTCGTCCGCCACGATATTAGATTTAGCCGTCAACTTGTCTTTACATTCATAATTTCCTTACACTACCGATGTGCATTCCTCCTGGAGAAATACAGAGCATGTTCAGTTGCGAAAAAACTCCGCCTGCACGGCCGAACGCGCACCTCCTCCAATTAAGTTAACACGGACTCAACTAACCAACATCTTATCCGTCGTTGTACTGTTGAACTCCAGTGTAGGCAGTCAGAGTTTGTTAATCCTGAGTTTGCCTGATAACCCTGAGTTAACTCTGAGTAGGATGAACTCCCTTCGAAGTACAGGCCACTGGCTTGTAAAACAAAATCTAAAGTGGAACCAACATGCAATTCTTTCTAATTCGTTGAAACACAACCCATGTAGCCTGTCCTAAAATACATTGCGGCGAGAACATTTCTACAGGTGAAATCAGGTTGGCGGCAGCAGATGGACAGTGAATTTTTTTCCCCCTATGTTATGATAGTAGTTTGAATTTTGAATAAAAAGTGATGGCGAGTAAAAACTGTTCTGCTCTTCTGTCTTCAATGGAACAAACAGCAAGAATTATTATGTTACATCGTGCATAGTTGCTGTGTTCTGAGATCCCGTCTGTATTTTCTGTGTATGTGTTTCAGGAGGAAGCATCATATATGAAGGCTGCTATGGACAAGGTGCAGAGCAGTTACCTGCGCTCACTACAGGAGGTGGGAGACCTGCTCAAGAAGAGAGCAGAAACTATAAAGAACCTCAAGATCTGAACACCATCACACACACCCAAATAAAGACGACTCATACCCCCACCATCACCCCCCAAATGCCCGATACCCCCACCGTCTGTCAGTCTGCGAGCCAACCTACGAGTCCTACTTTGCTTGCTGGTCCGACAAACCCCGACTCCACCCGCCCGAACACACAGACGCCGCTGACCTCCTTCCTCCTTTTCTTGCATATTTCTCACAGAGCGTTTGTGAGCTCTCGATCTGCATTCATGTTTTTCTTTTTTTTTTCTTTCACTTCAACACACACACCTCTGGGACATTTGCAACTCTTAATAGCACACAAGCTTGTAAGTAAACTCATGAATTTATACAGCAGTTATGAGTGAAAATGAGGAAGAAAAAAAGACGTGTTCCTTTTTTTTAAAGAAATGGAAATAGAGCAAAATTAGGGGAAATGATTAAGCAGTTTTAGATGAACGAATCTAATAAATTATTGTACATAGCAAAGATCAACTACCACAGCTCCTTGACTGACTAAATGAGAATATAAGACACAATAAACCACTATTCAGTTTGTTTGTCAGTTATGTTTCCTCTTTATTCTTCACTTTGCTTCTTCTGAGTCACCAGAAGACAAAGTCACACATACAGGGACTGTTAACACTAAGGAGGAAAGTTCTTAACAATGTGCTGCTTTTCCAGCTGTTTCTCTCCATCAAGAGCAAACAGGCACAATTTTGCATTGAACTTATTCACTGTATGGAAATATGGACACGGTGGCTACCTGCAGAAGGCCTTCAGACTGAAGTTTCCCATTCAAGAATTCTTTTTCTTTTTCTTCTTTGTGTAGCTCGTGTGTCGCTTTGGTACTGAAAGTGGAACCACCTCTGTAGTTGCAGTGTTATAAAGAGCAGTGGTGAGATGAGTTAAATAACCAGGACATGTTTTTTAAGAAAAATCTGAATTGTCTGCCACTATTGTTTGTCCTTTTTTTTTTTTTTTTTTTTTTTTTTTTTTTTTTTTTTAAATATATAAATATAAAAATACTTGTAGAAGTGGTGCTTGTAAACATGTCTGTTGTGGAATCGGGGTTTCTTAGCACAAAGACAAATCAGACACAGGATCAAATAATCAGAATCCTTTTTAAGACTGAACTGATTAATAATAATAATTTAAGAGACCATGAGCAAATATATTAATTAGTGTTCATCAAAACTGTTTTCTATTTGTCATCCACACCTTCCTTCTTGACTACAGACATGGAAAGTCTTTGTAGCAGCGTGAAAATGCCACTTGATTTTAATTAAGAGAACAATTACAATGACTTTTCATGGAGTGACAAAGAGTCAGTCTAGACCAGAACAATAAGAGGGTTTTGTTCACTTTGACCCAGATCTAATTGTACAGGCAGTTATTTTGAGCCAAGATGCAGCTCTGTAGAATATTAGCTGTCATAAACAGGTCAAACCCAGGCAGGTGTGTTCCACAGACAAACATTGGACCTAATTGTAAATAAAAGTTTGAGGCCGCCTTTTCAAAGTACAGTGTGCGAGGACATTAGTGTGTTTTAAGAGCAGCTGCAGTAGAGACTATGAGATTATGTCCTGTGTTCATGTTTTTTTTTGTCATTCCCACTTACTTAAGACACCTCCACCCCAAAACGTCTCGTGAACCAAAACAATTTGGTCAGCATCTTCTCAGTTTGTAAAAAAAAAAAAAAAAAAAAAATGTTATAAATAACTAATGAGAAATTAACCGGAGATTAAAGCAGGCCGTGACATAGTTTACAAACAGCACAGAAGAGCACTGATGGACGGCTGCTGGCACCGCAGGTAGTTGCATTTTTGTTTAACTATTTTATTAAGAATTTGGCAGAGCAATGTGAAAATGTGAGGACACAGTGACTCCCCCCACCCCCACCCCTTCATGTTAGTCTTGTATATGCATACAATCACATCTGCTAATGAATGCCTTCTTTTTTTTTTGAAGACTCACTCCGAAGATGTTTGTAATCTGACTACGTGTGTTGTTGAGGTTCAGAATGATGGTTGACAATCTGGAGCGTCATCTCACCACCTTCTTTTGTTAGAAAATGGAAAACAGAAACACTGGAATGTCAAAAGCTTTTTTAAATAAAAAAAATAAGTAAATGTGAGATTTTTTGTTGTTAAATTTCTTGAACTCTTTATTAAATCTCTCCAACCTGAACAAATCACATTTTCAGCTGTTGATAGACTCCCAGGTATATAGGAGCCAAGAAAGGCTGCAATAATTTGAATTTTGTTGAAATGTGACATTGATGGCCAAATTTTGACATTACTGAACACTTAAAGAGCAACTTGGAGGTTGAATGTTTTTACTAAATGTATACCTAACCAAAAATATGATCCAAAAATAACCGATTGACTTTGAGAAACTTGAATATAATCCTATTAATTCTGGACAATTAATTTTATATTTGAATTTGTGAGAGAAAAAGTCAATCTTACTTTCAGTGTTTTCAACCAGTCAATACTTTCAGTATCAACTGTTAAGCCAACGTGGATGAGAAGTCTTTAAAATATAAGATCTACAATTTCATTACAAATATTAGCTGAGATGAATCATACGATGCGATTGAAAGCTCCAGAACAGCTACTTAATGGACCTTGTGGGAGATTGTTTTGCTAAGTTTTAGAAATGTCATGACTTGAACATATCTACTGGAAATTTAAATGAATTCAACCCACATAAACTCACAGGTGCGTTTCAAAGTAGAATATTTCAGTGCCATAAATTCTATGTTTTGTAAATTCCACAATGAAGTACTCAAAAAGTTTCACATCCTCCTTTCTTACTTATAATAATTGTATGATACTTTATACAATATACATACTTTCCAACAAGAAAATACAAGTTTGTTTGTTCCAAGTTTAAATGACTCGACCAGTTATTAACTTTTGTACTCTAATTTAAATGTGAAACCAATGAAGTGTTTGAGGCGGTTTTAAATCCTGATGGCTGCAGTACACAGTTGGTCCCTGTCGGTGGCAGCAGCGCACCGCGCGTTCGTTTTGTACACGAAGAAGAAGAAGAAGAAGCAACATGCTAGAAACAGCTGTGATACAGCTACAGTGTGTTAGCCAGCTATCAAAACACAAATGTTTGTGTTTATGATAACAAACTGATGGTCCTGAACTGTATTAGCTTTGGCAGCTTTAACAGAGAGTTGTATTTAGCCTTTAGCCGAGTAGCTTGCAAGTCATCTTGTTAGCTAGCTGGACGTGTAGCTAGCCGGCTAAGTAACTAGCTAGCTGTCACCGGGTTGTTTTTGTTCTTTGTAAAAGTAAGACGTTTCTTTTTAACACATGAGTGTGTCTCTGGTCGTTATCCGATTGGAGTTAGCCGATCAGTCTCCTTATCCACAAGGTTTCCAGTACTCTGCCGGTGAGTTATGTTTCTCATAACGTTAAAGTCACTGCTTTTTTTTGTTTTGTTTAGTTAGCCATGAAGCTAACTTAACCAGCAGTGACATTAAGTTTTTTTTTATTATACATTTATTTCACCAGGCGAGTTCATTAAGAGCAGTGTCTTATTTACAATAACGGCCTGGCAAGAGACAAAGGCATCCTGTAGGGAATGGGCACTGGGATTAAATAAAATAACATAAACAACAGACAGAAGATGAAGGACAACAACAACAACAACAACACAGTCCCAACAACAAACCTGGCACAAAGAAAGCAAATGAAAGAAAAACTAAACACGGACAACAAGAAACAGACTACGACATACGACAATCTACAGAGAGTAGACGATACAACAAATGGCACACTAGTTAGTTATTAAGTGAGGGCGCACGACGATTTTTTTTGTGTGTGTGTTTTTATTGATTTAACTAAACTCCAGCTGGAATACTGCAGCTCATGTCCGCGATGTTGAGATACTCGGTGGCGCAGTTCATTATAGTTGACTGTTTCTCTTCAGTTGAAGGCATGTCAGATGAGGAACTGCAGGAGAAAGCTCTGGGTGTAGCCAAACACTCTCTGAGTGGAAAGACGGAGCTGGAAAGAGCAGCTGTACTGCACCAACACATCGGCAGCAGAGCCATGGGGGACATGGTTATAGAAACCTTTGAGCCCAGCCCAGGTGAGCACGTGCATGCTGCAGAATGCACTAAAACCAACAAACTGGAAAGGAACAATTACTGAGCTTTAAGTATATTTTCGTGACCTGTTTTATAAGGAAGTTTAAAAAGTGTTGGGAGGCTGACTTCTTCAACATTTTTGTTTTTGGTCTCTTTATGAGAGACAGAATATTGTGGGACGCACAATAACAAAAATTTTATCTAGCCTGGCAGTTCATTTTTAATTTCCAACGGGTGCAACCAGTCAGAGCAACAAAACATGTGACGCAGCATAGTTGGTAAATGAAACTTAGTACATCTTGTCTGGAGTGCAGCGAACACGTCTTTCTTATTAACAGAAGCTTTAAGCGCAGTTATTTATTTGTTATTTGGAAATATACAGTCCAGTTGGTTAAATACTTACATGATAATGGATTCAACAGAAGCAGTTTACACTCCTCTACACCGTCTTCGTATCCAACTTTAGATAAACGGTTGTGATTGGCCCTATCTGATCCAAGAAAGGTGAAAATCTGTCAGGAATGGGGCAGACGTCTCTGCCAGAGCAAACAAAACATCAGCTTGCAGATTTATTTATTTATTCATAGCTCACCTGGTAAGCATGTACCACGTATCAAGCCTATCCATACCACAGCAACCTGGGTTCAAGTCCGACCCAGATCCTTTGTTGCAAGTCATCCCCACTCTCTCCAGCCTTTCCTGTTTCTCTACTGTCAAATAAAGTGTAAACACCAGATTCCAGAGATTTAAAACCACAGAATTTTCCCTTTTAAGATAAAGGAGGAGGTGAAGAGTCCGATGGTTCAGCAGAGCAGAACCGTGAACCTCCGTCTGCTCAGCCTGAAGCAGACAGTCAGGAGGTCACAGAGGGTACGCAGGACGGCAGTGAAGCGACAGCCGCTGCTCCCGACTCCCCGTCCAAGCAGCTGCCGGACCAGATCTCCTTCTTCAGTGGGAACCCCTCAGTGGAGATCATCCACGGTATCATGCACCTCTACAAGACCAAGTGAGTCACATCTGACATGTTTATTCATTGCTTCAGAGGTTATGTTGGGGTTTCTGCTACAAACCACATCCCAATAATAGTTTTTATAACCATATATGTATGTTTTAGTTTAGACAATGTTGCCTGTTGATTTACCTTCTTATTAGTCTGTAGTTCAATATATTTTGCCTTGTGGCTGCTGGATGTGTAATCAGCATATTCTGTGTGTACCACAAAAAATTACTGCAGACCAGTAAAGTGCCTACAGGTTGAGGTTAGTGCCTAGAGCTTTGTGGTCTACCTCACTCTCCATCTCTCCCTCACCCTGCTGCTTTAAGTTCAGCAAGAGGAAACAGTTTGTATATGAAAGGAATAGGCTGACTCAGCTAAAGGGGTGTAGCGTGTAAACCAAATGCAACTGAAATTTAGAGACTAAAAGCTTTAAAATACAACTTACTTACCTGTTACGGTGTAACTTTGATCTCTGCCTGACTTTGGTGGTGAGAAGTGTTAGAGACAGCGACAACATGGGATGTGTATTCTTTGTCTTGTGCAGCAAAATGACTTCACTGACTGAAGACGTAAGACGCAGCGCTATGGTGTGCATCCTCACCGTCCCGGCGACCATGACCAGCCATGACCTCATGAAGCTTCTGGCACCATTTAACGATGTCATGGAGCATATGAAGATCATACGGGACTCTACCCCGAACCAGTACATGGTTCTCATTAAGTTCTGTAAACAGGTAAGACCCTGCGTGATCATAATAGGAGGTTTTAACCTGCGCAAGTGAAGTTTGCAGGAGTTTACTGTACGTTTTCTGATACCCCTCTGTCTGTTTGTTAGATTTGAATGAACATTAGTGCCTATCTTTGCCTGACGATCAGTTAATTTTATTACACTTTTATTACACGTGTCAGGCGACTTTAAGTATTGTACTGTGTTCGTGTTCTGGAGGGAAGTTCAAGCCCCCCGGACTTCCCACTTGGCTGCATAATAGCATTACATTCATGGGCTATTTTCTCTGACACAAGACAAGCAAACTGTTGGTTTGCAGCTTTAGACTTTGGAGTGGTTTCTGACTTGAGGCACTATCTGATTTAACGCTGCTTGTTTCTTCTCCGTCTTTGTTCAGGCAGACGCAGACAGCTTTTACACAGCGTGTAATGGCCGCCAGTTCAACTCTATAGAGGACGCAGTGTGCCAGCTGGTCTATGTGGAGCGGGCAGAAGTTATAAAGTCTGACGAGGTAAATATACACATTTTGAGGCATTTCTTTAATCACTCACTATTCTTAAAGTGTACCTGTTTACTAGAGCTGGTATCATTAGCTGATTAAATGGTTAGTCAGTTGCCAGAAAAATTGCCAGGATCTATTTTGATAATCCCTTGAGCTTTTTTTTTTCAAGCAGATGTGATGGGTTTGTGGGACAAAACAGACAAAAGACATTTAAAGATGCCACCTTGGACTCTGGGGAACTGATGGACTTTTTTTTTTTTACTGTCTTATGAAATTTTACAGAGCAAACAACAAATCGATTAATTTTGAAAGTAATTGTCTGCATAATTGATAATGAAAACAAATGTTAGTTGCTGCCTGATTTGCAATTAGAGTATATTGTACGGTGGTACAGTCATGTTATATGATGGCTGTTGTAAACAAGAGGGAACCTCTGGGTTTGAAAAGTGAAGCCAAGGCTGAAGTGCCTTAAACCTGCATTCTTTCTAACGGCCAGCTGGGGGCGACTTCACAAAAGAAGTCAGATTTTATAGAACTCCTATGAAAAAATTACCCTACTTCTCACCAGATTCATTACCTCAGTTAACTCTTCCCTAATGAGTTAAAGGTCTCAGTCGATAGTTTCGAGTCTTCTTCAACACAGCATGATGTTCATTAAGTAAATTATGGTCCCATTTGGAGGAAAATAGATGAAAAAGCAGTGGGTGCTTTAGGGCGGGGCTACCTTGTGAATGACAAGTCGCTTCCAAGGTGACCCTGTCAGGCATAGCAACGTGTATCCCTCCCAACTCCACCTTCTTGTCCAATATGGTCACTTCTGGTTCCAAAAAAGCAAGATGGCGACGGACAAAAATGCCAAACTCTTTAGAACGGTAGTCCACAAAGCAACCGGTGGCGTCACGGGGGCTACATCCACTTCTTTTATATATTCTATGATTGCAACCTTACACTGTTGCAGTACATAGTTTCCTTTCTCCGATCTCCTCCCATCTGTCTCCCTCTCTTTCCTCCCCTCCCTCCCCTCTCCTCAGGGAGCCAGTCTGCCGGTGATGGAGCTGACCGAGCTGCCAAAGTGCACTGTGTGCCTGGAGAGGATGGACGAGTCAGTCAACGGCATCCTCACTACTCTCTGCAACCACAGCTTTCACAGCCAGTGTCTCCAGCGGTGGGAAGATGCCTCGTGAGTTGTTCAGACACATAAACGCACATTACCATGCTGTCTTGTGTTTCCCACATCATGTTACCTTTTGCCTTGTGTAAAATCTCCAGCTCTTCCACTCCCAGTCATTTACAGTACTTGGTATTTGCTCTCACGGGTTACTTTTGGCAGAAATATGTGAAAAACATTAGTTAAATTTGTGTTTTTTCAATCTATATTTTTAAAGACAAGCTTATTTCTGACCTATTTTCTCCCAGGAAATCTATTCCGTCGGTCTGCTTTGGGTTTACCTTTGTCCGTAACACTCCTACAGTGTATATGCAACAGTTTAGAGATGTACTTTAAATACAGGACTGATCTACAACCTTAGAGATAAAGGAACTCACTAATGGCGGAGTCACGTGCTCTCTCACCTGACTCTTTCTCCGCTGGTTATTTCTCCGGGCTTCATGTCATGTGGTGTTTGTGTTTTGTCCTCCCCTTTACATGTATTCTTTTGTTTTTACAAAGGACCACTGCACACACGTGTGACAATAGCTGAATGTGTGCTCTGTTTCCAGGTGTCCTGTATGTAGATACTGTCAAACACCAGAACCAGTTGAAGAGAACAAGTGCTTTGAATGCGGCGTACAGGAGGTAACTGATATCACTCTTATTTAATTCACTTATGGTTTTGTTTTAAATTGAACCTTTTCTCACCCTGTGTTGCTCTGTTTCCTGTAGAATCTGTGGATTTGTTTGATATGCGGGCACATCGGTTGCGGTCGCTACGTTAGCCGGCATGCCTACAAGCACTTTGAGGAAACACAGCATACTTACGCCATGCAGCTCACCAACCACCGTGTCTGGGACTACGCAGGAGGTACTGAATTTGTGCTAGTTGAGGATGGTAATTGTACATTGCCACATGTAATCTTTGAGACCAAGAATTTATGGCTGTTAAAAGCTGATTTTAATAAGATTTGGTCACTAGAGGGCAGAAGAATACCTAAACAAGTTTAGAGGCAGCTCCGTTAATCATAACTTAGTGTAGCACCTCAAGCAGACACAAAGCATTCATTCAGAACTGTTGGCAGAACAATCCCACCACGTGGTCCATTCAGAAGCCTTCTGGAGCTTTCAGTCATATCACATGATGCTCAGCAGCAGCAGGTGGAGTCGCCCAGGTGTCATGAAAGTGGTAGATGTTTAAGTTTCTTTTCCTCTGAGCTCTTTAAGGACTTGTCGTTCATGTTGGCTTATAAATTGAGGTTAATAGTTAATTCTTGAGCAGTTGTTGGAGGTTGAAGTCGTGTTTCTGGCCTCCTTGATGAATGTAAGTCCAGTTTTCACTCTCCTTATAACTCTGTCTGTTGTTTCTTTAGCTGCTAAATGTTCCACTTTGTTCACCAGCTAGCCTCTATGTTTGTCTGTCTGCTGTTTGGTGCTGGGCAGGTAGCGTACAGCGGGTTTATTAGAACCTTTATGCTGAGAACAGCTTTTTGCTGCTGCTAGAAATGAGGACAAGAGCACAGAGAGTGAGCTGGGCTACATGTGCCATAAAACCAAAACACTGAGCTAAAGGAGGATTAAAAATCTGCAGAGGTTGAGGGGATAATTATTAGTGTGTGATCCCCTTCACGTCACATGTAGCCAAATGAAATGAGAAATCGCCAGCTTGGATCCAGTGTAGGGCTTCAACCAACAATAACTTTCATTTTCTTCTGCCAATTATTTTCTTGGTTATCAATTATTGGACCATAATAAATTCCCAGAGCCAAATGTGATGTGTTGAGATTGCTTGGCATTTCTGACAAACAGTCCAAAGCCGAAAGATATTCAGTTAACAATCATATAAAACAGAGAAAAGCAGCAAAACCGAGGAGATGGAATCACAGATTTCCTGTCAATTGACTGATTACTTGATTTTTCTGGTCTTATCCAGCGGACCCACAACAAAATTATGTTTTTGTTTACTCTCTAACTGACCAGCTCATGGTGATCTGTGTGGTTATAGATAACTACGTGCATCGGCTGGTGGCCAGTAAGTCCGACGGGAAGATGGTGCAGTATGAGTGCGAGGGTCAGGGAGACATCTGCCACGCTGAGAAAATTGATGCACTTCAACTAGAGGTAAGCATTTCCTTTTTTTTTAGTTGCTGTGTTGGCTAAATCATCACAGAAATGTTGTAATTAATTCCCCATGTCTGCAGTACTCGTACCTGCTGACGAGTCAACTGGAGTCTCAAAGAGTTTACTGGGAGAACAAGATCGTTCATCTGGAGAAGGAGACAGCCGAGGAGGTACTGAGTGCTACATATTTTATTTTATTTTTTTGCTGATATCAGAATTTTCTTTCCTAATCATCCCTTGTGTCTTAACTTCACATTTTTCAGATAAACAACATGAAGACTAAATTTAAAGAGACCCTGGAGCGCTGCGACAACCTGGAGCGACGGTTTGGAGAATTGAGCAAAGAGAAGCAGGGCATAGAGAAAAAGTAGGTGAATCCGTTTCTTTCACTGAACTCCATTACACATTTTGTGTTTGTGGGCTCATCAGTGTCTCTGCAGTTATTTCATGGCCCTTTTTTCTTTGTGTGGTGTTTCATTGTTTTTAAAAGTGGTTTCCGCCTCCCATTCTTTAAATAGTGTTACTTCCACTGATAACATATTTTAGTGTCTCTGCACACACCATAGTATTCAGGATGTAAACACACCCTTAAGGTACTTTACCCTGGAAATGTTAACAGGTTTTGGTTCTTGAAAAACCAGCTCTGGTATTTAACCCTGTTACAGAATACTGCATGCTTTTTGAACCACTAGTGATTTTGTTATTGGGGCAGTGAAGCAGAAGTGGAATATAATTACCCAATTTAAGATAGAGTCAATGTGATTTAACTCGTATTATACAGTATTTGTATTACAGTGAACTGGTTCTGGTCACAAGTACAGCGAAAGACCTATGTTTCCCCCTCTGGTATGTCAAAAAAGGAAAAGCACAGATTTAATTAATAACACTAATTAGGTCGGTAAGTTCCAGGGCTTTGGTTTTATCCATGCTGCCTCACTCTGTTAACATTAAATCGTCTGTATGGTAAATGCTCTGTATTTTGTACAGCACCTTTCTAGTCTTTGTGACCACTCAAAGCGCTTTACAGCACGTCACATTCACACACTGATGGCAGAGGCTAAGGTGCCACTTACACATCAGAATAGAAATAACATTCATTCACGTTCACAATTTGGGGTTCAGTGTCTTGCCCAAAGACACTTCAACATGCAGATTGTGGAAGCCGGATCGCAAACCGCTGACCTTCTGGTTAGTGGACGACCGCTCTGACCCCTTTAGCCGCGGTCGAAATTGCCGGTAAAATGGTTTTAATTAAAGGAAAACGGTTTATTTATGACAACGTGACTTCTATAGCAGAGTTCCCACGCGTTCTGGAAAACCGTCGACTAATTTTTACAGTCATGGAAAACGCATGGAAAGTGAGGGAGCGTTGTGAACACACCCGGATCACGTCACATGGTAACACAGTTTGGATGACCTTTTAGCTTGATTTGCCTGCAAAGGCCAAAGGTTTGTGTTTCAACTCTGGCTAGGAGCGATGGTTTCAAATGTGTTGGGTATAGTTGAGAAAGTTGGATAAGAATAAATAAGCCCGGGTGCATCAAACACCAGCTAAATACTGGCTAACAGCACTTTTTCTACTTTACTAGCACTGGCTTTTCATACACAAAGCTAATTTACGATAAAATGGTAACATGACATGAAACGTTTTAGCTGTAGCTCACAGTGGGTTGTGATTAGCTTCATTGGGGCTTTTATTCGTTCAGTTATTAGTGTTCAGGCTGCAGTGGTTAAAATACGATTCATAAGAAAAGCACTTGCCAAGCATAGAACGCAAAGGGCTTTCTAAAAGAAACAAAAAAATACAATGGCAGCATTAAAACAAGGCGATCAATTTGTCCACACATGTAATAGATGATTTCATAGATACGTTATAGCCACAGAGTTTAAAATCAGACTTCCACAGAGAGGAACATATTAGTCTATCATGTGATCCCTGTCTGTCAGACCAGCTAGATCATCAGTGAAAATGATCTGTAGGAAAGAGTGGGAGCCTGTACAGCCAGAGCTACAAAAATAAAACCCAAGTACTAATACATTTTTTAAATTGTCCTTTACACTAACAGCGTGCCGACGTACATCCCCTCTGTGTTTGTTTTCATGTTCAGGTGCACTCAGATGAACAGTCGGGTGGCGAAGCTGAGCCAAGAGCTGAAGGAGGAGCAGGAGATGAATCGCTGTCTGAGAGCCAATCAGGCGCAGCTGCAGGCCCAGCTGGCAGAGGAGGAGCGCAAAGGAAAAGAGAGCGGTGAGTGAACGATAACTTGGCAGACTTATTTCTAAATTGTCCAAATAACTAGTAATTATTTATCTAGTCACCATAACAACACAAAGGCCACGCCCCCTCCTACACCTTTTTCTTCATGTCTCTTTTCCCCACACTCACACACCTCCAGTCTTTCACTGCAAACCAAGGTTATTATAGGTTTGGATTTATCATTAGTTTTTATTTTGTTTAGGGCTTGGCAATGGTTTTCTGTGCAGTACACAGCTGTAGCCTATTTAACTTAAGTTAAAATTATAGGCTACATAACTTTACCTGCTAGGCCTTCATCTAGTTTTGCGGGGATGCTCTGCCGTGCGAATTCCCTACTGTTGATGTCCTCTTTAGTTAAATAGCAATAGATTCTGGAAACTCACAAACGGCGAGGATCAGTCTCTATTCCAATGATTTGTGCTCCACGTCACGTACAAAAAGTTCAAGACAATTCAACTCTGGCAGCGGGCGGGTGCGTGAGGCGAGAACAAAGGCGACAGTTTCAGGGGAACACATCTGCTTGTCGCTACGCCTTGTGCTCGACCACTTCACCTCACTCTCACAGGGAAATCTGCTACTGATACATAGACTGACTGTTTCTGCTGTTCCCTGATAAAAGAAAAATGTTTCTGCTGATAACTGTTCATAAGAAAACTGGACTCTGTTTGTTTTAACAAGCTAGATAAAAGGTAATGCCCTGGCAGTGGCAAATAGCTCTGGTTTTATACTGTTTGATTACATTAATGTTTAAGTAGAGATTTACAAGTAATATTTTATTGCTGCTGTTTAAAGGGAATACTGCTGGTAAAAAGCACCTTATTTGTTTAAAGTCTTTGCAAACCACATTATTGCACTTTTGTGTATATAGCAATACATTACTTTAGAATTCATTATTCAATTTTGCGCATAACAAAGTGATTAACAGTGATTAAAAATTTTAATTGTTGCCCAGCACTAATTTTGTTTTCAGTTTAGTTTTAATTAGTTTTTAACGTGAGTTTGCTAGTTTAGTTTAGTTTAGTTTAGTTTGCATCTGTCTGCATCATTGTGGTTCCCCAGAAAGCACTGGGACAAGAAATGAGGGCTTGATAGTAGATGCTCAAATTCTGGAAGAGTAAATAGTGATGATATTTACCTGCTCAATTTCCCACTTTAACTTAACGTAGCTTCCACAAGGAGAAAGGGTGAATCGCTGAACCACAGCAGCCTTTTGAGGTTTCCAAATCTGTTCATCTGTGTGATGTAAATCTATTCTGCTATTTCCAAATTTAAAAAGATTATCTATTTTGGTCACAAATAGCATTTATTGATCAAAATTGTGTTCATTTGTGCCCAGTTTAATACCCTGTAATAGTACTAATTATAAAAAAGTGTGTTCGAAGTCTTTATATTTCTTTTAAAATTCAAAGATGTCACTTTGTGTTCTTTTACATGTGCGAGCTGGTTAAAGAGAAGCTGGTAGATGAATGAGTTTTGCTTTGTGTAAAGGAAAATTATGTTTTCCTAAATCATTTTTTTTTTTGTATCTATTCTTAAGTAAAGTGCTGAAATGTTTGTATGAACAATATTTCTCAAATGAATCAGGATGGCGGCGATAAACAGAGGAGAAACATTTATTTGCCGTGTTGCTTTTTGTGATCGGTGCAGCGGCGGGAGGTCCAGGGACAGAAGCAAACAAACAGCCGCTGACAGGAAGCTTTTTGGGAGAAGCAGGAAGCATGTTGATCCTTTTTTTTTTTTTATCTGGGTCAGTGATTCCCAACGAAGGGTACTTTTACCACAGGGATACTACTGCACTGCAACGTGAGACAAACTTCAGGATATTTACTGTCACAACAACCAGGTTTAGGAATGTTGAAACATAACCGAGAGCATTTACTTTATTATAGTATTTCCATTTTTTGCTACTTTAACCTTACCGACATATTCGGTAAAAAATATATTTTTCACTTCACTGTTGTTTTTCTTGACAGCTGCAGTTGTAATTGTTACTCTACATATTCACATTTTACAAAACACGCATTCATCTTTTAATACATGACACTTAAATTAGAGTTCGAGCTGCAACAATTAGCGATGTGACAAAAATAAAATGCAGCAATTTTGGAAAATCAGTTATTCAGCATTAAATCCAAACGTTCTTTAGTTTAAGCTTCTCAAATAAGAAAATGTTCTGCTTTACCTTTTTGTCTTTTAAATAATAAATAGTTAATATAATAATTTCATCTCAGCCTCTAGGAAACTGCAACTCTTATCTACTGTATATAAATAATATAAATAAATACTAAATATATGTCTGACACTTTTAAATAACAAGTGTAGGAGGATTTGGAACACCTTACCTATTTTTGATACTTATCCAAACACTGAAAGGGGGGTGGTGATGGTGCAGTGGATAAAACACATGCATTTGGTGTGAGAGACACACACTCATTTCCACTCGCATATGGAGTGAAATGCTGCAACAGCAACACAGTAAAGCACAGTAATTGTGCTTATTTTAGCCAGATTATTTCTGTTCTGGCTGGCATTCAAATTTTACTTCCTCTTTTGGACGCCAGTGTTTGCAAATCATAAACAAACCGCGACCCGTGCCTGGAGCTGAGACGAGATCTCTCTACAGGTGCAAGAGCTGCTCAGGTAAAGGCAGGAACTGCTGAAAGGATAGTGGAAGTGTTTTTACAGGACAGGTCAAGAACTTTTTAAGGAGTCTCTTTGCCCTTAAATCAGCTTCAGGCTGAGGGATTTTCCGGAAGTCATTTATTTATGTAAAGCTGAGCGAGGTTTCTTGTTTTTGGCTTCAAAAGACTTTTAATAAGAATTATTCTTATCTTTTAACAACAGAACTGTCATATCAGAATTTTCCAAAGAACGCAGCTACTGATTAAGTTATCCACGTAGGCTTTTCTTGGCAGTGTTTCTTCGATTAGGCCAGATTTTTGAGGCTGTTACTGATATTGAGAGTTAAAGTCCAGTGTGTAATATTAAGGAGGATCTACTGACAGAAATGCAATATAATATCCAGAGCTATGTTTTCAGTGGTGTATATAAAGACCTTTACATAATGAACCGTTATGTTTTTATTACCTTAGAATGAGACATTTCTTAGTCATTAGTAGTTGTCTGGTGTAGTAGAAGTAAAATTTGGACAAATGGGGGACCACGTGTATGTAATTCTTTTTTGCAAAAACAGAAATTAAGTGTACATGGGACATAAAAAAGTATACAGAATTTTGAATCGTGCAAAATCACGTATCGCATGTACACTGAACAAAATTATAAACGCAACACTTTTTGGATTTTGCCGCCTTTCATCAGGAGCTGAACTTTCTCTATGTACACAAAAGGCCTGTTTCTCTCAAATATTGTTCCCAAATCTGTCAAAATCTGTGTCAGTGAGCGCTTCTCCTTTGCCGAGATAATCCATCTACCTCCCAGGTGTGGCATATCAAGATGCTGACCAGACAGCACAGGGATTGCACAGCTGTGCCTCAGGCCCACCGGCCAACATTTCCATCCCTATAGCCACGCCGCTAGCATGGCTAAAAAGATAAACCAGCTTAATCTTTGTAACATCTTGTTTCTTATCAGCCGACGCAGATGCCAATAACTATGAAATAAGCTACCATTTGCCACTAATAAGAGAGTAGGACCTGTAAGTGACACAGCAGCGGCAGGGTTAATGATTGACTGTCTCAGCATTATATATTTGTGATGTGGAGCATTTCCGTCACTTTGGCACTTTCGCCATCTTTGGGTGTTAGCACAGCAGCACAGGATATAAGTATAACTCCTCCTCAAGCTACAACACACACATTACTCAGTTTCTGCAGCCTGGATATAACATCTGTTAGTGTAGGTCCAACAGTTTATATTTATTTAATGTTTATGATGATGATTATGTTTATATATATTGTGTTGGGTCTCCTCACTCTTTACACAGCTTTTCTAATGTTTGTAGGTCTAAATGTTTGTTTCACTCTCTTGTTCAGTCAGGAAGTTCACACAGCTATGTGGCAGCCACCACCTTGAGGTCAGCAGTGTGGGTTGTATGTTATAGCTGTGGCGATGGCACTGTGGATAAGACACATGACTTTGGTGTGGGAGACCAAGGTTTGATTCCTACGCATTCAACAACGTGTCCCTGAGCAAGACACTTAACCTTACCTCTGACATGTATAGCAATTGGAAGTCGTTTAGGATAAAAGCGTCAGCTAAATGTAAGTCCTGGTTCAAAACTATGACGTTAATCAGCTTGTATGATCTGCCGCCGGCGACGTTTGTCCTTTAAACCAGCAAAGGTGCCACAATCATGTGTATCGTGATGTATTTAGCAATTGTAAGTCGCTTAGTGAGTAAATGTAAATGGGCTCCAGGGGGTCCACAGCAAAAAGTGAAATCATTTGTTTTCCATCCGTATGTAATACAATGACAGATTGTACGGCTAATTTGTTCATGGGTTTCATAGACATTGTGCAATAAAACATGTAAAAGCAAAAATCCTATCAGACAGGTGACCCTGGGACAAATTGAGGTTTCCATGGTCTCTTTTGTGTCAGTTTAGGGGGTCCTTGATGTGAAAAAGTTTAAGAACCGTTGTTCTATAGCATATTACACATTTGAGTTTGGAAGTATGTCAAGGAAAAGGTTTCTGCCATTATCTTGGGTTTACCGGTTAAGGGAGCTGCAGAAGACAGACACAGTTAGAGACTAGCTGGTGAACCTGCGGGAGCATTTAGCAGCTAAAGAGCTAGATTTCTCCTTCAGGAGGTGGTGGAGCCCAAACACAGAGCTAAAAGAGAGAGAATAGTGGACTTCCTTATGCCATGTGGCCAGCAACACGACTCCAAATGAATGATGTACCAGAAGTTCTGGATGTGTCAATGATTAGTTCACCATATCATCCTAATAGATGAAGATGTGCCCCCGAAAAGTCTAGTTAAGAACTCTTATTATTCATGTGTGAACGTTGTAGTCAACTTATAAGGTATATTTTCCTCTTTAAAATATATTTAACATCTCTTTATTGTCTTCTAGGCGAGCGTAAAGACATGGCAATAGCCGAGCTGCAGGAGCAGCTGAGAGACGTGATGTTTTATCTGGAAACGCAGCAGCAGATTGAACACCTGTCTCCGGAGGCTCGCACTGAAATCCAGGAGGGACAGATCAACATCGGAGCCAGCCCGTCGGACGGCGCTCTGGGCTCGGCAGGAGCAGGACCCTCCTCGGGCAGAGGCCGGAGAGGCCGGGGCAGGAAGAGGAAGTAGGCAGTGGGTTCAAAAATCTACTGGAACAATCTAGAAAACTATGGCTGCCTCTCGGCGTGAACACGTTTTCCTTGCATCTGTCTGCATCATTGTGGTTCCCCAGAAAGCACTCGGACAAGAAATGAGGGCTTGATGGTAGATGCTCAAATTCTGGAAGAGTAAATAGTGATGATATTTACCTGCTCAATTTCCCACTTTAACTTAACGTAGCTTCCACAAGGAGAAAGGGTGAATCGCTGAACCACAGCAGCCTTTTGAGGTTTCCAAATCTGTTCATCTGTGTGATCTATTCTGCTATTTCCAAATTTAAAAAGATTATCTATTTTGGTCACAAGTAGCATTTATTGATCAAAATTGTGTTCATTTGTGCCCAGTTTAATACCCTGTAATAGTACTAATTATAAAAAAGTGTGTTCGAAGTCTTTATATTTCTTTTAAAATTCAAAGATGTCACTTTGTGTTCTTTTACATGTGCGAGCTGGTTAAAGAGAAGCTGGTAGATGAATGAGTTTTGCTTTGTGTAAAGGAAAATTATGTTTTCCTAAATCATTTTAGCCTTTTTTTTGTATCTATTCTTAAGTAAAGTGCTGAAATGTTTGTATGAACAATATTTCTCAAATGAATCAGGATGGCGGCGATAAACAGAGGAGAAACATTTATTTGCCGTGTTGCTTTTTATGATCGGTGCAGCGGCGGGAGGTCCAGGGACAGAAGCAAACAAACAGCCGCTGACAGGAAGCTTTTTGGGAGAAGCAGGAAGCATGTTGATCCTTTTTTTTATCTGGGTCAGTGATTCCCAACGAAGGGTACTTTTACCACAGGGATACTACTGCACTGCAACGTGAGACAAACTTCAGGATATTTACTGTCACAACAACCAGGTTTAGGAATGTTGAAACATAACCGAGAGCGTTTACTTTATTATAGTATTTCCATTTTTTGCTACTTTAACCTTACCGACATATTCGGTAAAAAATATATTTTTCACTTCACTGTTGTTTTTCTTGACAGCTACAGTTGTAATTGTTACTCTACATATTCACATTTTACAAAACACGCATTCATCTTTTAATACATGACACTTAAATTAGAGTTCGAGCTGCAACAATTAGCGATGTGACAAAAATAAAATCAGTTATTCAGCATTAAATCCAAACGTTCTTTAGTTTAAGCTTCTTTACCTTTTTGTCTTTTAAATAATAAATAGTTAATATAATAATTTCATCTCAGCCTCTAGGAAACTGCAACTCTTATCTACTGTAGACCAAATAATTAAAAAAAAAAAAAGGATCAGTTATGAAAATAACCATTGCAGCTTGTTATTAAGTTATATACATTTGGTTAAGTAGTATTCACACTAAAATAAGCGTTCACTTGTATTTGAGATGTAAATACTTCTTGGGAACCACTGATCTGGGTCCTGTTGTCAGCTGTCCTGAATACAAAACTCTGAACACACAACATATTTTGAAAACATTTCGACCTTAGAGGTACGAACCTGATTGAACAAGATGTCTGCGTCTAGAGGAAGCAACAGGTGACGTGATGAAGCGAATCTATTCACTCCTTTATTCTATTTTTTTTTGTGAGATTTGTTTCTCATTTAAACATTTAACTTGCAGAATATTCATGTTAAAGACCCAGAAGGCCTTAATTACTTAACTGCTGTAGAAAGGAATTGGCTCCTTAGGCAGGTAGAAAAAGAAGATTATTTTACCTGAGAGCCCTTTATATAAGTATAGTATAGTTACCAAAAATAATTTCCAAAATATGCTTTCTTGCCAGGAGTGAGCTGAGAAGAGACAATTAAATTAATTGTCAACTATTTTGATAATGAATTAAAAGGTTTGAGTCATTCTTCAGTTATAAAAAGTAAAAATTCTCTGATTCCAGTTTCTTAAATGTGAATATTTTCTGGTTTCTTTGCTCCTCTGTGACAGTAAACTGAATTTCTCTGGGTTATGGACAAGCCTGTTTACCGAAATCCTGAACTGTTACTAATAAAAGAGGAGAGAGGCGGCACAAACAGAGCTGGAGTTTATATCCGACGTGCCAGAGAGCAACCGTCACTTTACATGTAACTTTGTTTCAAGAGAGCAGAGATATATGAAGTTTCTTAGCGGAGTGTGTGCTGTTACATTAGCTAGATCAATAAAAAAGGATGTGGATTATGTGTCCACAACCGTGTGTGTGTGTGTGTGTTTGACAAACATCCTAATTGGACAGCACAATTTCAGTCTAGAAGGAAAAGTTATTCTCATAGCATTTTTTAATCTTTTTGTTTACTATTGAATCCTAATTTCAGTTTTCATGCTCGAACGTTTAATTAAGTGTTTGCTAAAGTTCACCTTGTTTCGATGCAGTGGAAAAGTTAAAGAGATGCTCTCAGGTTGCATTTAAGTGACAGGAACACAATGGGTTACTGCTTTAACACCTTCTGTATTGTGCTAAAAAGAAAGAATGTGCTCAGCTGTAGCATCCAGCTTTGCAGCTTTCGATGTGTGTGCTGTAGCTGACTGACTTTTACATCTGCCCAGAGGATGCTGCCATGTGTGACTAATCCCTCCTTCCTACTACAACATTAACAGTTTACTCACAACAGCTTGTTCAAAGTAAATTGTGTACACGGGCTGGATGTAGCTGCAGAGACAAATAAACTGAAAGATGATAACATCTCAGACTTCCTTGTCACGGGGATCTTAGAGTCTGATAACTTCCCTTTCACACCATCTGTAGTAATTCTCACCGTGGGGCATTATTCGCTGTCACAGGCTGTGGTCAGAGGGGCAGGTTTAGTTACTACCAAATGCAAAGTAGTCTGGTAGATAACCGTATTATCGTGTATGTGTAGTACAGCATGCAACAAGCTTTATTTATACATATTTCAGTGGAAGGAGTAGAAGTTTGTATACTGCTGGGTAGCTTAACCTTTAATAATAGATTATATTCTGAGTTGTAGAGGAGTAGAAGTGTAAAGTAGCATAAAATTAAAATACTCAAAAAACGTACATTGAAATGTGTTTAGTTACATTCCACCCGTCTAGTTTTAAGGAAATAAATCTGCAAACATCTGCCACACCTGTTGGTTTTCTATTTATAAGTACAGCCTTTAAAATCTGAACACCCACGCAACAGGGCCTCAACCAATCTTTTTCATTATCAGTTAATCTTTTTGTTTAAACAAAGTCAAGGAACTGTGGAAAATGCCAAAGTTGACTATTTAATCGCTTCATTTGTCCAACCAACAGTCTAAAACCTAAATATTTTAGTTTTCCTATCATATAAGAAGTGGAAAAAACAGCAAATCCTCACATTTGAGGATAAACTCGGTCGCCAAAACTCTAGCTGCTCATTTTTTGTTTCTTTTGAGATCTACATGAAACCCCTAATAATTGTGCAATAATTGTGTTTTCAATTAAGCTACAAAAATGTACATTTTCCTCTCTTTTCTATCATGTTTGATCTTGCAGATTGTTCCATTTCAATGTTTTTACTCTACTGTAAACTTAAGTAAAAGCAGCCATACCACAATGCAGGACTGTGAGGCAGCAGGGCTTTAAGCTAAATGCTAATGTCAGCATGCTAACATGCTTAAAGTGACAATGCTAACATGTTTAGCAGGTATGTTTAGTTAAGGTGACCAGGTTTCTCAAATGAAAACCGGGGTCATTTTTGGTTTGGTTGTCAGTATGTCATCAAAAAATATAATGTTATTATATATGAAATAAAAAAGGGAGACGATTTCTGTTTTATAGTCTGTCAAATGTAACTTCTAAATGAAATCAAGTCATTTTGAGGCAGAAACCACCTTTCAGTCAATAAGTAGAAGCTGCAATCACTTTCCGGCAAGTGAAACAATGCATGTTATGGGTTGTATTGGCCATTTAAAGGTATTTTAACTGGTAAAAAGGAACTGGATTGGTGTCCAATAATGTCTTTATTTTATATATAACTCAGCAGTAAGTCATGTTAATTATAGGCTACAGTCTGTGTTACAAATCTAAACAAGGATTTTAGACATAGGCCTAAATGCCAGTTTATTCTGTACCAATGCACCGTATTAACTGATCATTATTTTTGTATGTAAAATCTCAATCTGCAGAGTAACCAAAAAGCTGTCAGATAAATCTAGTGGAGTAAAATTAAAATATTTTGAAATGTACTTACTGCAGTGACTTTCCATTACTGGGGTCATGTATGGGTATGACAGATAAGAACAAGTTAATGAGAAATGACGTTTGCGGTTCACTTTTCCTGTATAACTCATAAATAAGTGAGACATAATCACAGAATAACCACATAGACAGAGCAGTGTAACATCATTATATATGAGAGGAGCACTTTGTTTACTGCAGATGAGAAGATTTTTAATAACAAATTATGAATAAAGTTAGTTAAAACCAGATCTCAGAAAAGGACTGTATCCTCCTAGGAGGTCTAATCAATTAATAAATATATAAAGCTTGGGTTTAATTTGATTTCCGGTGAAAAAGAAAGCACCTGAACTGGATTTGCTGTTAGCTTTTAAATGAACCCAGCGTGATGTAAGGTGTAAACCCCTTTCAGAAACAAAATAAAAGCAGAAATGAAGAAGAGAATAAAAAGGAAGAAAGAGGAGGAGGAGCCAGCAGATGGTTGAGGAGGTAAGATAGATATAGGAGGGTCCTTCCTGAGTTGAGCTGCTAGCTGTGTGTGGCTGTTCTCTGCTTCTTCTGCTTCCTGTGCTTCCTCCACTCTGAAAATATGGACTAAAGCTACACAGCTTCCTTCGATTTGGAAAGATTTGAGCCACAATGGAGGTGAGATAAAGTGTCATGTTTTTTTGAACCTTTCATTTGTCAATTGTTCCATTTCCCCCCTCTCCTTGCTTTGCTTTCACAGCTTGCAGGCTGAAGTTATGTGTGTGCATCTGGGTGTGAAGTAGTAATTCAGTACCTTTCTCTGCTCTGTGTGAAAAATCTGTGTAACATGCAAAGAAATGCATGTTTTTAGAAAGCTGCTAACCCACAGCTTGTGTCTCTTTATGTGTTTTAAGTATCTGCACGTTTTTGCAGCCAATCTCAAAACAAAGGGGGATATTTTTTTCACACAGTAAATAATCTTCAAAGTACCTGGAGAGCTTTAAAATTCCTGGAATGCAGATCCTTTCAGGTTCCTGCATGTGAAAAGAGAGCTAAGAAACAGATAAAGGACTGATAGATGTTTATCTTTCCCTCATGCGTGCTTTGCTGAATTCTTTTGTGCTGAAGTAAAAGAGGCTTGGACAGAGTTTTATAACTTTACCAAGAAATAGTTCCAAGATTATGATCCAACTCATCACAGTAACATAATACATACAATGTGCTCATTTTCCATCGGGATTGGTGCTGTTCTTCCTCCTAGCTGTGCCAAGAACTGAACTAAATTTCCCAGAAGTCAAATGCATTGTTTATTGATTGTGTTCATTTGTATGTGACATTTTGTTGGGTGTAACTGATGGTTCCTCCTTTTCTGTAAAGCTAAAACAACAACTCTTACACTATGTGCGCTGAAACACCAAGATGAGTATGTAACCAGCATGATTTCACATTTAGAGTATCTTGAATCTATAATTCTGCAGACAGATTACAACATGCCTTCAATGATCAGAAACAAACCTGCATTTGCGCAATCACAACTCGCTTTATAAGCCGATGTAATGTATGACGATTTTGCCTCCAGGGTTTGCAAAACATATAGTATAGTATGGCTTTTGCATGTATATGTTACATGCAAAGGCTGTTACAAAGCTCACTTGTGTGCTTTGTAACAGTTCTTGTGCAGGACAGGCCAGTGAATGTTCCTGAAGGGATTGCACTTCCCTCTTTCTGCAGGAACATTTCCAAGGTATACTGTACTGGATTTGAATATCATATTTGAAGAGAAACAGGAGCTCTGTATCTAGAAAATGGCAGCAATAACTGATCAGATTGAGGCATAAATTACAAAACAAGTCTGACTTCAGTGCAGAGAAATATATGTTATCAAAAGGGGAAACGAGCCGACTGCTGAGTAAGTTTCAATCCAAAAGATATCTTATCAGGTCTAGAAATTTGCCTTTGGTTTCTGTTATTTTAACACTTCCCATAATCCTCTCATGCTGCATCATCACTACGGAGTGTAAGTCATGAATCTAAACCAGTTTTGGAATTCAACTTTTTTTTTTTTTTTTGACAAGTTAGTGGTATTTCTCTTTTTTCTAGACGCCACAATGTTGGTCTGGCTCATCAGAAGAGGAAATAGCTGAGCGTAGTATTTCACTCCCTCCTTCTCTCTTTCTCACTTTGACATCCGCCCTTTCTCAGACATCTGTAAATTCTATGCAGCTGAATGTACCATAGTGAGTGATAGCAAGACTAGGTTTAGGAACACTAATTTAGTATCTAACATCAGTTTGTGGTAACTAGTACTAGTTAGATAACCAAGACAAAGGATGATTAACATGCACAAAACATAATGACCAAACTGATGCATTAGAGGATGAAATATCCTGACTTATAGTCTCTAATATGGTTAATACTCCAAAAACACTGGCTATCGAACTCCAAATGAATGCTAGTGTTTCTCTGTGTCAGCTGTAGGCAACTGTTTGACAACAATTTTGCCTTAACAACTTTCCAAAGTGATAAAATGCTGGGTTGGGTTTTCAGTCTATTCTACTGCCAAAAAAAAGTGGCCCTAAAAAAAACTAACTCGTAAACTGACTTTAACATGTATAATTAGTGGAATGCCATAAACACTCACCAGCCACTTTATTAGGCACACCTGTTCAATTGCTTGTTAAAACAAATAGCTATACAGCTCAATGCATTTAGGCATGTTAGACATGGTCAAGACAACTTGCTGAAGTTCAAACCGAGTATCACAATTTGGATTTAAGTGACTTTGAATGTGGCATGATTGTCGGTGTCACACGGACTGGTCGGAGTATTTCAGAAACTGCTGATCTCTGAAAAAGACAGAAAAATATCCAGTGAGCCGCTGTTGTGTGGACGAAAATGCCTTGTTGATGTCGGAGGTCAGGGGAAAATGGGCAGACTGTTTTGAAATGACAGAAAGGCAACAGTAACTCAAATAACCACTCCTTACAACCAAAGTATGCAGATTACCATCTCTGAACGCACAACATGTCGAACCCTGAAGCAGACGGGCTCCAGCAGCAGAAGACCACACCGGGTGCCGCTTCTGTCAGCTAACAACAGGAAACTGAGGCTACAGTTCACACAGGCTCAGCAAAACTGGACAACAGAAGACTGGAAAAACGTAGCCTCGATATCAGCTGCAACATTCAGATGGTCGGGTCAGAATTTGGCGTAAACAACATGAAATCATGGATCCATCCTGCCGTGTATCAACGGTTCAGGATGGTGGTGGTGGTGTAATGGTGTGGGGGATATTTTCTTGGCACACTTTGGGCCCCTTAGAACCAATAGAGCATAATTTAAACATAACAGCCTACCTGAGTGTTGTTGCTGACCATGTCCAGCCCTTTATGACCACAGTGTACCATCTTCTGATGGCTACTTCCAGCGGGATAATGCACCAAAGCTCAAATCATCTCAAACTGGTTTCTTGAACATGACAATAGGTTCACTGAACTCCAGCGGCCTCCAAAGCCACCAGATCTCAATCGAACAGAGCACCTTTGGGATGTGGTGGAACGGGAGATTTGCATCATGGATGTGCAGCCGACAAATCTGCAGCAACTGTGTGATGCTATCATGTCAATACGGACCAAAGTCTCTGAGGAATGTTTCAACACCTTGTTGAAAGTATGCCATGAACACTTAAGGCAGTTCTGAAGGCAAAAGGGGGTCCAACCCGTACTAGCAAGGTGTACCTAATAATGTGGCAAGTGAGCGTATGTCAGTATTACATCACTGAACCTTTTTTGGCCACATGAGGGCAGCAGTAACACAACACAGACATCTTTGATGGTGGTATGGTGAACTTTTTAGTAAACAGTTGCCAGCAGACACACAACAACTCCTACAGATGAAGAATAAGATTTCTGTTGATGTCTATTTTATTGACAGCGACGGTAGAGAGGGACAGAAAAGCACGCACCCCACCAGGGGAGCCACCAGGGCACCCAAGAATAAGATTTCTTTAACCTGCGACAACTGATTTTCTAGGCCACTGGACAAACAAACCAAAACAGAACCAACCAGATTAAAAACAATAGCTAAAAGATGCTAAATTCACATAGCGACTCCTTTCACATACAAGTAGTCATGTGATCCATTTTAAATCTAACAATATTGATTTATAGCTGCTTTAAAGTCCTTCCTCTTTCTCTCTGCAGCTAAGTGACCAAGACAGCAGCGCCACAGCCTCCTCTCAAACAGACGGAGAATTTGAGGGAGAGATGGATGAAGAGATGGACGGAGCGGTGGACGGAGAGGTGGAGGGGGAAGTAGAAAAAAGTGACAAAAACAGGGAGAGTCCAACCCCAAGTCTGTCCAGCTTGTCGTCGTCTCTGCGCGCCGTCATACGCATCAAACAGAAGTACCAGGCCATTAAGAAGCGGCGTCAGGAGATAGGCCTGGGCTTGGGGTCAGCAGCTGCCCTCGTAGGATCCGCACCGAGAAGTAGCCCCAAAATCTTCACCTTTGACGGACTCACCCCCTCCAGCTTGTCGTCCTCCGTCCCTCTGTGGAATAAGAAGAAAAAGAGGAAACGAGTGTTGTTTCCCAACAGAGGAGGGTGCAGGGCTCCGCCAAAGCCAGCGCAAAGCCGAGCCAAATACTGCCTTTACCTGCTCTTTGCCATCGTCTTCATCCAGGTAAAGTGACTAATTACAAGTGTGACTGTAACCAAGGAGCTGCAGGAGCTTTTTATGAAGAAAAGATTGTCACCACCTTGACAGGATTTAAATGAGTAGGGTCACATTGGCTGAGATCTTGACCTTTTACTCAGGTACATCAATATTAAAGAGTTACTTAAAGGTTCAGTGTGTAAGCTTTAGTGGCATCTAGTGGTAAGGGTTGTGAATTGCATCCAACGGCTCACGGTGCATTCACTAGCTCCTCGGATGGTTCCATTTCCCGAGTTGTTAAGTCGTTCTCCTGACTTTGCTATTAAGTCTGAATGTGGAATCACCCTGGACACTAATACAAAGATGTGTTGGATTAGTATTATTAGAATGCATAAACAACACGCAGACATCTACGATATCTTATATCAATGTAATTTCTATATGCAACAACAAAGGGCAGTAAAAACTTTCAACATATGGTCCTCTTTTGATATCTTTAGACCACCCCTGGCAAAGTTTTTAATATTTGTCTAATGATATTTGTACACTGTTCTGTATACTTCTTCATGTAGTGGTGTACTGACACACCCTAGAGTACCCTTCTACATCACTGCATCAAGGCACATTCGATTTCAGCAAAATGTTTAGGGACTTTAAGGTTTCTGTTAAATGAATTTGTACATCTCTGCAGCCAATACCATAATATACCCTAATGTTTTCTGCTATCTTGCTTTCATCACAGTAATATATGTGGTTATTTTACAGTTTTTATCAATTAAACATGGCTCTTTAGGGAAATGTAAATAACATTTAAAAAAATTGGAATTTAATCTCTATTTTGGCCATGTAATAGTAACATGGCGGCAATGTCGGACAATTTTTGTGCGCCACTTTGATCCAGAGTGAAATATTTTGGATGATAAACTTGGATTGAGATTATTTTGTCAAACTATTACTTTTAAGATCAGAAATGTTCCCCTATTAATGTTAAACTATTGGATGGATTATCATGAAATTTGGTACACACATTCATGTCCCCCTCTGGGTTAATAGTAATCACTTTATCACTTGCTTAACTTTTCATCTAGCTCCATCATGAGAGACAAAAATTTAATTTGTCCAATACATTGGTTTATGTGCAAATACCTGTAAAACTGATTCATTCCCATCAGCCTCAGCTGTCCTTTATGTTTAGTAGCAATTAACAATTATTAGCATGCATAATGCTAAGCTAAGATGGGTAAATTTTGTTTGTGGTGAAGCCAAAAACAATTTAATCATTACCTTCTAAGTAATGTTAGCATTCTTATTGTGCCCATATTAGCATGCTAATGTTAGTATTTAGCTCAAAGAACTGAGCAAGTACAGGATTTTGAACTCCTGTGTGACCAAATATGCCGACTGCAGTGTTAGTCTGCATGTTCGGTCATGTCAGTGTTCATTCAGACTAGAAATAGAAATAAACTCATTGAAGACTCAGGTCGATCCTGCCTTGTTACCTAATCTTGAGGCACTGTTCAGTAGAGTAGAGGTACCCACAGCTCATTTATACTGCACAGCGACTGTGACTGCTTTTTTGCCACGTGTATCCTACAGCAGTACTAATAGTTGATTTTGCAGTTACATAAACATAAACATTTTAAATGGGTCCAAGATCCTGTTTCCGGTTTGCTGATGTCAGAAGCTGAGTAGAAATAAACTTGGACAGGAGCTGTTTCCCTTCTGAAAATCAATTCCAAACAAAAGGCCAACTTGCAGAAGTAAACAAGTGGACTGGCAGGGAAATGTAAAAAAAAAAAAAAAAAAAAAAAAAAGTTCTGAATGTGTTTTATGTGACATTTCAAATCATTAGCTCTTCAATTTTAGGCTGTAAGATGCATGTTTTATGTTTTTTAGACAATTGGCTGCTTTGTAAATGTAAATGCTCTGTATTTAGATTTCCCTAAAGAGCCTTTCTAGTCTTTTCGACCACTCAAAGCGCTTTTACACTACATCTGCATTCACCATTCAGACACATTTATACACTGAGCGTAAGTGCTCAAACAGAAACAAACATTCACACCCATTCATACACTGGCGGAACAGCCGCCAGGGGCAATTCGTGGTTCAGTATCTTGCCCAAGGACACTTCCGCATGCAGCCGGGAGGAGCCGGTGATTGACCCACCGACCTTCCGATTAACTGGCAACCCGCTCTACCTCTTGAGCCCCAAGCCGCTTTGCGACCTATGTACTTTGACTATGTGTTTAGGGTGGGAAAAGTGTCAGTGAGTCAGTGTGCATGAACACGGTACAAAACATGGAGGACTGGGGGAAAAAACTACTATTTGTGGATGCTGGTGAAACAGCTCAGACAACTATGAAGTTACTGGACAAACATTTTGTTGTCTCTTTAAGTTTAACTGTCAGTGACTTTCTAACTGTGCAGTTTGACATTCAACGGCAGAAACTGTTAGTAAAAACAGTAACAGTGCTCCATTATGATTTATTAAACTGTGTACAATTAGCGTATAGCATTAAATTGTGACAGCATATTAACATCTGTCACTTGTTTCTCCCCAGGTGTACAACGCCATAGAGAACCTAGATGACCATGTTCTCAGGTATGACCTGGAGGGGTTGGAGAAGACACTGAGGAGAGAGGTGTTTGGGCAGCAGGGAGCTGTGGAGGGTCTGCTGTCCCACCTGAAGGACTACCTGTCCACCTACGTCCACAACAAGCCCCTGGTGGTGTCCCTGCACGGCCCCAGCGGTGTAGGCAAGAGCCACCTGGGACGCCTCCTGGCCGGACACTTCCGTTCCGTGGTGGGGGAGACGCTGGTGCTGCAGTACTACGTCCTCCACCACTGTCCCCAGGAGGCCGACGCCCTGCAGTGCGCCAGCGACCTCTCCGCTCTCATCTCGGAGATGGTTGAACGAGCCGAGGAGGAGGAGAAGATCCCGCTCTTCATCTTCGACGAGGCCGAGCACATGCACGGCGAGATCCTGGACGCGCTGTGGCAACTCGTGGCCTCCAAACAGTCCAACGAATACCTGAACGCTATCTACCTGTTCCTGAGCAATCTGGGTCATACACATATCACCAAACATATGCTACACAACTCCTCGAGTATTTCTATGTCAATGACAGCATCTGGTCGTCATAATAACTTATTAAAAGAGCTGACTCCAATATTACGCAACACTCTGGAGAAGCTTCACCACCTGTGGACAGAGGCCGACATCTTACCTCTAGGCCTTTTGGAGAAAGGTCATGTGATGGAGTGCTTCCTGGATGAAATGACTCGAGAGGGTTTCTACCCGGATCATACCAACATAGAGCGCCTCGCAGGGGAGATTAAATATTACCCCGAGGTAGGGGGGCATGAATATTCCCAGACAGGCTGCAAGCAAGTGGTGGCTAAGGTCAACCTGCTGTGAAATTCTTCGGCAGGAAATGTTTGGATGTTTCACATTCTTTAAACCATGAAGAAATAGTGCGTGAGAAGTAAGAGAGGGGTTTATGGTTACTAAACTTGAATTACACAACTCGGAGCCAAAGCTTTCAAGAGAGGGTTTTGTAAGAGTGAAAAAACCGAAAAGTCTGTGCACACAAGAAGATGTTCGGCTCTGCTGTGGGAAATGGCGTGAATCCTATGAAGAGGTTTGAAATTGTCCACAAACACACACAAACGTTTGTCTTACTGTTGTCGTGGGGACATCTAATTGACATGATGCATTCTCTAGCCCCTAACCTTAACCATCACAACTACACACCTAACCTTAAACTTTACCCTAAGCTAAATCTACTCTGAACCCTAAAATCAAGTCTTAACCCTCAAGCAGCCCTTTAAACTTGTGGTGTCCAGCATTTTGGTCCTCACAAAGCTGGGCAGACAAGTCAAGTGAATCCCACAATGTTTAAAGGGTCCGTTCACCCAAATTCCAAAAAAAACAACAAATACATATTTTCTCATTTACCCCATCAAAAATAATACATTTTAAACATTTACCCTGTTTTTATGAGGCATATTTCTTCATGAATCGTCATGACTTCAGTGATCCCTTGACTTTTCATCTAGCGCCATCATCTGGTCAAAATTTCTCTTAGTCCAATCATTTGTTTTATGATCAATCACCTGCAAAACTAAATAGTCTCAACTACACTTAGTGTTCAGTGGTAACTGGCAAATGTTAGCATGTAAGATGTTGAACATGGTAAACACACCTGCTAAAGATAGCATTGTCATTCTGAGCATGTTAGCAAGCTGATTTTAGCATTTTACTTCACAAGTACAGCCTCAAATTAAGTTTCATTAATCTCCATTGTGTTGGTGTGGAGGCAGAAAACTCGTAAATTTTATGATTTGGGTCAACTGGACCTTTACCTTTTAAGACCAAGCAACTACTATATTAGGGAGTTGAACCACACATAGTAGGAGATGCTCAGACAGATATTCATTCATTTATATAAGGAAGTTTAGATACATGTAATGCATCAGTTACTAACACACATTTTAGGGTGTTTTGTTTTTGTCAGAAATGTCAAAAGTGATGCAGCATGACTTGTTTTAATGGTAATGCCAGTCAATCTACAATGCATACGTCTGTGGATTTACTTAAATATACAGTACAAGAAATGCAATAACATTTAAGTAATTTATTCTGAACGTTGGACCTGCAGGTGAAAAATTGTTGCTAGCTAGTAGCAGCAGTTCGTGGCTTATTTGGTCATTAAGCTAGTAGCAATCTTGCATACAAGGCTTCTCTTCTCTCTGTTTGAGAAAATCTGGTCCCTGAAGTTTATTTAATAAAGAAAACATGGCTCTATTATGTTCACATCCAAAGAAATGTACTTGGCTTAGCATTAAAACTAAAGATTGATGGGATTTAATGAGTCATGAATATGTTAATGTCCTGTTTTCAGTTTATTTCTAATATAAATAAAGATATAGAGATATTAAAGACACCATTTTACATGGCTGTGAGAGTTTTATTACAGCAGCCTGCAAAGCTGAAACAGAAAAAAGCAGACAGCAAGCAGCAGCTTAGTTTAGCTTAGCATAAAGACTGCAAACAGCTAGCTAATGATTCAGGAAGTCACTACGCCAGGCCAAGAAATTGTCTGGCACATATTCTGTGTTAAGGCCACAATGTGCTGTTTCAGTGCACATTAAACAAACAAGATACAATGAGTTAATCAGTGAGCTTTAGAGGTGCTGATAAGATAGGTTTCATCTAAACAGAAGCAGCTGATGTTTCCTCGAAATGTTTATGCTAATCTACTCTAAGCACCTGCTGGCTGTAGTTTCATCTTTAGCAAACAGACATGAGAGTGGTATAGATTTGTTTTTTATCTACCTCTAGTCAACAAAGCGAAGAAGCATATTTCCCCAACGTCAAACTGTTGTTTTGACTCAGGGTCCAGTGACTGGCTTTTTTCCACCGCTTTAAACTTTATCTCAGTTTTTCTCGGCAGATGGAGTTTGTTTAAGTCCACAACTGTGCAAAGGAAGAACTTTATAGAATCAGATTTGTGCCAAGAGAATCAAACTAACTGAAGCTTTTTTGAAGTAATTTTGTTTAATTTAATTAATTAAATTTATCCTTCAGCTGGTGCTTTTATCCAAAGCGACTTAGAATTACTATATATATCAGAGGTTGCACGCCTCTGGGGCAATTAGGGGTTAAGTGTCTTGCTCTGGGACACATTGGCGGATGTCGTGGTGGGATTTGAACCCGGGTCTCACACACCAAAGGCATGTCTTATCCGCTGGCCCATCGCCACACCAAAGTTTACAACTTCCTTTGATATTTAAGAAGTTTTGTTTGACTAAATTGGCACAAATCTGATTCCATAGACCTTGAGTTCCAGAAAAGTCTAGTATGTCGGTCAGGAGTTAAACGACTATAATCAATACTTTTATAATAATAATGTATCAAATGTGAAAACAATGTGAAAGCAGCTGCTCGTAGTAATAGACCTAAAGAGAATTATCATCTGGATATGCAGCTCCTCTTGGCTTTATGGAGCTTTATATTGAGTTTCGGCTCATTGTTTACCTGTTGACACAAAACTTTACTGTTCAGGTTCACTCAGCGCTCTCAGTTTTCAGAGAAGAAGCTGTGAAAAACCCAACTGTGCACAACCTGCTCAGGAGGAAGCAGACACATTTCGAGATGAGCTGGTGAATTTTCAGTTATTTCCCTACTCAGGAGGTGGTGGAGACCAAAAACGGAGCTAAAAGAAAGGGAATATTGGACTTACATTGATCAGGTGACACAACATGACTCCAAATGAATGACAATGTTGCTCTGTAACTGCTGGATAAATAAACATTTTCTAACAAGCTGGTGATATGTAAATATTGCAGGTTTAAGAATGTTGTTTTACTGTCGCTAACTGTTCTTCAAACAACCTTCATGCTCGGTTCTTTCACCATATCTGTATGACAAAAGAATTACAACGTTCAGACAGTTTAATTTTTTTTTTTTTTTAATTATTAGAATTCCCTTAATTGACATGGAAAAAAAATGAGGTACTGTGACAAAGAAAAATGAGCCTCTTAATCATGACAACACATTTAGATGATTGCCAAAAGAAATAGGATAGTCATGTGGGACACAACAACCTTTCACATAATCCTATTAAGTGTTTTGACTGGAATCACTTAGAGGACAATCAACTGTATTTTATGTACAGATCTGAGGAGTGTAGGTTGTTTACGAGAAGAGAGCACTGACAGCAGTGAGTGCAGCCCCCGAGCAACATGAGGAAACAGCTGGCCATCAAGTTAAGACGCCTGGTGCCACTGAACAGCTTAGATACCTACGAGGACGGAACAAGCAGATGCAAATATGTTCTCACTTTCTTTGTGACTGCTGTGCCGAGACAGATAGATGAAAACAATATTGTAGAAATGCAAACTAACTACATCCAGAAGATTCCACTACATTGATTTCACCTACCGAACTGAGAACTCACAAAAGGACTAAAACATAATTTAGGAGCATCTGACCAGACTTTCATTGTTCCTGTAAAGCAATGCAAGCTCACACTTTTAAATATCCTTCTTTAAGTCCATGCAGGAGTCAACTTCAACCACCAGTGCTTCAATAATCCAGTCATATGTTCATGAAATGTATTGTATCAAAACATTTATATGGATTAAATAGTCCACAGATTGCAACAACACAGCCAAAAGTGTAAAAAAAAAAAAAAGATAGACATAACAGCACCATTTTTTAACCAAGCCTTAAATACGCCTTCAGCTCTGCATCCACGTCTTCATTCTCACATGCTATTAGGAAGGCAGGAACGAGCTGAATACAGAACCTTTAATGAGCTACACATGTAAACCAACGACTACATCATCCAAGACCTACAGGGAAATAAATAAATCACTTTAATAAAAATGGTAATATAATCCACAACTACGCGCCGTCACTGTCAGGATCAACACGCAACCTCACAACGCCTCTCGGGGGTGTTTAAGCATGATGCTGAGACTCGACTGTTACTGTCAGAAACGCTCATGAAAACAGGGGGAAGTGTGAAGGAGAGTCCAGAGAGAAGCTACAGGACTGTGTGAGAGGGAGGGGGGGGTGATGTGGTTCAGGCTTTTGTTTTTTCTTCGTTGGTGGGTCTGAGTTGTCCCCTTTATGCCTCAAGCTCGAAGCCCATGCCGACTTTGTGTCCACCGGCGTTGAAATTCTTCCCGTCGATCAGGGCTGAGAGGGTGACCTTGACACCTGCAGAGACACAAAACAAGGTTTCAGGTTCAAATTTAAAGAGCTCATGTTCTGCTTTTTGTCTTTTCTTTTTCCTGTATTGTGTTACGCATTTCTTTTTTGTGCATGTAACATGTTTTCAAAGCGAAAAAGCCCAAAGTCCACCCCAAAGGGAGTTCCCATCTCCCACAGAAAACACTGCTCCTGGACTGGTAGAAAACAGCTCCACTGTAGTCCAGCCTTTACTTCGTAACCTATCTGAGTCATGTAACACATGTCATAATGCTCGCCTACCGGCTAGTGTGACACGCTCTCAAAAACACCTGTACAGAAACACAATGAGCTGCAGCACACATGTACAACTCTCAACAAAGACTGAATAGAAGTAAGGTGCTTCTTAAAACAGAGCGTTCATCACACAGGGTGAAAAGTCTGACAAAAACATGGTGTTTTTTGAAAATGAAACATGTAAACCTGTTCTGGTACAACCCCTAAATAAAATGATAGAATTAGTACATAATTTAATTGCTGTTTGTTAGTGATGCTGATCAAAGTATGAAGGAAAACCAGTAGATGGATTGATTGGCATTTAAATCACTTCTCTGTCAGTACTTCCTAAGTCCTCATAGGCAAGTCCAGCTACTCGGCAGCCATCTTGGCAACGCCTCAGGGCAGCTATTTCGGACTAAAAAGACCAGGCTCCTATCTGAATGAATGGGGAGAGAACTGCACTTTTACTGGCCACCGGGACATAAAAAAAGCATGTCTAGAATCAGCAATAAAATCTGAAAAACACTGCTGAAAAAGTTTGCCTCAAAATAAGGTTTAAAAAGCATTTTTCCCAACAGGTTATACTTCTACTACACATGCGTAGTAGATTATGATAATAAAGTTTTATAATGCAGATTTTGATGGCAGCTGAGTTAATAAAGCATCCAATCGGATGACCAATAATCCCCATATCCACTATTTGAACGTTAGGGAAATGCAGTTTGCAGCTCTGATAACCCTGAAATATCTCAGCTGTCTGTGAGAATTATTCATCAAACCAAGTGTGTTTATCAGACCGCAATTTTGTTCTAAAGTTTCCATTAAATTATCAGCTGGATAACTGAGTAAAATTATTTAGTAAATCTTTTCATCTGGAAAGCTCTTTGTGCTTAACCTTGAAAAGTACTTTTTAAATAAAATTTTACTTCTTATTATTATTACTCTTAGTTAGAAACTTTTAGCCCCAACTCTTAGTTGTAACATAAGATACTCAAGTACTCAAGAATGTGGCTGATACAGTTTTGACCTTAGACAAAATATTTGGGTGGATGAGGCGGTTGGGGGCGGAAACCTACCTGGTCGAAGGCTCTGGGTGTAGCCTACTCCGATCAGACTAGCATTGTTCACTTTGGCCTGCGGGGGGAAACAAGATGAGACATGAAACTAAACAGCAAACAAAGCACCTGCCTAATCAAACAGCGCAGTAAACCAATGGTAAATGATCTGTATTTAGAGCCTTTCTAGTCTTTCAAACCACTCAAAGATTTACATCCCATTCACACACATTTATGCACAGCTGCCCACCAGAAACAGACATCAACTCATTCATACATATTCACACCGATGGTACAGCCACCGAGACATGCAGACAAGGGGAGCCGGGGGTGGAAACCACCGACCTTTTGCCCTCTGAGCTACAGTCGCCCAGTTGGAGCACTTACAGACAGAGAGGCGTCTTTATCCAGCTTGTATTTGGCAGCAATGCCAAAACGAGTGTTGTTGCTGCCGGCGGTCCAGGCCAGAGTGACCGCCGTCTCCAGCTCGTCATTCACCTTCTGGTAGATGGAGCCGCCAAACTCGGTCCCATCGTTACTGAGAGAGAAACAAAGCTAATTCAGAAACATTCTGGTTCAACATTTTAATTACAGCCCTACTAATATTAGGTAAGATTTGTTAGATGTTTAAATACTGGAGAACAGAGACTCAGACTTTCCTCCAATTCTTGCTCTTCTTTTTGTAATTTACTGTTTTAGGAGTCCCCCCCCCCAAAAAAAATCTGTTTTTGGTTTTCTGTAACTTTTTCACAACTAGTGGACCCTGATTTGTTTTAAGGCCATAAATGTTGGGAAAGATTGGTACTGGAGATAAAATACATCCATGTTTTAAGCTTTCATACCAGTCTCTTCTGTTTGCCGTGCATGCTTTCAGCTAAAATATTTTCTTTAATCCCAGAGCAAAAATGAGAGCTTTAAAAAAAATAAAAAAATAAAAGATAAATGACCCTGATCATCATTTTCTCCCTGCAGAGCCACAGGAGACATTATAAGCACTCCCTATGATTAATAAACTGTATACCATGTGTAAAATCACTGGAGTACTCACACATTGGTGTGTAGCTGGAAGTCCCCAGCCCTGTACCCGAGGGCGAAGTTGTTCTGGGCCAGTTTGGACTTGGCCGTGTCGAAGGCCATCTGGTAGCCGGCCAGCCAGCCCTCGTAGCCCAACACAGCGGCGGCGTGGATGATGGGACCCTCGAAGTCAACGTCGCAGCCCAGGTTCACGTAGTCGCGTTTGTAGCCCGTCTTCAGTTTGCCGCTCTTCTTACTGAAAAATTAGTTTATAGGGTTAAATGTTAGTTCATTTATTTATACTGTCATTTTAAAGTATAAGGGGCGATATTATTATTGTCTCGTGAAAAGATCAAAACTAACAATGAATGTATCACAGCCTGATAATCTTCTTCCTCTGAGCCACAAAGCTCCATTGCTGTCTAAAAACTATTAAAAATGAATGCACTATTTCCTGCTGTTTGTTTGATTAAAAACTGCAGTGAGCAGCTGTTTTAGAAAATAAATGAGACGTTATTGCATATTAAACTATACATTTGTGAGCTTTTTCCAGAGGAAGTTATTATTCCCATACATTAATGTCACATAGTTTTAAAAAGAGATGAGTGAGTCGTTTAACTCCTCAGGCCATTCAGAGAAACGTGGAAACAGCAGCTAATTATTAACAAACAGAGAACCTAGTGGGAGCTTTTTCCACTGTGCTCTGACGTTTGTTTTCCATACCACCAGACCTGGCCCACAGTTCATCCTTTAATGTTTCATGTACTCCACATAAGGCAAAGGTATCACTCATTCATACATGTAGTCTTACCCCGTGTTTGGTACAAAAGACGTGTCCAAGGCCACCTTCAGTCCTTGAGTCAGCTGCAAGTAAAGTAATAATTTAAGTTCATTTTTAACCACATTCCAGACTTTAACAACGTAATTACATCAGTTGCAAAACACTTTGCTCTCACACTCACACACCTGGTCCTCCACGGTGACTTCAGTAGCCAGTGTGTTGTCTGTGTTCCACTTCTGGTTGAAGCTCAGACCCAGCTCCTTCATCTTGTATTTGGTCTCCAGGCTCCCCGAGGCCTTCCCCGTGTCTGTGTTACTGGAGCCAGATGTGTTGAACTCCTGCAGGATGATCAGGAGGACAAATTATTAGTATACGAGAGTCACTACATAATAACGGACAGCCAAAGTGTGTTAAAATAATGGACTGAAGAACTGGGTTTGTGTAGATTATTGCAGAAAAAAAGAGAGACCTGAAAAACCAAGGAGAAAAAATAAGAATAGACCCAACTTAACTATAGAGAGCCTGAGTCCCTCCATTTCCTGTGGACCACCATGGGACCTTATTTCAGATAAAGTATGTCCAGTAGTCAACGGCGAGAGACAACTAATGTTTTGATCCCGTTTGAATGGTGCCCTGAATTACACACGTTTGTCAATTTAAAATATAACTTACTGAAAGTCAAGAAAGTCTCAGTTTGTCGTAAAACTGTTGATGTAATAAAAATACATAATTAGAAAGACCACAGAACACAAAAGTCGCATATGTGACGTTTTTACTTTCATTATCGATTAATCTGATTCACACTTTGTGTAATAGTTGCCAACTAATCAATCAATCAACTAATCGTTGCAGCTCTAGTCATAACCGTTTCTCTCAATGACTGAAGCTAACGTCACTGAAGCTAATGTCAAAGAGCTTCCATGTGTAGATGATGTTATGAAAAGACCGGGAGTCGTTGGATTAAACACATCAGGAGAGAAACGTCTGTGCCTGGAACATAGCTAAGTAGCCTAGCTAGGAGCAAGCAAACAATGACCGTTAGCTTAACATTACAGCGCTAACATGTCGGTGACGTATATTGTGCGAGACGAGAGTTCACTAAAAACTGTTTTACGACAAAATTAGACTTTCTTACAAACTTTAAATTGACAAACATCATGTGTGTAATTTGGGACACAATTCAAAGACGATTAAACGAAAGGTGTCGTCAACGTTGACTACCATGCATATTTTTTCCGAAATGTGGTCCCATGGGGCGGAAGCAGAAGGGAGGGACTAAGGCTCTCTATTATTTAACTGTTTAGAAATAAAACAAGAAATATCAGATGCGTATAACACTGTACATATCAGACAAGACATCTGACAGGCAACTGTGAGACAACCAGACATCCTGAACATTAATCCAAGCAAGACAACATTAACATGTGATGGACAGAAAAACACACCAGTAGGTTTGAAAATGATACAACTAAAGGCACTAACTCTTAAATGTCACTGTGACAAAGCCAAAGCACATATGGTTAAAAACACAGACAAAAGGTGCAAAAAAAGTTCCTGTATTTGTCCAGTAAACTAGCACCTCCTGATTTAGCATGCAATCATTAACCATTAGCTAACTAGCAATAAACGCAAAGCACCCCTGACCATGGGAATGTCCTTAGTTTTGCAGGTACTTGGTCATAAAAAGTATTGGACAATTTTATTTTGAGTTGATGATGGTGCTAGAAAATAAAACATCAGAATATCAAAGTGATTACAATTCATCCTCTGGGGAACACAGCAACCCATCCAATGGCTGTGGAGATATTTTAATTTAATTTAAAGACATAAAAAGTCAACCTCATGGTGGCGCTGGAGGACAAGTCAGAGGGTCACTATAGTCTTTAGAAGAGAAAATGAGTTTGAGATGACTGCGGCTGACTTTCGCAGACTCGATAGTCTAACCTGAGCTGCAGGCGACTAAAAAGGGCGAGGAATAAAAACGGCGCCGTCAAGTCAGACACATTCTACCTGCGTGATCCTACTGTGAGCTGAGATCACTGACTGACCTTGCGCCATTTTTCTTTGCAAGTGCCGCGAGACCAAGCAAAGTGTGGCTCCAACTTTGTGGAGCTGGAGAAAAGCAACCTGCACTCCTGCATTATGGAAAATTTGAGTTTGGATGGCAATTTAAATGTGATAAATTAGGGAAACTTCTTTATAGTATTTATAAATTAGGGTTGGGGCTTTATTGGTGATGGCAACTTTTCACTATTTTCTGACATGTTTTAGACCAAACTATAAACTTATAATCAGACAATAATCTGCAGATTATTTGATAATGAAAATGTAGCCCTAAACTACGGACGACCGACACATTAGACTCACAGAAATTGTCCACAAAGAAATAAAATTCACAAGTAAACGTTCTGAATGAGACTGAAGTGACAGAACGTGGACAGTAATTGACACACTGATTTTCATGCTGTATGAATAAATATAAAAAACAATAGAAGAACAATGTGGAAACATGGAAACAACATGATGGTGAAGAATAAATAGCTGTCAGCTCTGACTCCGATCTTACCATCTACATTAGAGCGCGAGCAGTCCAGTACAGCAGCATGGAGACAGAGCAGCGGTTAGGAAAGGCAGGTAGAGAGACAGACAGGCCACAGAACAAACACAGGTTTGTCATGTTTCTCTACAACAAACCACAGCTTCAGCAAAGCATCGCTCGTCAACCTAGAAATCCTCAAGCTCGGGTTAGAGGATTCAGGAGGTGAGTTATTCAGGTGTGTGGAGCGGTTTTATCTTGGGGGTACTGGTGCAGTGATGGGATTAGAGAGTGCAGCAGGTAAGACAGGTACGGCAGGGAGGTGGGCCGTGCAGAAAGCATCCAGGTAATGACAGCAGGTTAAAGACAAACAAAACTGGTTTCCTCACCACTCCACTTTGTGATTTGGTCTTGAGGTCCAGCTTCACAACACCAAAGCCTGGTGGATTTCAAAAGACAGAGTTGTGTGATAGAGGTAATTAGCCAGATAAAAGAAAATCAATCAAATACACAAATATTTAGGAATAGTTCAACATTTTTGGAAATCTTTCAGTTTTTGTATGAAGAGGTATGACATGTTAATTAGAGAGCTTTAGAAGTGGTGACATGCCAATATTTATTTATTCTTTTTAGCCAAGCTGGCTGTTTGCCCCGTTTCCTGTCTTTATGCTATGCTAAGCTAATGTTCTTGGCTGGCTGCAGCTTCACGTTTCAAGAAAACATGTTAGGGTAGTATTAATCCTCAAAATGTCATTGTATGGTTTTTAGACGCAATGACAATAAAGGCAATTCTATTCTCATCTAAAGGCCAAATTATACTTCTGTGTCGAGTCTACGCTGCAGCCTACGGCGTCGTCTACCTACATAGTCACGCTGCTGTGAGCATTTTTACCTGTGCGTTTTGGTCTATACATCGCTCTGCAGTTACACCGCCAATTAATTGGGTTTCTACGTTCCACTGTGTTGACATCTGCTGGTGAGCTGGATAATCTCCGGTTTAGCCCTCCGCTAACTTGAATGGGGGTAAAATGATAATCGTGCGACTTTCTAAATGTTATAGACCGAGTGGATAAAATTACCCAGGGTTGTTATGCCAAAAACACAATTTATCCACCGTTTTACAGCCGCTTCTTTCACAGTATAAGTCTATGAGACTCTGTCTGGTTTGGCCACAAGTACTTCCTGAAGGTTATTGAATATTTTTTCGCCCCTCTTTGAAAATTGACTGGGTTGCTTTGTCTTCTTTTTCTATGCTGGCGACTAACACGGAGGTAAACGAGCTGTGCTTTATGTGGACAGTGAGATTTCTCTGGTGTTCGTCTGACAGGCAGTGGGCAGATGAGACGACCTTTAATTCTGGAGTAGTCCTTTGATGCCTGATGGCCGGTCTGTGTTTTAAGTCTGCCTTGTTACATCTTCACAGTAACGACTCCAGCTGGGGTCAACACATGTGCGATGTCAAGTCAATTAAGAATCGTAATTTGATTCAAGGGGCTGTACAAACCCAGACCCTTGATTCGAATAAGGAAACCCCCTTAGAAAAACAAATGGCCCAATCTATAACATAAAATTATTAAAATAATTGATTTTCTTTTGATCGAATAACTGATGCAGGTCTTTGAGTCTCCCTTTAATGTCTCTTGGTGCATTAGGCATTAGTGGGCAGTGCTTTAAATCAATTAGCAGAACTCATTTATGGTATATGGTGGATCAGGTTTGAAACACACCCACTCCTGTCCGGTTAACCTACCCATTAACGATCACACAGTTCATTTTCCAGTAACATATATTACATTAGAATATGCTGTGATATAAAATTTTTGGTAACCGTTTCTATCGTTTGCTTTGCAGATTGCCTTTACTGCCACCAATATTAAGCATTTTCATCAATGCATTATGTGAACGCTGGAGAAGCTCTGTGTTTCAGGAATTCCTAACAGTTAATAATTTACTCTTTGGGCTAAAACAGCACTCACCATAGCCTTTGCTGAATATATCCTTGGCAGCCTTGCCCAGGTCTGAGTATGAAGGAGGGACAGCCATCGTGCTGAAGAAGATAAAAGTCAGTGATGTGATCAGAAAGCAGGTTTTCTACACAGGTGTTGTACTGATTTAGTGCTATTGTAAAGGACATGATCACCAGAGGAGAGATTCACTTTTGAGCCCACAAAGCAGTCAGCATTGAAGGAGATCCCACCCACCCCTCACACAGCCTCTAAAAGGTACCGAAGTCCACCAGGCTGAGGAACAGTTCCACTCATCAGGCTGTTGGGAGGCTGAACACTTTCCCCGCCATCTGTCCCAAAAGTCTAAACTGCAAGAAATACTAATTTGACATTTATCCTGATGATTATTGATATCAAATGATTCGAAGTAGGAATGCACCGAATTGTTGGCCACCGAAATTAATCGGCCAAAAATAGCAAAAAAAGCCCTTTTGGTGTTCGGCCTAATAAGTCAAAAGACCGATTAAATTTTACCAAACAATCACGTTGACATGTCGGCAGTGTGGAGCATTTTAAAGTGTCAGTGTCAATTTAGCGCAAGTATAATGGATTTTGTTCGGTTTTCAAAATAAGGTGTCTATAAAGTATGGAAATAAGATTAATTGGATTATATTCACAGAAAGTATAACACATGTTACATGTGTCCATTAAAAGTAAATCGACACATGTAATTTACTTTACCAGACCCTGTTGGGCCTCGGACCCACCCACCACAGTCTCTCCAAATCCCGTGGGAAACAATGAGTAAAAAGCACATTTTGATTATTTAATTTATGCAGAGGTAAAAATTGGCAAAATAAATAGAAAAAATGTGAATGTACTTATTCAGTATTCGGCAGTATTTTTCTTTATATTCGGTTTCGGCCAACAATTTTCATTTCGGTGCATCCCTAATATGAGGTTTTTTATCCTGATAACATTTTTGGTATCGCCCAACCCTACTACAAAGGAACAAAAACTACAAAACACAAAACTAAAAAATAAACTGCTGCTATCTGCCTATTTGCACCTTTGCACTGAGGACAATTATTTATATTAGACAATTCTGACACTGGAGTTTGTCGTATTTTTGTATTGCATTATCAATGGGTCATGAAAGAGACATCATTTTAATCCTCTGTGTGCCTTGTGCATGGCAGAATTGACAATAAAGTTGACTGTGACTTTGAGTCTTCCAGGATGCTGCACCACTATCAAAGCCCATTCTCAACGAAGGCAGTTGGTAAAAAATATATACCACCAAACAATACAATAGCTATCATTTAATTGAACAGTCAAGTCTCCCTGGGAGCTCCAGCAGAAGGGAACAAGCTGTTCCTTTACAGGCAGCTGGGGAGCTAATAACTAATGGTCTCAGCATCTGGCTGCAACAAGAAGCTACTGTGGCACATACAGAGTCAAGCAACAAAAAATAAATTTAAGCTTGTATACATGTGTGCAGAAATGTACACAGAAAGACAGAAATTGCTAAGCTAGCAGATGTTCAAGCATCAGAACAAAAAGGTCTCAACATATCTCAAGGTTGTTAAAAATAAATAAATAAAAAAATGGGCCCTGGTGATGCTGCTGTTAGGACAAATCTGCAAGAGATGGAGCTTCCCAATTAAAAAATAAAGACAGGCAAGTAAGAGACAATCTTTTCTGCCTTAACAAAAGGTTGGTGCAGCTCTTATTAGGGGACAAAGGACAGCAGATGGGCCAGTGAAAGAGGTGTGGGGGGTTTGACAGCTAGCTAGCTGCCGTGTGAGCTGCAGTAACAAGCTAACTGAGCTAACTAACATTAGAAAGAAAAGGATAGGACAGACAGACAGACACCGGCTAAATGTTAATATTCTGTTCATAGTAACGTTGCTCTGCCTGTCCCCCTAAACACATCACAAACACACCCCTCAGCAGCCAGCTAGTCACACACGCAGCTGATAAAGTTGCTAAATGCGTAGCTAACGTAAGTTATTTTTTATTTATTTATATCTCTGTACTATCACACAGTAAACCTACAATGCAAGGATTAAACTGTGCATTTCAAGGCTAAACATCCTTACATAACAGACCGTTAGCTAAATCGCTGAACATGCTAGGGTGTGGCTAACCTTGGAGAGAAACGTACCGTTATCAAAGAAGGAATTAATAACGTGCATTATCATACAGATATTATAAAGCTCATAGCTGTATTTGACATTAACTAGCGTTGTTTGGTTCTTCTTACCCGTGCAAATGTGTTTGTAAGGGGAATTTGCAGAGCCTTGAGTGTCCCTGGCGTGATGCTGCTGGGCGGACTGACAGCTAGCGTAGCTTAGCAGAGGGACAGGGCACAATGAAGGAGACCTACGGAGCATGCGCAGTGGGAGTGCGCGACGCGAACAAAGAGTAGATACACAAGCAAGATTTCATCCACGCGACCAGAATCAGAATCAGCTTTATTTGCCAGGTGTGTGTACACATCCGAGGAATTTGACTCAGGATTGTACATTGCGTACGATGTGCTTACTGAAACAATAAGACAATAATAAAAGCGATGAGCACGAACTAATCCGAGAATGTTACAGGAATATAAAACGTTTTTAGAAGGAATTCGGAAACATTAAAAAATAAGATTTTTACACACAAAACGCAAAGGTTTTAACAATATGATGTTTTGTTATAAATTAAACATACCAACAGTTTGTACAAGTACAGACAATACATTTGTTGACAAACATAAATTGAATTGGTTTTGGTCATTCTTGAAGTAATTTTTTATATAAAAATCATTCATCATTCATTCAATCATTTTGAGGTTTGGACTGACATAACAAGCATTGTGAAGGTGTCACTTAGGGCTCTGAGTAATTGTTACAACATTTTTCGCTATTTTCAGAATCTTTACAATCGATTAATGGAGGAAATAATAAAGACACATCCTACTAAAATGGAAATAGTTAATACTATTTCCATTTTAGTAGCATCTAAATAATATATACTACTATTTAGATAGGCTTCTAGTATCTATTGATTCGTTACTAGTAATTATTCCAAAAGATACTAGTAACATTGTAATTCTTACTAGTAACTAATGGAATAATTACTAGTAACAAATAAATAAGTACTACATTTACATTTACTCATTTGGCAGACGCTTTTATCCAAAGCGACTTACATTTGAGGAACATACAAGCATCAACAGAGCATCAACTACAGATCTACAACTGACAATACATACTAGTAAGAGCAGCAATAAATACTAGTAAGAGCTCACATCAATGGGGTAGATACCTAGGGAAGGAAGTAAGAGTTAGCAAAAAGTGCAATCAAAACAAAAAGTGCAATCAATATAAGATCATTGTAGGGGATAGAAGAAGAAGAGCACAGGAAGAGCATGTTAGAGGTTAGGAGTTAGAGGAAGTGTTCTCGGAAGAGATGAGTTTTCAAGAGTTTCTTGAAGTTAGAGAGGGACGCCCCTGCTCTGATGGCGTTTGGTAGCTCGTTCCACCATCGTGGTGTCACAGATGAGAATAGCTGGGACTGGGATTGCTTTGTGTGAAGGGATGGCAGAGCCAGGTGGCGTTCGTTGGAGGAGCGTAGCGGCCAAGAAGGAATGTAAGTTTGTATTATGGAGTTTAGGTAGATGGGAGCAGACCCAGTAGTCACTCTGTATGCAGCATTAGTGACTTGAATTTGATTCTGGAGGCCACGGAGGTCACTGAGTAATGGAGTGACATGAGTCCTTTTGGGCTGATCAAAAACCAGACACGCTGCTGCGTTGTGAACCATTTGTAAGGGTTTCACCGCACAAGCTGGGAGACCTGCTTGGAGGGCATTGCAATAGTCCATGCGAGAGATAACCATGGCCTGTACCAGAAGCTGGGTGGCGTACTGAGTGAGGTAGGGCCTGATTTTCCTTATGTTGTATAGAGAAAAGCGGCATGACCGAGAGACAGTAGCAACATGGTCTGAAAAGGACAGCTGGTCATCAATCATGACACCCAAGTTTCTCACCACCTTGGTTGGAGTGATGGTTGCGGAGTCAATTTGTAGTTTGATGTTATGGTGGATAGATTGCTTGGCTGGAATGACCAAGAGTTCAGTCTTAGAGAGGTTTAGTTGAAGGTGGCGAGCCTTCATCCATGCCGTGATCCGCGCCGAGACAGTGGGATCACCTGGCGGGAAGTATAGGTAGAGTTGCGTATCGTCTGCGTAGCAGTGGTAAGAGAAGCCGTGCGAGCGAATCGGCCCCAGTGAGGTGGTGTAAATTGAGAAGAGAAGGGGCCCAAGCACTGAGCCTTGGGGCACCCCTGTGGAGATGCAGTGGGAGGAGGATACAAAACATTGTAGGAACGCCCCGAGAGGTAGGATTCGAACCACAGGAGTGCTTTACTCGAGATGCCCATTGCTGAGACAGCGGATAGCAGGATCCTGTGGTTGACTGTGTCAAAGGCAGCTGATAGGTCAATCCTGCTTGACCTAGTATCTAAATCCTAATTAATATTTAACAGCTAATTTGCATTGTTGAAGATATGTTGTGAGTTAGATATATCTTGTGTCCAAATAGTTACTAGTAACTAATGAAATAGTTAATAGCAGGCCTAACTACAAATAAAGTACTAGTATCTAATCAATTATTACTAGTAAAGGGGAATAATACTAGTAATTAATGAAATGGTTACAAGTAACTAATAAATAAGTACTAGTAGTTTTCTAAGAGCGACTAGTAAGATTTAAAGAATAAATGTTAAAAAGGGCTTTTATGAGAGATTATATCTGAACTGCAGAGCCCCTTATTTAAATGCCATAAAAATGTGCAATTAGTATTTAGTAAAAAAAAAAGTAACTAGTAACTGGAATAGTTACTAGTTACTAATAAATAAGTTCTAGCAGCTTTTATATGGTGACTAATAAGTTTTAAGGAATACATTTTAAAACTGCTTGCCATACAATATGCCCTCTGAGATGTAGTGGAGTGAGAGAAGAGTCAAGTAAAGGACCCAGGTAGTTTTTATGCATTTCTCTGCAGGAGTGGGGTGAGAAACAGCGCCCGCTACAGGCTGCATGTCGCATTTTAAAGTGGGCCAGAAACTTTGCAGCAACAACCTGGCAGACAAGAAGCTTTATTGCGGCGCTTTGCAGAGAACCTCTCCGGTCCTCCTTAAATGTTTGTGACAAACATGGCGTTTTTCCGCGTCGGGGGGAGAAAGTGTCGTGGCCTGCCCCGCCCTGTGTGAACACACTGACTCGACGCTATCAGCCTCCCTGTGTGCCACGGAGGGAGCTCTCACTGTGAAAAGTACAGCAAGCCTCTCATCAACATCTCCAGGTCAGGAGCAAAAGTCCAATGGTCAGCACCGCCCGCCTGCCTTCCTGCCTGGCCTTTGAATGTTTGCATCGCTACTCCTGCTCAGAGCACCCACACTGCATGAGGGCTTGACCGGGTTTAAAGCAGATCCGCATTGATTTAGAAAAGTTAGGCCGGTGAATCGCAGTCATGTCTGGACAAAATAGATTCGTGAGCCCGTTTCACAGACCCAAGTGTTTGGCCGCTGCAGCTCCGGCGGGGAAAGCCAAACTCACGCACCCTGGCAAGGCTATTCTGGCAGGTAAGAAAAGTTTGCGTGGGACTGTGGGGAGTACGTGTCTCTGCCAAGGCGGCTGGGGAACTTGTTTACAAGTTCTGGCACTGAACCTTAATGAATATGCAGATGTTTATCAGGGGGCCTCGGCTGCAGCACTGTTTTCTAAAAGTACATTCGGTTAAATGCACTGCAGGCAGGATAAAGTGGGGTTGATCATCTTAAAGACTCTCCTTCTCATTGTGGAAGCGAGAGTCAAACTTTCTGCACGCCTCGGTCCTGCAGCCTGTCAGAAGTCTCAGGACAGATCCTGCGCTCAGTAAAACTTGGGGTTGGACAGGACCCCAAACCCCAAGTTCCTGGAGGATGGACAGGCTGGTGTGTGTGTGTTTTAAACAGCGTGCCACATGTCCTTTTCGAAGAAACCAGACTGACATGAACTCTGACTACCTGCCCTTCTTATTAGTCAATCAATGACAGGTGCTCAAACTCCACACAGAGCAGAGTAATGTACCACAGGGCAACGATCAGTGGCGACATTGCATCATCAAGAGGACGTAATAAAGAGCTGACAGCTGAATTTACCAATCAAAAGCAAAAGCTTTGTCATAACTGTACTTTACTGTCAGCTGTTTAGTTGGTGTCCTAATACAGTGTCCTCAGAGGCCCTGGTCTCCATGTTCAGCTGCAATGAGCCAGGATGACAAAGCAGATTGCTCTGTCAGCCTCTGCACACATGTTACAGGGTTACGACACGCTTGTCACATGTTTACTACAGGACCTTTTGCAATGGGCTCACACTGTCAAGGTGAATTTCCATGCTGTTTCTTATTCACTCAAGGCCAGATGTGCAGTAAAACTGCAGTAAGGAAGGGTATTTTAGTCCTAATAATAGAGAGTATGTGGTCAAAAATCAGATAAAGAAATGCACTTTCATTGAGCTTATAGGATGACAAAGCATCTATCAGGAAGTCACAAGAGAATAATAAAGGCTTTATAACACCATTAACTGTGCACACAGCTTAGTAAATACATTGTTGTTTTTATTTTGGTCATATACACAAAAAAAACAACAAGACATTTGGGGAAATGCACGTATCAGCTGTCTGGTGTAATGTAGAATGAGAAGATTAATGCCACTCTCACACCTGTCCATTAAATATGAAGCTAAAGCCAGGTGACAGTTAGCGTAGCTTAGCACAAAGACTGGGAACATAGGGAAACTGCTAGCGTGGCTCTGTCACAGCAAGTCTCAGGGCCTAGCCAAGAAATATTCCAGCACATTACATCTTGTAGTTATTACACTTTGATTTTGTTACCATTAGACGGAGCGAGGTTAGCTGTTTCCCCCTGTTTCCAGTCTTTATGCTAAGCTAGGTTAATTGTCTCCTAGCTGTAGCTTCACATTTTTATCTTGTCAATCTTTTCATCTAACTCTGCAAAAAATAGGGAAACATGTCCCAAAATTTTCACACAAACATTATCTAATCCGTGACAAATACTAGCATTACCTTAGCCTGTGAATACTATAAATGTACACTATTCTAGTAATTAACATAACATATATTAACATGTATTATTGTATTATTGTATTATTATTAATGTTATAGTAAGGCTAAAGTAAGTAAGTACAGTTTAGTTTAGGACCTTTTCACAGAGTGGTCACAAAGTGCTTTACACAGTAAAATATTAGAAAAAAGACAACAATAAAACGTGAGCAACAACACCTGCCAGTCACATTTGGTCTGAAGAACTACAGGCTGATTTACTACTTCAGAGCTTTGTGCAAATATAAATTAACATATACGTAGAAAATAAACATTGACAGGTTAAAGATTCAGCAGCAAACAGCCCTCTCCCCCCACACTCACTTTCTAAAAACCTGTGTCTGTACATGTCGGACTCGATAAACTGGCTCTTTATCGTTTTCCAGCTTGAATACAGGGATGTAATGCAGGTACAACATGGAGGATTGTTTGCAGATGATGATGATGTGGACTGTTTTTTTGTTTGTTTTTTAATTCAAGCTTAATTAGTAGGTCGAGCTTCAGCTTGTGAAGTCAGTCTGTCTCTAACCAAAGGAATGCCGGGGTGTGCCGTAACCAGCACTTTAACGACTCCGGTTTAGTCGCCAAGATGCTCTGGATGTTGTTGTGCAGAGGTTTTCAAAGCACGCGTTTAAAAGAGAGTTCAGAGATTGTAGTTTTGGGGAAGTTTACTGTCTTTCCCATCATTCAGAAACAATCATCCTTATGACATTTGTTATATTTGATGTAGTCTAAGGATTTGTTAAACAGTAATATTAGGCTATCATGGCTCAAGTGTTGGGTGTGTATGGGATCAAATGACATGATCCTGGTCCCGTAGATATCTAATTGAGTGAAACTAAGTAAGTAAACTAACAGGTTGTGAGGTGGCGCCTTTTTCTAAGCTTTGTCTGAGGCTCAGACTTTGAAAACCCCTGTTCTGGCGAAAACAATAATTTATTTAACTGTAATCTTATGATTGCACGAGCAGCACGGCTTGCATGCATGAGCTCAGACTAGAACCGCTGGTGTGTTGGGTTTCTGTTTTTGTATGTGTGATGTTACCATTTTACAGTTACTCTATTTTTAAGGCCTTTGTATCTTTAGTATCTGTTTGAATTCAGGAAGATATCAGTAGAGGCCTGGGTGTTACCAGGATAACTGGTCAAACCTGTTGTTTTGCACTAAAAGCTGCACACCTGCTGTGCTTTTTTGACAGAACGCTCAAGTTTCTTTTCTAACTTGTCTCTTCTGAACACATCAGCGGATTCAGACTACTCCCTGACTGCTAGTCCCTGTTGCTGCAGGGTGATGAGCTCTGCGGGCTACACACCCCCTTCAGTTGGAGTCAGGCCAGGGGGAGAAACTGTAGGCAGACGCCGAGCCAATCAGATGCTGGCTGCGTGTTTGCTGTTGAACTGCAGATGGGTGACAGACGGGGTTTTAAGGTGGCGCTGTCTAAATACTGTATCGCAGGCGTGGACACAAACGTCACTCTGATGATTACTGATTTGCACCTTGTTCACAACTTTTAAAGGAAATCTTTTCAAGTTTGCTTTTACCTTGAAAGTTTTAACTCTCTAAGTGTTTTACCTCACATACAACATTGGTATTTAGTTTCTCTCTTTTATTGAAACATCCTTCCTGCTTGTTAATGCATCTTCGTGTTTATTTGCACCTTGTATTGCATCTTTATGTTTATATTTCACATCACCAAGACTTTTAAGTCTCGTCTTAAAACGCATTTTTATCTGGTTTTTAGTTTTTATTTTCTATTGTATAACTTTTTTCAACACATTGGTCAGCTTCGGGTTTTTTTTAAATGTGGTTCATAAATAAAAACTTGAATTGACCTGAAATGTGCTAGAAAAATAGTTTATTATCAGTAAAATTGTGAAAAGATACTGTGGGAATATTGTGGAACTACCTTTAACATACAGGACTAATTGTTTTGTCCTATTAAAACCAAACTTTGTAGTTTGTGAAACAAGTTTTTGATTGTACAAATAATAATAATAATAATAATACTTAAATACAATTTTATGCATTGCAAATACATCATACATTCTTATGAATAGTGCACAATAGTCAAAGAAAGTAATATTTGTAAAGTAGATTAGATAAAGAAAAACGTGGCTATACTTTCTGCCTGTAAGAGTTTGGTGTGTTGATGCAGTTTTATAAATGAATGCCTCTTTCTCCCTGAAATGCACTTGTGTAGTGTTCACTGAAATAAACATTAAAATGTTTCTGCCTACAGAGTGTTTTTGCTATTGTTTCAGGTGGGATAGCAGGAGGCATAGAGATCTGCATCACCTTCCCCACAGAGTACGTTAAAACGCAGCTGCAGCTTGACGAAAGGGCAAATCCTCCCAAATACAAAAGCATCGGTGAGTTTCTGTTCACTGTCTGTTTATATCTTACCTGAACTGTAAAATCTAATGCAGTCTAAAACAACAGTTCGGCCGTACAAAGATAATAATGTTCTGTTTTGATTGGTATTGTCAGAGAGGTATTATTATGTTTAATACCGAGGTTGTAGTTTCTAGACGATATCCTGTTTTAGAATGTGGAAATCTTAATGTTTGTTATACTTTACTTTTTAATACATTGATTTTTGCATCTTAAACTATCTCTGGCTTTTTAGTTATCATTTTCTAATTAGAGCTGCAACAGTTAAATCAGTTTTCAACTATTAAATTAATTGCCAACTTTTTTGATAACAGATTAAGAAGTTTGAGTATTTTTTTAAGAAACAAAAGAAGAAATTTTCTGATTTTGCTTTCTTAAATGTGAATATTTTCTCTTTTCTTTAGTCCTCTATGACAGTAAACTGAATATCTTTGGCTTGTGGACAAAACAAGACATTTAGGAACGTCATCTTGGGCTTTGGGAAATAGTGATTGACATTTTTTAACCATTTTCTGATATTTTATGGACCAAACAAGTAATTGATTCATTGAGAAAATGATCAACAGATTAATCAACATTGAAAATAGTTAGTTGCAGTCCTATTTTGTCATATTTCTTAATCCCAGCAATTGAATATATGTCTCTGATTGATGGACTGTATAAACACCAGGGGACAACAGTGGAAATAAAGTTCTAACCCTGTAAAATTGTAATGTTGTATTTTAGAAATTAGTTATTTAGATATAGTCGTTGATAAAACCAAACAAATAAGTCATTCGTCATTCTTTCATGAGTTGCCATGATTAGATCTACTACATTATGAAGTGACTGTTTCGAGTATAAATGATGTCTACAGATCCTGCAGCAGCTCACAGTTGATCAGTGGTCCATACTGAGTTAATCAGCAGCTGTCTCACTGAACTCAACTGAAGTTTAAGATCCAAAGTTTAGACTCTACCTTTAGTAACAGCCCATAGTAACTTTAGACATTGTGTTGGTGCAGATTTGAGTTCAAACAAGTGTGTATTTGCGTAGTTAAGTCTTTGTTATCTGTTCGATGACAGCTTGTGAACTTTGGCATAGATCGTGTTTACTCATGGAAGCTTAGTATGACGGGCTGTTGTTTTGAGCTGCAATAGACACGCGTGAAACCCAGAAATTCACATTTATCGTCTTTTAACTTGAGACATAGCTAAGATTTTCACAACTAAGCAGCTGAATATGGTGCCCGAGTGAGCTTTTGTTAGCAGCAGTGCAGAAGTCTTTTGATACGGATGCAAGAAATCATTGTTTTGTAATCTTACTTGTTTCTCCTTCCGTCATTCATTCCCTTCGGTTTCTCCTGCAGGTGACTGTGTGAAGCAGACGGTGAACAGTCATGGGGTGAGGGGTCTTTACAGAGGTCTAAGCTCACTGCTGTATGGCTCTATACCTAAAGCAGCTGTCAGGTATTGAAACCCTCCAACCTTACACTCCTGAGCACACACAGACACAACCTTTATGAATGTCTTATTTCCAGTATACCTCCACTGTGATCTCAGGTGTGGCTGCTAGATGTGTAAAACAAAACTTCAGTATTGATTGTCTGGTACCACAAAGCACCCTTTATAAAGTGTTTTAGCTGTAGAAGTACCATTAGTTATCAAGCAAAATGCCATTCAGTCTCTGGTTCCAGCTCCCCAAACAAGAGGATTAGCTGTTTTTTTCTGTTTTATATTACTGTGAATAGTAATAATAATCTTTGGGTTATGGATTAGTAGCTTTGGCTCTGGGTAATTGGTGATGGAGATTTTCCAAGTCTTCTCATATTCTGTACAGTAAATTAAGAGATTAATCAAAAACAATCGTAGACACATCTATCCAAAAAAAAAAAATTTGTAATCACTTCTAATCATTTGTAATATTTGTTCGTGGTTGATAAACAATTTATAAATGCTTTAAAGATGGTTATTAAAGTCATCAATAAGAACCAGAGCTGCAACTAACAATCGTTTGCCTAATAGATCATATTTAGTGAATAGATTCATTGTTTCATCTAAAAAATGTCAGAAAACATTAAAACAATGTCCATCGCAAGTTTCTGAATTCCAAGGTGAAATTAGTTGTTTAATTATCAGAACAGTTACTGATTATCTTTATATTAATCGATTAAGTGATTAATTGCAAAATCGTTTCAGCTCTAATAAGACGGTTGTTTGGGTTGCCAGGTCGTTTAAATGTGTAAACCATTTGGCTGGTCTTTATCCTTCCATTTGGTGACTACCAAAATATAATATACTTTTGATAAATAAATAAAGGGTCCAACCACAAAAAGGGATCTTTTAACAACCTGGCAACCCAAAAGTTGTGCTTAAGCCGTACAAAGCCACTACAACTTATAAACCCTTTATAAAGGATGCCTTATTAGAAAGTGATACAGATTATTTCATATTTTGAGTCATTCATCTTTTGTGCTAACGTCTACAGGTTTGGGATGTTTGAGTTCCTCAGTAATAAGATGCGCGATGAAAACGGTAAACTAGACAGCAAGCGAGGATTCCTCTGTGGCCTGGGGGCTGGAGTGGCAGAAGCTGTGTTTGTAGTCTGTCCCATGGAGACAGTTAAGGTAAAAAAAAACCCAGCATTATTAAACATGCGATCCATTGTACTAAAATACAAATAATATGTCTATAGCTGTTTTGCAGACTGCAGCATTACTCCAAGCATTATTGTTTGCAGAAATCTGCATGCCTCAGATGTTATTTTATCATCTCTGTTTTGATTCTTTACACTTTATTGATCATTTTCATTATGTCATTGTAGGTCAAATTTATCCATGATCAGACATCAGCAAAGCCAAAGTACAAGGGCTTTTTCCACGGGGTGAGGGAGATTGTTAGAACTGAAGGTAAGGAGGGTTTCTTCATTCCTGAAGGGTTAGTTGGATTTTACTGCCACCTACTGTTTCACTCCACCACTCTTCGTCCTTACCATGTGTTTGAGTCCTCACATCCATCATGTAGATAATAATTATATTCTTCTTCAGCCTTATTCCTCCTGAAAAGTTCATTAACAATTATGATAATTATTGCGATATAATTTGTTATTTTCAGTAACAATATACAAATGTTCAATAAAATGTTTGATTTAATTCATGATGATTTAATTCATATGAATCATGAATCTTAATTTTTCTATTAGTATATTTATTTTGTTGAGGAAAAGGCACTGAAAAAAGATTTTCCTTATTTTTACTCATGCATATTTGTTGAACAAAAGATTTTTTTTATCATAATTGTTTTGTTAGTGATCCAATGTTTGGCATCAAGTGTTTGTTCTGACCACAAAGAAAAGTTTAAAACCAGAATTAACCATCTGGTTTCTTCAACTTTTACTCAGGAGCAAAAATCAGCCTTTTAACTTGAAAGTTTACATTTATCGATATCAAATGAGAAGAATTTTTTTTATCGTGAAAACATATTTGTGGCCTTGTCGTCCAGCCCTACTCTGGAATTAAACAGGAAAGCTGTGAAGATTTCGCTTTTGATGGAGTTAACTTGGTAATGCTGCTGTATCTTCAGGACTGAAGGGGACTTACCAAGGCTTAACAGCCACCGTGTTGAAACAAGGCTCCAACCAGGCCATCCGCTTCTACGTCATGACTTCACTGAGGAACTGGTACAAAGGTGCGTGAGTCAATAGCTTGTTTCACAACTTCTATAATCACCACATACAACCAACAAATGCAACCAAATAAACAACCTTTATTTTTTTTTAACACCAAGGGGATGACCCGAACAAAGCCATTAACCCCTTGATAACTGGACTGTTCGGAGCGGTTGCTGGTGCTGCCAGTGTGTTTGGAAACACTCCCCTGGATGTCATTAAGACCAGAATGCAGGTTGGTTGAACAACACGTTCACTTCTTAGACCCTCTATAATTTATCCCTGAGCAGAGCGACTAACGTGTATGTGTGTTATTTAACAGGGTCTCGAAGCTCACAAGTATAAAAGCACAATGGACTGTGCCGTCAAGATCATGAAGCACGAGGGACCAAAGGCGTAAGTTGACAAACTTCATGGAAAAGGACTGAGTTTGTATATTTTGTACACGCTGAGTTTGCAGCAATTGCTTGATAATACAGACAGTTCGAGTTGGCCTCATATCTTTAAAGGATTTACACTCTTTACGCATCAATAATCCAGCAACAGTTTGGAATTCCTTTGTCTGCAGTGAGTTTTGGCCACTAGTTTTGCTTTCTGGGGTGATGCCTTTTTAAATAACGTGTGTTAAGTGGCTAATGTAAAGATTTTGCATCTTTTAGTGCATGTTGGTATATTAACTTTCTTTCTTTGTCCCTGTCAGGTTCTACAAAGGTACTGTTCCTCGGCTGGGTCGGGTGTGTCTGGACGTGGCCATAGTCTTCATTATCTATGAGGAAGTTGTGAAGGTCCTGAACATTGTGTGGAAGACGGACTGAAATGGGGCACTGCGCAAGCAGGAGTGTTGGGACAGGTCGTTCACATTATTAACCAGACCAGGTCCCAACCCAGTCTCCTTAAACCCTGCTTCTAGGTTCTAATATCTACCTCTAAGTGATTTTCAGAAGGAAAGACAGGGATCGGTATGTTCTTGATTTTATTTGTAACACAGCTATCACAAGTGGAAACATTGTCTGCAAGAAAACAAGCTCCAGATTGCAGTCGCTGCTTACACTTGCTCTTTTTGCCTAAATTCCAGAAGGGGGGGGGGAGTTCCTTAAGAGCTCAGGGAAAGGAACGGGGCTTTTTATTTGGATCTAAATGACTAAAGAAATGGTGAACCTGGCAGCACAGAGAAGCGTGTCTTACCTGCTGCGCTTTGAGTTCAGTTATACCAGCGCGATGGATGTACTTTAATCAAAGAGAAACCAATTTCTGACCCAACATAATGTGATTTAGACACTGTAGATAAAGAGATATACTTGAAATGAAAGATTATACCAGAGATCAGACATTTTAAAGCCCTTTTATATGCAAGTATTTAGATTAAAAAAAACGTTATTTCATTTAGTACCTGATGAAATAATTTATATTCAGATGTCGGCAGAGGCTATAGGTACATTAACTAGAAATGCCTTAAATCAGTGGTTCTCAATGTGGGGTCCTTAGGGGTGTTCCAGGGGTCTTTCTGGGTGTTTCAGGGGGTCCCTAGCAAAAAGGGGGAAATCATTTATTTTCGCTATTCCATCCATAAGTAACACAATGAGATAAACTATTTTGGGTCACAGGTTTTATACACTTTCTGTAATCAAATCTAAAAGTAAAAGCCCTATCAGAGGGGCGAGCCCTAATTAATCGTGATTCCAGTTAAATTGCGTTGTATATGTACAGTGCACATTTCCAGAAAATTGTGGTTGAGGTGGTGTAGCAAGGGTTCGCTTTTAAGTTGCAGAGATTTTTTATAAATCAATTAACTTACTAGAGTGATGCTCTAAAAAAGTGCCTATGTGTTGTATGATTCATTTTGAGATCTTTTGAGATTAACAATGTCCGTAGTCACTACAGATGTTTTAATAATGCACTCAGTTGCACACACTGCAGTGGTCTTCATATCTTATTAATTAATTGTAACTTTTAGTATTTCGATGAATTTTCTGCTTTTCAAATCGCCTTAATTGCATAGACATGGCTGTTTGAGGAATGCCATTAACAGTGCCTTCCATATCATTCCATGAAGGACGAGTGGTTTAGGAATGCTTTTATTGCAGATTTCCCGGTTCTGTGTTTTAATTTAGAACTGCGTTGCATTAATTGCCTTTTTACTTTTTACACCAACTGATGACCCAATGTGCCAACTGCTGCTCACGTATATTAACGACATGTTACAGACTGGAGTTTGTAGCTTGGGAGTCTGACATGTTTACATGCAATGCAATTAATTGTCTGACAAATGTTTACTTTGAGCCACCTTGATCAGCTTCAGCCTGACTTTGCATACATGTAGACTTTTTTTTTTTGTCAGAGCTATTTAAATATCTTGGGAGTTTTAATATTAACACATGAAACATGTCCAGTAGTTAAAACCACGTATTGTGCCTTCAGTCTAATTAATTCTAATATGGATGCTGAAAAATAAACATTGAATTAAACTGTTAATGTTGTCGTGTTTATTTCAAATAGCAGTGGTGGAAAGTAACTAAGTACTTCTAATCAAACACTGTACTTAACTACAAATTAGATGTATTTGTTCTTTACTTGAGTATTTTCTTTTTTATGACACTTTCCTTTTCCATTGCACTGCATCTCAGAGGAAAATATTGAACTTTTTGGAGCTTACAAAGTAAGATTATCACACACAACAATTTTTTGTTATAAATTAAACTACCAAACAGTAAATACAAGTACAGTTAGAACATTTGTTGAGTGACATTATTAACTCTTGATTTTCTAGTCATTTTCCGTGGGAAAACATTTTAATGTTCCAGCTTCATAAATGTGAAGATTTGCTGCTTTTCCTTTTATTTCAATGTATTTTTAATAACTTTGAGGTTTGGACTGACCAAAAAGGCCTTCTTACAGGAAGACCATCTACCTGAGCATAAGGTGTGAGTGAAGGCTAAGCCAATTTTCATTATTTTGGATGTTTAGACACTAATAATTTGACAGATTAAATGTTTTTTTTTTTTTTTTTTTTTTTTACATATTTGGGGTCAAAAATATATTTAAAAAGTAGTTTTGTTTTTGTTGCCTCATGGCAACGTGATGCAGTCGGGCTAGTTTTCGTTCTCATTCACATCAAATCAACCTACATTTCACAGGGACTCTGCAAATCTGTGAAAAGTCTGGAGTAGAAAAAAAGCCAGCCAATGGTGGGATTTCAAGAAAAATATTTTTAATTGAAAGAGCACCAGTTCCCTTTTGATTTCCCTAATAAAATATTAGATATTAGCCAAACCAATACTGCACTTCGTTGCCCTGAGGCAACAAAATCAAATCTTCTAAAGGAGGATTAATTTTAAAATGTTATTTTTTTTGTTAATTTGTGATCTCAAATCATCTAGAAAATAGAATCAAATAGTTTCTGTATTTCTATATAATATTTTCTATATTTAAATAACATTGCTTGTTTTCTTTTTTGTGCTAATAAACCTTTCTCAAAGCATTTTCATCCCCAGCGTCCCCGGTGTTAATGACACCTCTGCTGTGAACACTCCCTCCACCTCTGTGAAATGTTTCAGGATTATTTGTTTTTAGCGTTTCTGCATTATGACCTTGCTTCGCGCTGTTTGGACCTTGCGCTTGCCGTAGTTGTCAGTGCGGACTTTCCTCGGGACGAATGAAAGAAGATGATGTTTGTGTTGGTGTGGTAGCATTAAGGCATCCTTAAAAAATGTCTCTTAATGGAGGGGGAAGCAGGGGGTTTTACTTCAACACCGTCTTGTCGCTGGCCCGGTCGTTGGCAGCTCACCTGCAGCCGCCTATAGACAAGGTAACGTTTTACAGCTAACGACGGTTACAAGCTAACACCTGCCGAAGAGTCTTTGACATCAAGGCCCGTCCTTAACTTCGATTCTCCACCTGTGTGGTCTGTGTTATTAACTTAAAAACACAGTAAACATGTCTTATAGTTTGTCAGTGTATGAATTACGTTGTCATTTTGATATTTAATGCGACACAGGAGCGTTTGTTACTGACTTCAAAGATGGCTAACGTCGGCTAACGTTAGCTGTTTTGAACCTGTACTTAATCTTCCTTAAATGTTAATGTTAAATTCGTTATATGTGAAAGGGAAGGGAAGTTGCCTTCATGTCCCAAATGTTTCCCCTTTTCTGAAGTAATGTGTTTTTCACGATAGTCCTTCATACAGGATGGCACAGGACACATAACCTGTCAGTGTTTTCTATCTATTTTCATAGAAACTCTGTTTTATTATGTGAAAATAAAACTAGAAAAGAATAAGATATTGTAAAATGAGAAAGAAATGCTAAAATCCGGTGTCGTTCAATTCTCCCTGTACATTTGACAGAGCCACAGACTAATCACTAGAATACTAAATAATGTAATAATTAAATAGTTTAAATGCTTTTACATGAGTTATCTAATGCAGAGCAACGACTAGTCGATCAACAGAAAGTTGGGGGCCTATTGTGGTTCTTTAATATGAGAAGGTGCTACTTTTCTTGGTCTTACTTTATAATATATTGATTATATATCTGTGACAAGACATCAAGACATTTGATGATGTCCCTTTGGGCTTTAGGGTATTAAATAAAGTTGGTAAGGGTTAATAGACCAACAACAATTAAATGGTTAATCTCTAAAATGATGTCACTAAAAGGTTAACGTTAAGCACTTGATATGTAAAAGGGAAGGGAAGTTGCCTTCATGTCCCAAATGTTTCCCCTTTTCTGATATAATTAATGTGTTTTTCACAATAGCTCATTTGGCTGTCAATCATACAGGATGGCACGGGAAACTTAACCTGTTGTATAACTCAGATCTTTATAAAGTTTTATTCTGTGAAAAGAAAACTAGAAAAGAATAAGGTATTGTCAAAGGACAAACAAAATGCCATAATCTTGTGTCATTCAATTCTTCCTGAACATTGGATTGAGCAACAGACTAACCACTACATTCCCAAATAATGTATTAACATGTAATGTTAAAATGCTCGTACATGAGTTATCTAATGTACAGTAACCACTAGTCGATCAACAGAAAGTTAGGGGCTTATTCCAGCTTCTCTAATGTGAGAATCTGCTGCTTTTCATTACTGTGTTTTTGACTGTTATCAAACTGTCAGACTCATCAAGACATTTGATGACGTCCCTTTGGGCATTATGATGTTAAATGATGTTAGTAATGGTTCATAGACCCAACAATTAAATGATTAATCACTAAAATAATGTCACTTTAAACAGTTAACATTAAATATTTGATATGTAAAAGGGAAGAGAAGTTGCCATCACATCCCAAATGTGCACAATATCCCCTTTTCTGAATTAATAGGCCCATGTTTTTTTCAATACCTGATTCTAGAAAACTAGAAAAGACAAACAAAATGCCATAATGTTGTGTCATTCAATTTTCCCTGTACATTTGACCGGGCCCCAGACTAACCACTAAAAATTTCCAAACAATGTAATAATTAAAAAGTTATCTAATGTAAAGCAACGACTAGTCGATCACCAGGAAGTTAGGCATCACCTTGGGCTCCAGGATATTGTGATAATTGGTGTTATATTAGTAATATTAGATTAATTACTAAAATACTTGGCAGATTGAGTGACATAGTCAAATTGTCGATGTCTCCAGCAAGAGCAATCATTAGTAAATGAAAACAGCTTTAACTATGAGGGGCAATGCTGGATCAATAAGCAGGGAACACGCGCAGCTGCTTCAGGGACCCGAAAGTCCTAGGTAGGTGCTTCCATAGTACTTTTATTACTTTCAAATGTTTAATTGGAAGTTGCAGGTCTGCAAAATATCAACCGGGTCCTGGATTACTATGTAACCTTTTGGCTCTGTATTTTTTTCTGACATACAGAAAACCTGAGGCCGGGTAGTATTCAAGAATAGACAATGTACTAGTATTAGTTTTGGGGTCTCTGGAAAATAAACCAAAGCTGCTATGTGAAGGATTTTTCATAAGAGGACCTAGGACCTGGGAGGTACAGGTCTTCACATGTCAAACCTGGGGTCACACAAACATAGAAACAGATTGACTTCTGTCTCTCTGGCAGTAGTTCATACCGCTGTCTCCTCTACGGGTGCATGATGACAGCTGGGCAGACAGAAACGAATTGTTGCCTAAACAGCCATATGTGACAGATACATTGATCTTCTTCAGTCTTGTTGACGAGGCAGACTGTCTCCCTTTAGATTGTAAAACATGTGACCTCCTAATTCCAACGTTATAGTTTAATATCCCAAAAAAAGGTTACACATACAGAGAATGATCGCGTAAGGGCTGTTTCGGTTGATACCTTAAAGGTATCGGTAAACCCAGATAACAAGCTAACAAGACCAGCTAACAAGAATTTCCTTCACACTATCTATAGTGTACTGTATGTGCAGTGTACTGGATGGGAACCTGGAGGCTTTATTATACTTCTTTAATTTGTATATTTTGTTAATTTCATATTTTTATAATGTATATAGGTTTTACAAAATAGGTGCTATTGTTCTATTTGTATCCTTAAAAACTGGTTAATAAAACAATAAAGCTGTTTCTGATTCTGAACAGGAACCCAAACAGGTTAATCTGGTAATGACAAGGAGGAAGCATCAACTCGCCCTTGTCATAATTAAAAGAAACAGGAGAAGATGTGTTATTAAGTAGGCGCGACTCATTTCATGCAATCTAAGGGATCATACAAGGAAGGCAACCAACTTGTCCAAACAGAAAATGCAAATAATAATGCGCCCTGAAATGAGATTCCATGTAAGATGAAGGTGTTGTGGTTGCTTTGTTTTCTCACTCAGTAGGTTGGGATTTGTAGTCAGGGATTACAGCAGGTCACATGGCAGCCTCTGAAATACTTTAAAAGAGCAGACAGAGTTTGAACTGATTAGACAACACACCCACTGAGATTAAAAATGGAGAAATGTTAGCCAGGACTTAAATAAAAAGAGCTGTGGGAGCAGAAATAGCAGTCGGGCCACTGTATAAATGGATAATGGCTGCTACTACTACTAGTTTGGGGAGCCTGTGAGGCTTTTTTCATGTAAGGTCACTTTAAATGTGCTTGTTATGAAAGGGCTGTATAAGCACGTTTTCTCAATAAATCAGTTCATTTTTAGTTTAGTCTATTTAATATCAGAAAATGTATGAATAATGACCCAAGAGAGACATTTTAAAGTCTAAAAACATCAAATATTTAGTTAACTTTTAAATATGAGAGAACCAATCATCACATGTTAGCACCTAATTGCTTTATTGACAAAGAGTTGCAGACCTGTGACTCTTGGCCCACTTTAGTCTCTGAAAATGTGAGTGGGAAGCCACAGAGGTCTGCTTCTGCTCAAAAGCCTCATTGTTTGTACAATTTCCTAATTTTACCGTGTGTCAAAACAGCCTTTGGTACTTAAGAATATCATTTTGGATGTTATTGGCAAAAAAATCGGTTTGTGTGATGGCAGCATCCGATTGGTTCTGTTATGTGTTTCCATAAATAAGATTTCTCCTGATTTAACAAGCAGGTTGAGCTTTGGTATGCAGTCCACCCAAATCCTTCATATTATTTTATTGCATTTCATACGGTTTGTGCACTCACAGACATAACCGAGTTGAGATGATCCTCTCCACTGAGTAACGGATTAAACATGTAGGTTGTAATGAGCTCACTCTCTGTGTTTAAATGTTGATTAAATCCCTCTCAGAGTGTAATTAACTAATGCCAGAGGCGACGTTGGCTCGATTCCTGAAGCGCATTTAGTCCAAAAAATCCCTTGGTAACGATCTGTCTGTTTAAGCCACGTGGGCAGGAGAGTTCTGTACATTTTAAAAGATAGTTTTATCCATCTTGATCCAAACAGCAGTGGATGTGACCGTGTGTTGTCCTCTCACAGGTCCAGAAGCTACAATGCATGTGCCCCGTGGACTTCAGAGGAGTCTTCCAGCTGGACGAGAGGAGGAGAGATGCTGTCATTGCACTGGGCATCTTTCTAGTAGAGTCAAACCTGCAGGTAAACATTACTTACCCCCTCTATGATACGTTTGTGCTAACAGTGAATTTACAGGATGTTGGTAAAGCAGTGGGAACTCTGTGTAACATGCGATGGATTACTTGTGTTGCAGCACAAAGATGCTATCGTCCCCTACCTTATCGGGTTGCTTAAAGGGCTTCCTAAAGTTCAGTGGATTGAAGAAAGCTCTGAACGCAAAGGAAGGGGTAACTTTGTTATGTTATCTTCTCTCATTCAAGAATGGATGCTACTGTGCTGTAATACAATTTAAGGTGCTTTTTTTAATATTTGGTGAATCTCTCTTGCAGAGAACCTTCCTGTCGCAGAGAACTTCAGCTTTTGTCTTGTAACACTACTCTCAGACGTTGCCCAACGTGATGAGGCCCTACGAGGACAGGTGTGTATCTGTGTGTTTTCAGTTGCTGATAATTCCTCCTCTCCATATCGGCTGCAAAGGGGCTCCTTACAGGATTCCAGTGTAAGAGATGGAGGAAAATCAAATCCCTGAAAAAAAATGTTCAAAGATTTAGCTGAAGCTAATAAAAGACATTGACAGTTTGAGTCTGACATATTAGGTAGGTATCTATCCACTAGATCAACATTTTGTTTGTTTGTTGACAGTGTAGATATAGACTGGACACATGGTCAGGGAGAGGGGTTTGTGACATGCAGCAAAGGTGGCATTATTTGGGATGTACCTTAACCTTTAGGGTACTGAGGGGCCCAAACGCTGCACTCTTTTTAGTGCAAAATGTCCTCATTGTGTTACTATCTCTTTGCTGCAACTCAGCAAGGATACTGTGTCTGTGAAAACATTAAGAAGGAGTTTTTTAACTAAGATGACTAGACGTTTGGGAGATCCCAACTTTATTTTACTACTCGGACTGCTGAAGCCTCATATTAGTTTCAGCTGAACATTCAAATTTATCTTTGCACAGAATGAAGATTGCAGATTTTGTTCCCCATCACTTACATTGAAATATCTTTAGCATAGACAGGAGGAACAATTATTAATATTTTTTTAAAAATGTACATATAAATGTAAAAGTATTGACCTAAAAGATGTGAACCTATTCTGGATATAATTTCTTGCTGATATGGTTGGTTAAGTTGGAGTATTGTGATGATGTAACATCATTATCAGATCCTGGAGGCGGTCATGGACATCATGCAAGTCCTGCAAGATATCTGCAAGAATCCAGAGGCTCATGACAAAGGTATTAACATAACGCACCTTTCTTTGTTACTTAGCCACTCTGCGTATTAATATTTTCAACTCCTCCACCTTCTGTAACCCTTTCTTTGTTCAGAATACCTCTGTAGGTACACTGTGCCCACCCTGCTCGGTGTTGCCCGTGCATTTGGCCGATACAGCAACACTGACGAGCCCTTACTGTCCAAGCTGTTCCCTCGACCGGTTGCTCCTGTGCTGCCTACGGCCGACGAAACTGACGTGCTGCACCGACGGTCCTTCAATGACTTCCGTTCCATCCTGCCCAGCTCTTTGCTCACGGTGTGTCAGGGAGACACACTGAAACGTAAAGCCTCCTCTCTGTCCAGCGTGTCACAACAGGTAAGTAAAGGAAGTTAAAAAGAAAAGTTAACAGACCTAAACTTAACCTGTACAAAGCTATGTATTTTTACACACACTTGTGTGTTTTCAGGCCAGTCCAGAGAGAGCCTGTCTGACCCCCAGCTCACCTGCTGATCCCTCTGCTCAGTACTTCGAAGGTAAGTATCCTAGCAGAAGCAGTTCAGCCTGTTGGGCTACAAGGAAATGCTGAGGGACTCGCTGAGGAACATGTTTTAAATTCTTGCTTCCCCTCTTCAGGTTCCTACCTGCCCGATGGCAGTGCAGTGGACCCTGATTACTACTTCTCCACCATCAGCTCCAGCTTCTCTGTCTCACCTCTTTTCACTGGAAGCAGCTCTGGAGAGTTTCATGTCCCTATGGATATGCTCAGACAGCTCCTTAGCATGGTAAGCAGCCACAGCAGCAGAACAGATGCATTTAGCCGCGATTCGACCAAAAGGAACTAAAAGGAGGCCTGTGCGCCGTACAAAACGATGCACAGACATCATTATTTGTAACCACTGTCCATGGACAAAATGTATAAATGAACATCAGATTTGACTGGAATATAATGATCAACTATAGTCCAGTGGTTGGCAATAGGTGGCCCGCGGTCCAGAACCGGCCCGCCAGCAATAATATGTGGCCCGTGGCCAGATTACTTTGATAGCAGAAAAATAAAAAATTAACAAATTGATAATGGCTGGTGCTGAAACAGATCTCAGTCATGACAGCTACAGTTACTCACACAATCACTTCCTCTTAAGTGATTGTGCCTCTAAAATAAATGTTTGAGAACGTTTTTTGCAGCAATGCTTCATGTCGAGTTTATTGAGAGCTTTTACTTCTGTTCTGAAGGACATTCAAAGGAGTCTCTGGCCTGCTTGACACACCTCTAAAAAAGCCATCAGTAAACGTGTGATTGGGTTCTGCAGAATTTTCTCAGAGAAAGGTTTATGAATGCGGATCCAACGCTGAAATGCGCACACACAATGCATGCACATGCGCAAAATTATCCTTTTATTCAATTTGTTTAACAAGGGAGAAAAAAATATCCGCAGTAAGATGGAATCGATCTTACAATCTACCTGACGGGAGTCCCGCACAGTACCGACTGAGCTAAATGTACTTTGAAATGAGTTGAAATATTTGGCCCGATGCCAGACTTATTTGCCGACCCCTGCTATGCTTGACCATTAAAAACAGCTTTTTTGTGTGGGAGTATAATGGAGAGACACACAATAAAGTTTGTTACAAATTTAATAACAAACTGGATAAAGCCATCAAGTTCCCATTCCCATTCAGAAATTCACTACAAGGCAAGCCCAACCCCCCCAAAGTAGCGGTACTTTCGGAAAGTACTACCCCCCGAGCAGGGACTTTTTTGGGGGGGTAAAATAAAGACCCTAGAACTAAATTTAGATTCTGGTCCCTACGGTTGAAACAGAAGAGAGTTCCTCCAAAGGTTCCTTGTTCTGGGGTATAGTTCCTTTGCTCGAAACGCAGCTTTTGATTTGAGAATGTGATGCACGGTGCAAAAAGTGATGATTTATTCAGTTGTTTCTTTCAAATAGGTTGAACTATTTGTCTCTGAGTCATTTTTGAAATCACTGGATTTGTCCTTGGCAGAACTTCGAGAGGTATGACTCTTCAAACACTACAGATGTTTGTCTACTCTTTGAGACACTACTGGTTCATTGATACATCTTTGCTTCTTTCTTCACAGTTGAATCCTGGTCTTCATCTGTACTACAAAACCTTCAGTGATCCTTTATATGTAGCCATATTTAAAATGCTCAGAGACACCCTGTATAATCTAAAAGGTGAACAATATAGTTTTCTTTCTTCAGATTATTCAGAAATGCAGCCCTTTAATGCCACAATTTGTCTCTTCCAACGGTAGTAATAACAATGTATTTTTCATGTTCACCAGACCTTCAGACAGACTACGTGAAGGAGGTCCACGACTTTGTGCTGGAGCAGTTCAGCAGCAGCCAGTCGGAGCTGCAGAGGATCCTGCACGATGTCGAGTACCTCCAGAGTGAACTGAGCCCGCTGAAACTGCGTTGTCAGGCCAACGCTGCCTGTGTCGACCTCATGGTTTGGGCTGTTACTGAAGAGCAGGGTGAGAAATCTGTTCATTCAGACAGGAAGTAATCTGTCTTAGAGGTCATCTCCGCAAAAATGCCTGTGTTCTCTCTTTATTTCACCAGGAGCTGAGAACCTTTGCACCAAACTGTCAGAGAAGCTACAGTCCAAGACGTCAAGTAAAGTCATCATCGCTCACATGCCCCTCCTCATTTGCTGCTTACAGGTGACAGTTTGTCCACCTTCCTTCTTCTCTGGTCATCTTCTCCTTTTAAGAACCACATAAAGATAAAAGGGAAAGCAACGTTATGTTCATGTGTGCATAAAAAAATCTGGGGCTGAACTTAAAACTCACTACTATCGCTACTTGATACCTTTCTGGTATCGACCAAAACAGCCCAGTATTAAGTAGAATCGAAATGTCTCCTGTCAAACAAGTACTTCATTCGATACTTTTTAATAATAATAATAACTTATATTTTTATAGCACCTTTCTTGGGACCTAAGGACGCTTTACACATAACTACAGAGACAGAACAATAAAAGTCATTCAGGGCCTTTGTAAAGAGGTGGGTTTTTAGGAGGTTTTTGAAGGTGTCCAGGGAACCAGATCACGGCAAAAAATGACTATTTGTTATGGTTTTGCTTGCAGCCAAACACGCAAGCAACACACCAAAAGAAAGAGAAGAGCATGCCTTTTTTTTCCTTATGTGCCTGCACCATAAACGGTATAAAAAAATTCCTGAATGCGCCGCGCCCATGCTGATTTTAACCCTCACCCTCGGCTGCGGTGTCGGACATGTTCGTCACTGTTGCAAGTGTCACCACAAGCTTGGCTTTCTGTTGGTTTCATCTTCTGGTATCATTAAACACTTCTCTGTACTTTTTTTATTTGTTGTTCACATCACTTGTCACTGATCGATCGCTGCGTTCCATCACATCAATTAAACATTTTTGTGGCGCAGCAGCGATCAGCTGATTTTACTCATGTGGCCTCCGGCTGCGGCTGCTTCAGATCTAGTTGGTGTGATCAACTTGTCTTCTGTTTACTTCTTTAGAGTCTTTAGTATAGTTTAGTGACTTCGTTTCTTGGGGGTTTGCGACTCACCAATAAAGGAAAAGGCACTCGCGGAGATCTTTCAATTCAGTTAATCAAAAGTTAACAAAATAATTTTCCGTTGTTTACTTTCAACACACATATCAAAAAATTCCCTTAAATTCGTTTCCCACAACTTAATTGGTCACTAAACCATTTCTCTCCTCCTCTCTCATTCAAATATAAAATAAATTGCCATATCATAATCCCATGAGGATGACCTAATTAGGATGAGTAGGATGTTATACAATTTCCCAATACTTTCATGTAACAGTTACTTGAAACAAGAAAAAAAAAATAGATAACCTTGCTTGTCCATAACAACAATAAAAATAATAATAGGCTACCAATCAACTACTATGGCTTCAACCGGTGGCATTTTATGCAAGGTATCGAATGAAGTTCTCTATTGGTATCGACATCACTTTAAGGGTACAGGTTTTGGTACTGGTATTGTAAAATTTTAAACGATACCCAACCCTGTCCAGAACTACGCGGCCATTGATTAAAAAAAAAATTTAACTCAGTTTTCCCGTGATAACGGGATAATTATTTTATGATCTCGAGATAATGACTGTTGTTTTCTCGTGATCACAACTACTCTCTAGGTTAGAAGTCGTTTGTAATGCAGCCCGTTTTAATTGTTTGATGTGTAAAACTCCACTTAATAAACACTGTAACAAGTTAGAACAAGGCTGGACTACAGCCACAGTCATTCATTTGTAGACATAAATCCATTCATGTGTCTGTGTCTTCAGGGTTTGGGTCGTCTGTGTGAGCGCTTTCCTGTGGTGGCTCACTCTGTCACCATGTCCCTGAGAGACTTCTTGGTTGTACCCTCTCCTGTTTTGGTGAAGCTGCACAAATACCACAGCCAGTATGGTTCAGGTAAACAACAGACCGCTCAGCAGCTGAGCGCTCCGTCATTCAGTGGCACTGTTATGTCTGGTTCAAAGTTTTCATTTTTTAAATTTTTTTAAGGTGGTGGTGAGATAAAGATCCATGTGACCAATGAACACTCCCAGTCAACCCTCAGTACCAATTCCAGCAAGAAGAGCCAGCCCTCCATGTACGAACAGCTGCGGGACATCTCCATAGATAACATCTGCAGGTGACTTCACTCACAAACACACTTACACAGCTTATGCTCACACACTGTTATCAACACAGCCTTTACCTCTCCGTCTCCATCTGTCCTCAGGTGTCTGAAAGCCGGTCTGACTATGGATAACGTCATTGTAGAAGCTTTTCTCGCCAGTCTGTCCAACCGTCTTTACATCTATCAGGAAAATGATAAGTAAGTCAGTCTTTATATAAAATGATGACTTTGACAAAAATTTGAGAGAGTATTTAAACGTGTTCCCCTCTCTTCCCCAGGGATGCTCACTTGATCCCAGACCACACCATCAGGGCTTTGGGTCACATTGCCGTGGCCTTACGGGACACCCCCAGAGTAATGGAGCCCATCCTTCAGATCCTCCAGCAGAAGTTCTGTCAGCCTCCCTCCCAGCTTGATGTCCTCATCATAGACCAGCTTGGCTGCATGGTCATCACCGGGAATGTAAGCATTAATATCTCTACCTTCTGTTTCAGCTAACCCTAGTTTTAGAGCATATCTATCGTAACTTTTCTTTTTCTTTCACCTCAGCAATACATCTACCAGGAAGTGTGGAATTTGTTCCAGCAGATCAGTGTCAAAGCCAGCTCCATGGTCTATTCTACCAAGGACTACAAGGACCATGGATACAGGTGACCACCATCTTACGTGACACAGTTACAGTTCTTTGGGGTTGTTGAGTACATGAGAAAGTGACACATAAAGTCCTCATGTTGACGAGTATTATCTACGGTTTGACATGAGAATCTAGTGAAAAATTGTTCCCTCTTCTGTGCATAGACACTGTTCCTTGGCTGTGATAAATGCTCTGGGTAATATAGCAGCCAACCTTCAGGCTGAGCATATGGTCGACGAGCTGCTGGTCAACCTGCTGGAGCTTTTTGTCCAGCTGGGCTTAGAGGGGAAGAGAGCCAGCGAGAGAGCCTCAGACAAAGGCCCGACTCTGAAGGTATGACACACACATATACCAACACAGTAGCAATGAGACCGCAGTGCTGGCAAAAGATAGTCCAGCAAAACAATCTGGACTTACCTTTTTCTTCAGTGCAGCTTAGCTTTAGTTCAGTGTGTAAGTTTTAGTGGCATCTAGTGGTGAGGGTTGCAAATTGCAACCATCGGATCAGTCACCGCTCACCCCTCTCATTGCAAGCGCGCAGGAGAAGCTACGGTGGCTGACACGCATTGTCGACTCTTGTGCTAAATAATACGTGTGGTCTTCCATTTGTCCAAATTTCACTTCTCTTCTTACTTCTAATAAACCAGACTACTACTACTTTTTCTTCTTCTCCTTCCTACGTATTCAACGTAGTGACAAAACGCACTCTGTAGAGCATTTTGTCCATTTGCGCTACTTTAGAAACATGGCAGTGCAACATGACGCCGTCCATGGAGGACCGGTGGTGCATGTACATAGAAATGCCTCATTCTAAGGTACTAAAATGTAATGGTTTATTTTTTAAGGTCTTTATACACCACTCAAAACATAGTTATGTTTATTATATTGCATTTCTGTCAAGAGATCCTCAGAAATATGTCACACTGGACCTTTAATGATAGAGGAAAGGCAGGAAGACAGAGAGAGGGGCTTAAAATGCAGATTACTTTGGCACAGCTGTATTGTCAGTCTGAACACGTCTAAGAGTGCTAAAGGGTTCAGTGTGCTTGAAATGAACTGAGACATGGATGGACGACTTGACCTCATCTAAAGAAGGTGGAAACACTTTTTTAACGTGTTCTTCATGGCACATACATTCAGACAGTCTCCCCTGGAAAGCATGGTTAGTACCTGGGTGAAGTTTGCGTGATTGATTATTTGTTTTGGAAACTTTGAAATCGTCAGACGCAGTCCTCCAAATTCTGACATCAGAAAAGTGTGGGTGGACGGAGCTTTATAAGCTGTTAAGCAACTCAACAAGCACTTCATATGAATGATACTGACACCAGGCCTGCTCTCCTGCTTTGTCTCTCTAGGCATCAAGCAGTGCTGGAAACCTCGGCGTCCTAATTCCAGTTATTGCAGTGGTGAGTGTTTTGGACATTTACAAAATTTTTAGCTTTCATCATGTTATTTTTATTACCTTCTCCTTCAAATAATCAGACTTAGTCATTCAGCCTGTTAAATATTGTCATTTTGTACAAACACATCCTTTTTGATGGTCTTTATTGCTGTATTTTAACAACCAGATTATTCTCTCTCACTCTCTCTCTCTCTCTCCTTCTACTTTTAGCTGACTAAGAGGTTGCCACCAATTAAGGAAGCAAAACCTCGTCTGCAGAAGCTCTTCAGGGACTTTTGGCTCTACTCTGTTGTCATGGGATTTGCTGTGGAGGGCTCAGGTACAGTTGGTTCAATTATACATTTATATGTCTGTCTTCACTGCATGACATTCTGAGGAATGTTTGTATTTAATTTAAAAATGATTTTATGTGTCATGCTTCATGATTTGATTCTTCAGGTCTGTGGCCAGAAGAATGGTACGAGGGAGTTTGTGAGATTGCGACCAAATCGCCGCTGCTCACATTTCCCAGTGGGGAACCTTTACGCTCAGAGCTGCAGTACAACTCTGCACTGAAGAATGACACTGTCACTCCGGTATGAGAGCACATTCGCACACATGCACAAACACACTCACATAAAGTATACTGTAGTTTATGGTTCATTGTTGTATTTCAGGCTGAGCTGAATGATCTGCGTAGCACCATCATCAACCTGCTGGATCCTCCTCCTGAGGTGGCTGCTCTCATCAACAAATTGGACTTTGCCATGTCCACATACTTGCTGTCTGTTTACAGATTGGAATACATGAGGTAAACCAACATGCATGCATATTGGCTTAAGTGCTTGAAAATGTTCAGTAATTATAATTGTTTATATCATTTTTACTCTATGATGCTTTCTTATCATCTCTAAGGATGCTGTGTGCGCTGGACTCTGACCGCTTTCAGGTCATGTTTCGATACTTTGAAGATAGAGCGATACAGAAAGATAAATCTGGTAAGCAGAAGGGGGGAAAAAAAGACTTTCTAAACACATGTGGTGGGAACTGTTTTTTAAATGCATTAATATTCAATATATTCTTTGCAGGCATGATGCAGTGTGTGATTGCTGTGAGCGACAAGGTTTTTGAGATCTTCCTGCAAATGATGGCTGAAAAAGTAAGGGAGAGCGTGTATCTTGACTCTGACCCTTTGTTTCATCACACAGTGGGAGGTATTTACTCAGGAAGTTGTTTTTAGGCACTAAGTGGTAGACCTACAAAGATTAATCTAATAATTGAGTAGTTGTCTATTACTATTAAATTAAAAGGAAACTATTTTGATAATCGATTTCTTTGCTCCTCTATGACAGTAAACTGAATATCTTTGGGTTGTAGACAAAACAAGCCATTTTAGGACTTCATCTTAGGCTCTGATCAACATTTTTCAAAATATTTTGACATTATTGACTAAACAACTAATTGATTAATCAAGGAAATCGACTGACGATTAATCGTCAATGAAAATAATCATTAGTTGCAGCTCTGAGTAGTCAAATTGCATTTGTCCTTATTTATGAAAGGACTGCTGGGCTTAAGCCCAGAGGTGGAGTGTTTCTAAAGAAACAGATCATGTGCAAACAAATAGATATTTATTAACAAACATATCTTACAGAGGAACAGAACAGACACAGACAAAAAACTAGACTACTTAACAAAAGGTGGTGATATAGCTTTTAACCAAAACACACATTTAACGCACATGCGAGCACACAGCTCCACACGCAGCTCCACTCCTGCTGCACCCAAGCACACCCATCTGACCCACTGGTCGGCAGCCACCTAGGCTGGCCCCCACAGGACCAGCCTCACACACTGGCCTCTCAAGACCAGCCACATAGCCCACTTGCTGCACTCTCCTTGCTCTCTTATCCTCCAGGTACTGATTGGGGAATCAGGTGCAGCTGCTGCCCATTACTAATTGCAGCTGCAAGGCAGGTGTGGAACCACAGGAGAAAGACTCACAAAAACAAAACACAAGACCCACAGTTCTAGGGCCGTAACACAAGACATTTAATATCATCACTTTGGACATCAGGGAAAGATGTTGCACTGTGTTCTGACATTTCATAGACCCAACGATTAATTGATTATTCAAGAAAATATTCTGCAGATGAATCCGTAATGAAAGTAATCTTTAGTTGCAGACATAAAATTAATAAAGATGTTGTATTTTCAGGCAAAAACCAAAGCCCATGAGGAGGAACTCGAACGCCACGCTCAGTTCCTCTTGGTCAACTTCAACCACATTCACAAGAGGATCCGCAGAGTGGCTGACAAATATTTGTCTGGCCTGGCTGAAACGTGAGCGTGCATTGATTCACACGCTTATTTACTCAGGATACTTTACTGACTCTGTGATAAACTGTTTAAAATGCAGCTTCCTCCCTAGCAGTGTGAACAGCATTATTTCTGTCCTCAGTTTCCCCCACTTGTTGTGGAGCGGCCGTGTGCTGAGGACCATGTTAGACATCCTGCAGACGCTTTCCCTCTCACTCAGTGCAGTAAGTGACAAAAACATCCGAACTGTTCTCCAGTGTAGCATCTGTCTTTCAGTCTTTGATGATCTTTGTTCTTAATGGATGTCTATACTACGGCAGTAATAATAATTTTTTATGGTGTATTGCAGGACATTCATAAAGACCAACCTTATTACGACATCCCAGACACTCCATACAGAATCACTGTCCCAGATACATATGAAGCCAGAGAGGTAATGTTATTTAACCCAGAATAAGTTATTCACCATTCTACTTATTGATTACTCGCCACTGTACACATATTTTAATTGTAATTGATCTAAACAATGCCTGTTTTAAACATGTCATGTATACAAAACTCAAATCATGTCTTTATTGTAGAGCATAGTGAAGGATTTTGCTGCACGATGTGGGGAGATCCTTAAAGAGGCTATGAAGTGGGCGCCGTCTGTGACCAAATCACACCTCCAGGTAACATTTACTTTCTTAAAATTCAGAACGTCCACATGTAGAGCACACAAAATAAACAGAGTTTACACGTTGGCCCTAAACATGGTTTTAACCGCTGTACTTCATGTGGTCTTTTTCAGGAGTATCTAAACAAACACCAGAACTGGGTGTCGGGTTTGTCCCAGCACACAGGACTGGCCATGGCCACAGAAAGCATCCTACACTTTGCCGGTTACAACAGACAGAGCACCACACTGGGGGTAAGTCACAGGCTGACTTTTTAAATGCTTATACTTAGTAATGGTGTAATTTGAACAATAAAAATGTCTCAAGAATGGATCCTTGTGGGACACCACTTACTATAGCTGCTTAATTCACTGCTTCTTCATTTATGACTATCTTGTAGAGATTATAATTTTAGATTAATTTGCCCAAAAAGTTGTGATATACATCCCGAATACTTACAGTAACAGAACTATGTATGTGAAGCCCCTTTCATAAATACATTCATTACTTAACAGGGTTTTTCCTGGCTCAGAATGGCCCTTTTGGGGGGTGACTTCCCGCGACAGAAAGCATGATCAGTATGCGTACAGTAAAGGCAATGAGTTACCTTATGACTGAAATCTATACATTTTCTTGTTATTTCTGACCATTTGATAAACAAAATATATCCACAACCTGGAGGAGTAAAAGTAAAGTAATATGTTAGTATAATATTATATTTACACTTGATTTGGATTTTTTCACAAATAAAACCTTCCTCTGATATTAGCTTACACCATTGTGGTTAATTATAATTTCAGATAATGGTTACTATAACTTTCTATTAGTAGCCTAATGTTAATTCCAGTTGGACAAAACAGCAGTTACATTTTGTGGGGTTGTTTTCAGTCATTAAGTTATTGTGCAGGAAAAATGCTCTAAAAGGTGGTCAGTCTCTCATTTGTTTATGCAAAGTACTAACTTGTCAATAATAAAAAACGTGCATACAGAATGAGTTCAACATTTCTAAAGTTTGATGTAGTGCCTCAGCCCTTTTTAATGTCCCGGGGCCGGTACGCCAAAGAGTAAAATGTAAAAGTGACAAAAGTCATCGCTCCCCAACAGCGCGAGCTTTGTAGCGGAGCGTTCAGGCGTGGTCAAACCAACGCAGCAGCATTTATAAATCCTGCGGCAGCTGCATGTGTAAAAAAACAAAAAAAACCAAATATTTTGAGAAACTGTGGATGAGAGGAGAGGTGACTGCTGGAAGTCAAGACGTCGTATTTACGTTTATGTTCTGCTTGCTCAAAAGCTGTTTTATTAATGGCTATTAAAATACATTAGGAGAATATTTGAAACGCTTTTTCAATTCTTATCATTTTGGTGCTGGTGATTTTCCTTTGGCGCTTGCTAAAACCTTTTTGGGGGTTGCCAAAAAATTCTCTATGCAGGAAAAACCCTGCTTAAATATGATGGATATTTCACATGTTGGACTCTTGTCTAAATAAACGCCTGAGTCAGTTTTACGTAAAAGTCATTATGGCAGTCACACTAGTTCGGACCTGTAAAAATTCAGTTAGACTTCCAGCACGGCGTACTCCAGTAGTTCTCAAACTGGGGGCAGGCCACTCAGGGTGGGCGTAGTGAGGATGTTGAGATGAAAAACTGAGAATGAGCCAATTTTACTTTGTAGAGGAGATTTTTCTCATGTTAGAATCGTCTATACAAAGGATTTTTCCACAAAAACAGTAAATTAAGCAACTGGGGCAAAACTGGCTAAAAGGAAAAACAACTCTTACAACCATAATAATTAAAGCAGCACTTCCCCCCAGCCTGCCAATTGTATTGATTAACGGATGGCTATCCAGAAGAATGCTTTACACACAGCAAATAGGAATTAAATTTTATAATGTCTTATTATTCTGTGCTTTTGCTCTGTACGATATTATAAAATAAGCAGCAGACTTCTTTTTCAGTGAGAGACTTGAGAACAGCGATGAAAACACTGCTCCCTCTCGCACACCAGCTGCCCAATATCATGAAAACATTGTGGCTCTTTTTGTAAATGTCCCGTCATGTCCGAACAAAGTCATGAAGAACATTTATATAACAGACACTTACAGTATGTGTGAATGACAAAAAGCCGTTTAACAGAGTGATAAAGACAGCAATGTTTCGTATTCTAGGACTTAATAAAGTAGTCTATGTTTCAGATATTTTACATGCTTTCTGCATAATCAGTTACAGTTCAAGTGCTTAATTCTTGTGCTGTCATCTGTAGTCCACTCAGCTGACTGAGAGGCCAGCCTGTGTGAAGAAGGACTACTCTAACTTCATGGCCTCCCTCAACCTCAGGAACAGATACGCTGGAGAGGTAAAACCACCAAATCATACCAGTTTTTATGGCCCATGTCCACAGACTCCGGCCATGTTAACCTCCAGGTCTGTCCCCCTCTGGTATCACATGTACTATGTCTTGATACAGCTGAAGTTACAATTTAGTTGATATTATTTGCATTATTTCTCTGGTTCTGTTACCAGACAACACAGTGAGTACAGTATGAAATGGTGATTTGATCGGGGCAGATAAATGCTCCATATGAAATGTAAAATATGCGACAACAGAGAAAGTTAGAAGCAACAAAATGCTGTCTTCTTAAAGTGCAGCCACAAAGTTTTTACATGCTTGTAAAACACAGAAAATGTCTGCAAAAAATATATAAATTTGGCTGCTGAGGAACAGAGTTGCTTGGTTTCTGAAAGGTTTCTGGTGGAGATTGAAACCTTGTTGGAGTGGTCGTGGAGCTGTAGCACAATCAGAACAAGATGCCTGTGTACATAAACGCAACATAATAGATAAAACCCTTTTATACTGTGCTTCTCCTGCTCATTTCTTTTCTCTTTTGTGTGTAGGTATCTGGCATGATCCACTTTGCACAGGCAGTTCGAGGACAGCCCGATCTGGGCCGGATGATGATTAAGCAGATGGGAGAGGCTTTGGACTCTGCACAGCCCGAGGTTTTCACTGAGGCCATGTTCAAACTGGCAGCCTTGCTCATCAGCACTAAAGGTTTCACTTTCTCTGTGCTTATCTTTGCTGTTAACACTCGCAATTATGTTTTATACCAAATGCTCCGGATTAGTTTTCTGAATATCCTTTTTGTGTGTTCTGTGCTCTAGACTGCGATCCTCAGCTCCTGCACCACCTCTGCTGGTCGCCCCTCAAGATGTTTACAGCGCACGGCATGGAAACGGCTATCGCTTGCTGGGAGTGGCTGCTGGCAGCACGTGTTGGGATGGAAGTGCCGGTACATAGATTGTTTTTTATCATTTTCACTCTTGTGCCCTTGTGAGTAGGGGTGCTCGACACGATCTATTTAATCGGAATCACGATCCAAATAAATTGCAATATTACTACACAGGTTTCAAAATGAAGTTAAATTGGAAGTTGTAAACAGAAGCTAAAAGATAGCAAAATAAAATAGTAACACTTCCAGTTCTCGCAGCTCAATTGCATGGTTTACAAGCCTTCAGGCAAAGAAGAGCCACATCATGAAAGTTTGGAAACAGAACAGTAAATACAGATTCACCTGAATAGTAGATTGTGGGCTCTTTAGATCCCAATCTCACATTCTTGTGAGAGCATTTGTATTGTTAACACACTATCGATCTCCTCTCTGGCTGCCTAGTTTATGCGAGAGATGGCGGGAGCGTGGCAGATGACCGTGGAGCTGAAGATGGGCTTGTTCTCCGACGCTCAGGTGGAGGCAGATCCTCTGGCTGCATCAGAGGAAAGTCAGCCTATCCCCTGCCCTCCAGATGTTACCCCTCACCACATATGGATCGAGGTCAGACAATCTGCTTGGCTGATAACTACGTGTATCAATCTTCTTCTTCTTCTATACCAGTTGATGCCTCTCATGTCTGCTTCTTTTTCTGTAGTTTCTAGTCCAGAGGTTTGAGATTGCTAAGTATTCCAGCGCAGATCAAGTGGAGATCTTTGGCAGTTTGCTGCAACGCTCGATGTCCCTCAATGTCGGCGGGGCTAAGAGTAGCCTCAACCGCCACGTAGCTGCCATTGGACCGCGTTTCAGGTACATGAACACACACACACCAAGCTTAAAGATCATTTGATGTGTGTTTTAGTCGTCTTCACAATGAGCTTGTATTTGAAGTAAACTGGTTAATGTATGTAGATGAAAGTGCAAAATTTTGAGAGGCACATGTATTTATTGTTGTCGTGTTTTTCTGTCCTTCAGGCTGCTGACTCTGGGTCTGGCTCTGCTTCACTCTGACGTCCTCACAAATGCAACTGTAAGAAATGTGCTCCGAGAGAAGATCTATTCTACAGCCTTTGATTACTTCAGGTACCCACACACACTCTGTGCAAGCACACATCTAGGAGTGCAACATTTTTATGCAATCACTCAGTTAAATATTTTTTCAGTTAACTGGGGAATAATTTAGGCTATAAAATATATATAAGAAAAAATGCATGCTGCATTCTGGACTAACTGCAACCTAAAGGATGCAAACGATGGAAAGTATTAGTAATTATAATTCGCATATGTTGTCACGCTACTATGATGTTGAACATGGGGAACCTGCTTAACATCAACATGTTAACACATGTACACACATAACAAATAATCAAAACATGATTAAAAAAATATATATTGCTAAAAAAATCAACAATTGATAATCCAACTAACTCAATTATTCATAATCTAACATCGTCTGTCTCTCCAGTGTGGCTCCAAAGTTCCCAACCCAAGGTGACAAGCATCTCCGCGAGGACATCAGCATCATCATACGTTTCTACGCCAGCATCCTGTCTGACAAGAAGTACCTAGCAGCGTGCCACTTGGTCCCACCTGGTGAGCTTGGTACTACCCCAGCCCCGAGCACACTCTCTGCTGGGATATTTGGATCGCTTATCGTGTCCAGCACTTCTCCGTTATCTATCTTAAGTAAGCCTAAAGTGGTGGAGCTCGGACTGCACTGCGGCAGGGGCATGCTACGACGCGTGGCAAATTTGACGCTGTTTTTCCTCACTATACTGCTGATAGATCCTGTTATCTATCTAGCTTCTTATGTTTTACAGCTTATTTTCCTCGATGTTTTTCTCTTGGTCCCCCTTAATATCTTGCTCTTCCCCTATCTCATATTTTTCCGTATCTTACTCTTTGTACTTTTAAATTCAAGCTGTTTAATGTACTCTTCACGTTTAGCAGCTGTGAGGAAAAGCGCAAATTTGTCACCTGCGTTAAGATGCATGATTATTCATCATGTCAGCCCGCCCGTCTGCCCCTCTCCTCGATTTGATCAACATGTTACCAAAAGAAGAAACTTCAAATTTAAAATGTTTTTTCTTCCACCCCAGAAAATCCTCTCCTCTTCATTCCCGACAACCTCGAGAAAAGACATGGTCTCATTCTCATATACATCGAAGCGCTTCAGGTAGACGAGTCCTCTAAACCGCTGCTCCTGGATCAGAATAATATACCTCCAGCCCCATGTGCCATTGACAAGACAAAGTAATATCTGATCCAGTATCAGTGGTTCAAGGCAACTTCTACCTACATGTAAATCTCGCTGGATTTCCCTGCTTTCCAATGCATGACCATCACAGCAGCAGAGGACTAACTGATACAGCTCATCCCGCTCCTCAGAAACTCCCTCATCATCGATCATATTGTTAATGTTTTTCACTGTTTAAAAGCTGTAATATTGACTAAGGATGGTGTTATGTGTTTACGAAATAAATACATTTTATCGTAGGACAAGTTGAATTGGATAATAAAGAGTAAAGTTACAGTTTGGATGTGCTTGTTTCTTGGCCACGCTAAATCTGTTTGTATGCAAACAGATAATCAGGACCCGTCCTTGAACAGCCTGTCAGTGATGAACGCTGCCGACCTCAGGAGCAACATAGACTCCAGCTCTCGCTCCCAGCAGAGCGGCCAGGGATGGATCAACACCTACCCACTGTCCAGTGGAATGTCCACCGCATCCAAGAAATCAGGTACCGCTATAATAATAAGACTATAATACAGAGAAAAGACGCCCTTCTCAGTACAGACAGTAGTAAGTTTTTGCTGACCGGGTACAGGGGATTACACTTCAGCATAACAGTAAATAATTTTATCTCAAACATCCGCTTAACCGTGAGATTGGTTAAGATATACCTGTGGTGTGAAGGATCTGTATATCTGCAAAGCCAAAAGTAGACAAAGTGAGCCAAATACAACATTAACTATCCAAAAAAATAATTAAAAATTAAATTTCAACTCTGAGACCTATGTTGATCTTGCAAAAGGAACTATATCTTTAAAACACTAAAGAGCCATCTGTGTCAGCAATAGATTACCAAAGGGCAGTCATCTCAAGAACCGGCCTGCTACATGCTAAACAGACCAGAAACATTAGACAGACAATGGAGAAAGTCAGCAGAGCAGACGCATACAGGAAGAGAGAGACGGGAAGAAGCAGGGCAAGCTGGTGTGTATATGAAATAAGAAATAACCTACTAGAAGTAGAAATGTACCACCGCTAACACAGATTCTTGTCTGAGACCGAAAAGCCCAAGAACTTAAACTGACAGCATGCTTTGACTGTCTGTATCTGCATCTTCTCCTCCTAGGCTTGTCGAAGAAGAGCAACAGGGGGACGCAGCTTCACAAATACTACATGAAACGCAGGACTCTGCTGCTGGCCTTACTGGTGAGGGTTGATGGTGAATAGTCGATTTCTGGTTTTAACGCTGCTGCTCATTATCAGCAACTCTTCATGCTCTTGTCCCTGCGCTGCTCTTTCTGCCTGAACCTGTCTTTCCAGGCCAGCGAGATCGAACGGTTGACGACGTGGTACAACCCCCTTTCCACTCAGGAACTGGCCATCGCCACGGAGCAGTCAGTGGAGACCAGCATCGCCAACTGGAGGTCCAAATACATCAGTCTGACTGAGAAACAGTGGAAGGATAATGTCAACCTAGCCTGGGGTATTGCGCCCTACCTGGCTATGCAGCTACCAACTAGGTTGTCACTCTCTCTGTTTGTGTCTTACATTTCCCCAAAACAGACGGAAATGACTCTTACAGTGATTCTCTGTAACTTGATGAAAGTAGAATCAGTTTGCTGACTTTATGGCTTTACTTGTGCTACAGCTACACTATGTTTTAACACTTTCAAAGCCTGGGACTGTGGGCCTCCCCTCAGACAAAGCTTCGGAAAAGGCACCCCCCCTTAGTTTACTTGCTTAGTTTTGCTCAGTTCTTCCTTTGATACCACAGACTCTTAACAATTGAGCCTAATATCTCTCTTCTGTTTGACATAACTTCAGACTACACCAAAATACATTTAATGAAGGTCTGTCCAAAGACAATAATTAGTTTCTGACTGATGAAGTGGGAAAAACAGTTCCCCAAAACTAATGCATGTCTGAACTCTCTCTTTAACAAAATCAACCATGTAGGCTATTCGGTGTGACCTCCTTTTGATTACTAATGTAATATTGTCTCACTTTAATTCACTGAGCCTCCCCTGAAACTGTTTGAAACCCCCCTGGGGAGGCCCGCCTCCCACTTTGAAAACCTCTGTTTTAGCATGTAACAGATAAACATTTGAATGGTTTAGCTCAACAGTTACCCAAATGGGAGACATGTTTTTTGTGTCCTACTTGTGGAAAAGCAGAGAGCAGAAGTCCTGACTTCCCCTCCAGCAAGTTGCTGTTTCTCTGCCTTCTCTCTCTCTTTACAATTCTCTTGTATTGATCTCACTATTCGTTAACTCTACCCTTACTAAATTCCCTAGGTATATACCCCATTGATGCCGTACACGCTACTATCCCTTAGTGTCTATTGTCACACGTAAATCTCTTACTGTATTGATGCTTTATTGATGTGTTACTGATGCTTGTATGTTGTTGTTCAAATGTAAGTCACTTTGGATAAAAGCGTCAGTACAGTAAATGTAAACAAGCTAAATCACGTTTCATTTGTTATAATACCAAAGCCAGAGCTCCCGTTTGTCTATATTCACCTTTTACTAATTAGCGTAAATACAAATGTAAATGTGACTATGAATGAGGTTTTCTTACTTGTGGAACAGAACCCGGATGAAATGGTTGAACTTAAACTTATAATTTAATGTAAACTTTAAGGAGACTGAACTCCCAGCTGTTCCAGACTATATATTATTTACTTGTTTATTTTTAACCCCTTTTGTTTTTTCAAGGTTTAAGAATGACGCCATTGTTGCTGAAGTTACCCGGCTGGTGAGATTGGACCCCGGAGCTGTCAGCGATGTGCCTGAGGCTGTCAAGGTGAAGTGAAGTTCAGCTATTGAGCTTTGAAAATGTTGTTTTATATGTTTTGGAATATTTTCTTTTAACTGTATTGCTTCCTAGTTCCTGGTGACGTGGCACACTATTGATGCTGACTCTCCTGAGCTGAGCCATATCCTGTGTTGGGCTCCAGCAGACCCGCCCACTGGTCTATCCTACTTCAGCAGCATGTACCCTCCTCATCCTCTCACCGCTCAATACGGGGTTAAAGTGCTTCGCTCTTTTCCTCCAGTAAGTCTCACACCTTTTGCATCAGCTCAGAGTTCCTCAATACTGTAACAGCTGCAGCAGGAGAAAAATCACAGCTCTTTTCAACATTACATTTTTCTCTTCTTAGGATGCCATCTTGTTCTACATTCCTCAGATTGTTCAGGCTCTCCGGTATGATAAGGTAAACACGAACCACTTTGCCTTCACTGACTTCAGACAACAGAGGTGACAGGAAGCAAATACAAACTGTAATTTTCAGATAACATGTGAGATCGACAGTATTTGGCCTTTACGTCTAACTGTTTAAACAGAATAGTGGCGGTTTCTTATCAAGAAGTTCCTTATTAGATGTTTAACAGCTCAAGAATCAGCAGCAAATGAAGAAGAGGGGCCGTTTATAATGACATGCTTATTTTAAAGTAAACTATAGCGACAGAAAATAATCAGCAGTTGTTTTGATAAAGGGTTAATTGTCATTTATGAAGCAGTAGTAATAAACTCTGATCATCTGTCCTGCTCAGATGGGCTATGTGAGAGAGTACATTCTGTGGGCGGCCCAGAAGTCTCAGCTTCTCGCCCACCAGTTCATCTGGAACATGAAGACCAACATCTTCATGGATGAAGAGGGACACCACAAAGATCGTGAGTGGACTCCATATTACAGTGACGTTTTGAGAGCAGCAGCGGTATCAGACCAATCACAGAGCACTTGAATACCAGAGTCTGGGAAATTAGTATTTCCTGGGAATTCTCACCACTTAGTACACCTTTTTCCTGAGAAAAATACCTGCAGGAACCTACAAAGACTTCACAACGCTGACCCCTGACTGTTGTAACTAAACACTTACATCTAGCCTTGAAGTTGCATAATACAGTAATGTAACTTGATCAGTTTCAGTTGTGGGGATTTCCTTCATACTAAAATGGCAACTTGCAGTACAGCTGTGGTGCAAAAGGAGCTTAAATCAGACATACAGGTCTGCAGAGTGGCTCTCAAAAGATGGAACATCGAGTGCAAGAGATCATCTAAGCACAAAACTCCTGCGACGTCAAAATGCCTGCATGCAATGGATTTTCCTTCCAGGCACTGAATGTAGTAAAAATGTATGGTCAGCACTGTAAAGGTCACTTTACATTCCTTGGTAGAGGATATGTGAAATAACAGAGGACCCAACAATTCTCTGTGGTTGGCATTGTGTATTTTCCACCTCAAAGCTGTTGAAAGTTTAGTTTTTCTACTCAACATAATGAAAGGATAGCACCATTTTAAACAGTTCTGTGTTACTTTATTTATGGTGAGAAGACTGTGTAGACTGCGCATACCCAGGTTTACTCTTTTTAAAATCACGGGAAACCTTCGATCCTTAATGGAACAAGTGCATTAACTCTCGTCAGTTATACGTAGTACCACTCAGATAAATGCATCTTATGTGTGGTGCAGTACAAACCCTGTCTCTCTGAACAGGGTTATATTTTCATTTGACTCATTTTATTTGTGTTATTAAAATATACAATTGCAATTTCAATTTTATATCATACTTTTTTCCTTCTAGCAGTGTGTTTCTGGCTCCTCAATGTTAAGTTAAGGTGATATCTTTTTCCTTTTAATGTGTAATTATGATGTCTGCCTCATGGGAAAACCCATGTTAAGCCTAATTAAATGAAATGAAGTTGATGTACTCACATTTATCTCTTGGCTCATTAATCAAATATGTGTAGCCGACATCGGGGAGCTGTTGGAGCAGATGGTAGAGGAGATCACAGGTTCTCTGTTGGGTCCGGCCAAAGACTTCTACCAGAGAGAGTTTGACTTCTTCAACAAGATCACCAACGTGTCCGCCATTCTCAAGTAACATCACCACTGCTCCAGAAATCACTAGCAAACATGGAAATGTTTTGGTGCAATGTGAATCCTGATATATCGTTTTTATTTTTCAGGCCGGTTCCAAAGGGTGAGGAGAGGAAAAGGGCCTGTCTCAAGGCTCTGTCGGATATCAAAGTCCAGCCAGGTAACGCAATATTTCACAGTAGATCTGATTAGATTATTGAAAAATAGTAACTGTGCTCCAGTGTTTTTTTTAGGTCTTCATTCAATACAAACTTAAATTTTATTGGACACACTCCTGTAGTGTTCTAGTTTCTCTTCAGATATTTAAAAATAGAAAAAGGGGGAAAAACAAACAACAAAAAGAACTGAGATCTCAGATGAAAAACTTCTATGTGAAATAAAAAGGCAGTTGATCAGACCACCAACACCTCGACATTCTCTTTTATTTTGTCAACGAATATCCCAAGGCCTCTCTTAGGTGTTGCATCCTTAATGCCTGTGAGAAAATTATCCCAACGTTTACTTGAGGCTTGCAGGTTTGGTGACATCTTTTAAATAACTTCTCAAGAAATACCTTACAAAACAGCCTTTTTATTAATTTTAGTGCATCCTTTCATTTCTATCTTGTCTCATATGTCCTTTTTAACTTTATTCACTGTTGTGGAATCTTATTTCTGTTTAACTTTATATTACTTGATTTAGATTTTCCTCTGTTTTGATCACTTTTTAATGTGTGTTAACCATGTTAAGCACTGTGTAACTGTTTTGTTAAGTGCTGTATAAATAAAGTTTATTAAAAAATGTCGATTTGTCAAAATATTTACGAAGTCATCTCCTTATTTTGATTATTTGACTAATCTTTTAAGTAGTACTTGTATAAACTGTGTGCATTATTATAACCCGTATTCAACCAGGAAATGTCTCATTGAGATTAAAATTCTGTCCTGGGCAAGACAGGCTGCAGCACAATTGACATGGTTACAAAACATATACTATAAGAATTTGCAATGAAAATAAATAATAAATTACAGGATCATAAAATATTAAATGCTGCCTCCACTACTCCACCACTGCTTACTATATTCCTCTGTGAGAAACACAAGTTAGTGAAGTCTGAAGATGTGAATATTTGCAAAAAAACAAACATAATATAAAATGTCAATGTGATTCTTTTAACACAGCCTACTGTTGTCTCTCTCTTCTCTTTTCTAGGCTGTTACCTACCAAGTAACCCTGAAGCCATCGTTCTGGACATCGACTACAAATCTGGAACACCTATGCAGAGGTGACGACAGATGCTTCACGCAGAGACTTTGCTTCTGCATATTTTGGTGCTACTTCTCGGGACCTAAATCTATCCACGTATGGTGTTGATCTCTGTTTTCTCTCTCGTCACAGTGCTGCCAAGGCTCCCTATCTGGCCAAGTTCAAGGTGAAGCGCTGTGGGGTGAGTGAGCTGGAGAGGGAGGGTCTCCGCTGCCTCTCGGACTCTCTGGAGGACGGAGAAGAGAATCCAGATGAATCACACAGGATTTGTTGGCAGGCTGCCATCTTTAAAGTGGGAGATGACTGCAGACAGGTACTGCACTGAACTCATTCACTGGAACATTTCAGGGGAGGAATCTTTGACTCACTTTCTCTTGTGACGGCCGTGCGTTCCTCTGTCTCCAGGATATGCTCGCTCTGCAGATCATCGGGCTCTTTAAGAATATTTTCCAGCTGGTGGGCCTGGATCTGTTCGTGTTCCCCTACAGAGTGGTGGCCACTGCACCAGGGGTAAGACTCCATGACCCATTGCTCCCTCCAAATCCAGTATTCTCTTATCTGCACCTCTTTCCAGTTAGATAAAAATAATTCACAGCCTGGATCCTATTTTTGTAGTTTTGGCCATCATTTCCTCATAGTTATGATGACATTTTACATTTTAAATGTTGATGTATAGAAACAGGACAATGCTGTTACACACAGTTTAACATCAGGTAAGACAAGTTTGGCTTAACACAGTCTGAACACAATTTTAAACTCTTTATTTTTGCAAGTCAAAACAAATTAACTGAACTAAGACAAAACACAGGTGCTTGTTTTTGGGACCCAGCTCATAGAAAAAGAAATTGTGCCATCTGCTGGTTCCCTAGTGGATCAAATCAAAATGGTTGCGAGGAATCCTGGTGTCTGGTTTGACAGCGTTTTAAGTTTTGAGCAGCATACCACAAAAAAGCTTGTGTTACCTTTTAAAGACACTGAGACGCCATTATTTCATCACACCTGGATCACTGCAACAGCCTTTTTACACGCTTGAACCAAAAATCTATTGATCGACTCCAAGCTGTCCAGAACTCTGCTGCCAGGCTTTTGACCAGAACAAAGAAACACAAACACATCAGTCTGTATTTAGCTACATTACACCTGCTCCCAGTTGGTTTTAGGACAGATTTAAAATATATTGTATTTCTAAGCTTAGGTGTCAAAACCCCTTGCCGTTGTTTTTGGATGTGTAGAGCTCAGCGGTCAAGTTAGCAACAATTGGCAACATCTGCAACGTCAGTGAATCTCTCACTGTCTTGCCAACCAGCTGAGCAGCGCAATAAAGTCTGTTTTGGTCTTGTTTTCTTGCCAGGCTGTGACTGAAAAATATTAGAGTGAAATACAACTATTTATTACGTTTGATAAACGCCGACGTGCAAAGATGTTTATAAACTGCAGCACTGAAAAGATAACCACTTCGCGCAAGAACATGCGCTCATACGCATATGCGCGTGCATGAAATGAAACTCACCAATTCGTGTGAGCGGTGCTACAGTCTGCAGCCGGACCTTATTGCAATTCCAGCAGCAACATTAGTAGGACGAGTCCAGACACGGATTTGATGGCACTCCTCATAGGCACATATCATTTTAAAATGAGACAATAATTATCTGTCTCTCAGTTAAGGTTTAGTTACAACTCTGGACTAATGGCAGGTGGAAAGCAGACCCAGGTGAAATACAGGCAGCCTCAGATACAAGCAGCTCAGACCCTAATGGAGGATTGAGTTGGTGTGCAGAGGTCCATTCAAATCAGCAGTGGTATTTTCTAGAAGAGGTTTCCATTCCGGCTTATTACAGAGACAGACTGTTTTAAAGGAGAGGTGAGAGCACTGCAATGGCAAGTTGTTTACATGGCTCACAATGTCAGGTAGGAGGGAAGCATAGCAGAATTTTTCTTATGCGGTACCATAGGTGCGTGTGCTTATGCTCTGGTCAAAGTCCTTTCTGACATGACAGTGCCAGTATTAATGGGCTAAGCAAGAGAAGCTGGTGAGGCACATACTATCACATTTCATACACGCCAATCAAAAATATATCAAAATCAAAAATTTACATGGGGAATGAGGGGGTCTGTGCCCCAGTAGAGCTTTATTTCTAGTAACGCCCCTGCTTTTAAAGCTCTTCATGGCGTCTCTCCCTACTATAACTCTGACCCTTTAGCTCCTCGGGCAGAGGTCTGCTGTCTGTTCCAGAGGCAAAGTTTAAAATTGACAGCGAAAACCTCTTTTTTTAAAACCGCTCCTATCACTTACATTTGCATCCCCAGATGTCGGCATTTACACTGGTAATTGTGTCATAATTAATAGGAATGATGGCCAAAACTTTGAGGATTTAAACATATTATTGAATTTTGATAATCAGGTATTTATTAACTGATCCTCTTTTCTTCAGTGTGGCGTGATCGAGTGCATCCCTGACTGCAAGTCTCGAGACCAACTCGGCAGACAGACGGACTTCGGGATGTACGATTACTTCCGTAATCAGTACGGTGATGAATCCACCCTCGCCTTCCAGAAGGTGCGGAGGTTTTCAATCTTTGGCCGTCTTCCTTTTATTCATCTCTTATGATTTTGGTTTCTAAAATTGAGAGTCCACTACCAACCCTGTCTTATAATGTCCGATGTTTAAGCAAGGACGTGTGAAAAGGTTAGGGGAGAGAAAGTGTCAGTGATTAGTGAGCTGTAGTAAAATGTGTACGTATGTGTGAGTTTTTACATCTGTTAGTTTAGATTAATGGGAGTCTAACAAGGGAACCAGAATAGACTGGATATTTTCTTGTTAAAAAGGACTGACTTTTCTGTGGCAACAGACATTTACCTCTGTTTAGTGCATTTTTCTGTTTGACAGTCCAGGATTTTGTGGCAGCTTTTCAAAACAGTTCTTGGGCGGTTTTTGGCGAGGAAATCGTGGGAGTAACTGAAAACTGTGAAGGTCATTTTTTATCTTTAGAATAACAGTTTAATCATTAAAAATTAAAAGGATTTTTATCTGATGAGTACAAAAGCTAAGTAACCTTCAATAACACACACACACACACACAATTCAGTGTCATGCAAACTCTACGCCTGTCACTCTGTGATAAACAACAATAACTTTACCTCTGACCCTGCATACTCACGTTGATTATTTTAGTGCTTGCAGTTTACCGGGATGCAGCAGCCTGTGTGACTGTGATTTGTCTCGTCTGACGTCCTCCGTGCATTTCTGCCATTCTAAGCTGATGTTTTGCAGCGGCAAAGTGTTTGGCTATAGACGATTTCTTTTTATTCACAACACTGCACATTATGCAAAATTAGTTTATCCCCGCTTTGGTAAAGAAGATCTGGAAACTGTTTTTTCACGGTCCTTTGCTCTTGGGATGTCTGCTGCGTCTTCTAAACAAAACAAGGAAGTCAGTTTGCTGACGTATGACAACATTTTGCAGTAAACGCCAATAATTGGTCAAATTTGCAGAAAAGTTGCAGTGATTGGTCAAAATCGCAAGTCGCGCTGAATTCACTAGAATTTGTGATAATAGTTAGTGACATTGTGAAATCCTGGAGGGACTGGTTTGACAAGGAGATAAACAGGTCGCACCAGACCTGATTCAATAAAAGGTCTTGTACAGACCTCAACTTCCTCAAATGAAAAAGACACTGCTGTGTTTCCTTACCTGTTGGTATCACTGTCAAAGGTACAGAAACAAAGACATTCTTTATAAGATTTCTGCCTCCTGAACATTACTCACAGTTCTGGCAAGGATGTCGTGTCAATAAATCCAAGCAGAATTTCACTGCAGTCTCGCCAATGTCCTCTTCACCTCTCCACAGGCTCGGTATAACTTCATCCGCAGCATGGCTGCCTACAGCCTCCTGCTGTTCCTGCTGCAGATCAAAGACAGACACAACGGCAACATCATGCTGGACAGCAAGGGCCACCTCATCCACATAGGTATGGAATATGGACATGGACTCACTGTTAGGCTGTGGTCTGGACTGAGTCATTGTGGTGGTCACATCGATTCTGTTTCTTCTTAATGCGATCTCAGTGAATAGTATTCTCTCTTATCCATCCTGTTTTAATTCAGAGCGATGGTCATTGCTTGTGTTCCTTTTCTCCAGACTTTGGCTTCATGTTCGAGAGCTCTCCTGGCGGCAACCTGGGCTGGGAGCCGGACATCAAGCTGACAGACGAGATGGTGATGATCATGGGGGGCAAGATGGAGGCCACGCCTTTCAAGTGGTTCATGGAGATGTGTGTCAGAGGGTATCTGGCTGTACGGTAAGAAAATGAGGAGGGTTTGTTGAAAGAAAGAAAACTATCCATGTCGTTTTGAGAATTCTGCCAGGAATCTGCTGCAAGGCAAAAGAGCATAAACATGAGGTTTTTGGGATTAAAGTCAAAGGAAACTTTAATATCTATACGTGGAACTTTTATAATGGTGGTTGAACTGTGGGTTTTGTATTGAGCACTGACTGTAAAACACACTGTGGTGAACTCTGCGTTTCTTGTCATCTGTAGGATCCTTTGAGATACCTTGTTAAGTAAGGTGGAGTGATTGTCATGTTCTGAAATATATGGGTCCTTTTTACATGCGTGTAATTATTATTTATGTAAATATATGGAGCGTTAAATTACATTTACATTAAATTATCCCTAAATGAGCTGAATGTTATTCCTTCATTTAGCGCATACATTTCATAACTGTCTGATAAAATTTCTGAAAAAAGTAAAACAAAGTAAATTTCAGACCCTCTTTGTAACTCTGTGTAACTTTGTTGGATCTTTGTTTATTTGTTTCTTCTCTGACCATAAAGACCCTACATGGATGCAGTGGTTTCTCTAGTGACCCTCATGCTGGACACTGGACTGCCGTGCTTCAGAGGACAAACCATTAAACTTCTCAAGTAAGTCCAGCAGGTGTGTGTGTGTGTGTGTGTGTGTGTGTGTGTGTGTGTGTGTGTGTGTGTGTGTGTGTGTGTGTGTGTGTGTGTGTGTGTGTGTGTGTGTGTGTGTGTGTGTGTGTGTGTGTGTGTGTGTGTATACATGTGTGAGAGTAAAACATTTATTGTCTTTAGCCTCTTTTTTATCAATCTTGTCTGTCTCATATGTTTTTGCACTGTGCACACTGTGTTCTCTGCGCTCAAAGCAAAAGGGGAATACTTTATTTTCACTAAACTTCCACCCGTAAGCAATGCAATGACAGAATGTGTGACTATTTTGGTTATGGGTTTCATATTATTTCTGAAATAAAACATTTAAAAGCAAAAATCTTATCAGTTGGGGGGACCCTGGGACAACATTTTATCAAATGGTGGTCCGTGGTCTAAGTCAGTTGGGGGGTGAAAAAGTTTGAGAACTGATGTTTAAGCTCACTGCTCTAGTTTTACGGCCCACAACTTTACTGTCGGGTTCAGCCTCACAGCTCTCATCAACCTCGTTTTTAGTGAGAAACTCTACTAAATAATAAATTGCAAGATATTTTTCTCAGGAAAGACAAAAACAGAGCTAAAAGAAGAGTGAATATTGAATATTCATCAGGCGGCCAGAAACACGACCTGGCATGGAAGATGATGTTGCCCTGTATCTGCTGGATGTGTGAATAAGCATCATAAAAAGTCCTCTGTATGTCAGTATTGTGTGTCCTCCATGTTCTGCTGCCCCCAAGTGGCCAGAATATGAATTAATGCAGCTTTAAACATGAATCTTTTTTTTTTTTTAATCAGAGGACGGTTTAATCCCCAAATGAGTGAGAAAGAAGCAGCGGCGTTCATCATCAAAGTCATCCAAAGCTGTTTCCTCAGTAGCAGGTAACCTCACATGACATTACGATTATGCATAAGAGTTAATATGATTTAAATCTACTTGATAACATTTTCACGAACTTGTTTTCAACAGGAGCAAAACGTACGACATGCTGCAGTATTACCAGAACCAAATTCCTTACTGAAGGACTTCTGCCAGACCTCCACTGTACGTCCAACACACAAACGTCTCTACACAAGCAATGCAAACCTTCTTTTGGATGATTTTAAATATGGTCGTGGATGCACCAGCCGGGTCTGTGCTCCTTTTTAGAGAGACAACAACATGGCACTTTGATCCTAGCACACTGTAAGTTGTCAGTTTTATAATGTACATCTGAGTTATAAAGTAGTTCTTTATTTAACTTGAGCGTAAAGAACAATGTACGACTTTTACCAAAAGAGGTATTTGAATCACCCTTTAAGTATTTTTTAGTATTTGTTACTCAGCAAACACTAACCAAACCGTCACACTAGAGGAAGTTGGCCATGAAGGGAGCCATATTTATAGTGTTTGTCCAAGCAGCTGTTATCATTGTTGTTATCATTTTGTTGTACTATGCTGTTATCCACTTTTATGCACTTTATATATCACAATATTTCATTGGCTTCACCTGCCTATGATCAACACAGATGAGACATCAGAGATTACTACAATCTGCATTTTAATCAGCTGATCAGTACAATTTGCAGTATTTTTGATTTAGCAGAACAAATAGACAAATAGATCAAAAATCAATGCAGGAATCAATCAACGGTAGTCTTTTAGAAATGTAAAAGGTATTTAGAGAATCACACGTTATCATGCTGTAGTATTTACTGTAGAATATTTAACTGTAGAGTCGCATCAAGATCGCAAGAGTTTCTCTGTGATTTACATGTGACATTTATATGTGACGAACATATTTATCACAAGATTTTAAAAACTTAACTGTAATAAGTAATGTCACACCTCTTCACGTCAGCTGTTAGCTTAAATTGGTTATTTAGAGATATTTTTCCACTACGGGAGCTTGAACGTGTAAGGCTTTGTTGCTCAGTTCTGCCTTTTGTTTACACTGTGTTTTAAAAACCGAATTGTTTTGGACACGTCATTGAAAAGTCAACATTTTTATCATATGTTTTTTGGAGGCCAGTGCAGTTGTGTGACAGACAACAATGGGATGAGTGCAGCTGATATACTGTAGCCCCAGATTATATCCCTCTCATGTATTACCATTATATATAAATACAAATATATCAAGCTGTGTATACGTTGTTATACAAATACATAGATGTAACTACATCCTTACATTCGCACTCACACGTTCTCTAACTCCACTCCACTTTTTTAAAATATTCACATATACTGTTTAATGTTTATAAATTGTTACTTCACTGTACATTTGATAATAAATAGCTGTAGTACTGACTGGTTAGATGCTAACATCATTAGCTCTGTACCCGTACGCTGCATAATGACAATAAAGTTTAATCCGATCTAATAACATTCAAGTCACAGAATTAAGCATGCTTTAAAAAAAACACATAGCACTGTTCTTAAAAGTTATTTAAATATGCTTACAAACTCTTCTAACCATCTGGATGAAAAATATTTGGTCTTTTTTTTTTTTTTACTTGTTTTTTAAGTGTTTTTATCTTATCCAAACAAAGATGGTGACTGGAAATGACATGCCGTGTGTTGTTACTCAATTTCTACACACAAATTTAAAATGTTATTATTAGTTATGGTATATATTGATTTGTTTCCAGTGTTGATAATATTTTCATTAAAAAATAACCCGTTCATAGTTTTGCATGTGTTTTACAAAATGAGTCTGGATGTTTGTCATTTCTTAGCTCTGTGACTTGAAATGTAATGGTAACACAGGAGAGGCACAAACTGGGGGCTCACACCGCAGCATTTATAGCCTAATACATAGTTTTCACCTCTTTACACAAAACACTCAAAACAAACAATGATACAGTAAAATGTCCATAAAATTCATAATATTCTGAATCAGAATATTGTCTGTATATATTGAAACACGTGTCCTTGCAGTGCTGCTTTCACAGACCACTCCATCTGTTTAGCTTTGCACTCCTGAGACATTGTTGGACCAAAAATAAAAATAAAAATCAGTGCAGCAGAACTAGAGATATCCTTCAGAAGATGACCACAATGCAACAGAGATTAAGGTGTGTTATGCTAGTAGCAGCTTATGAAAATCACCTCCTGAGCAGCTACAAATAAAAGCAGAGCCTGTGATGATGGTTACGTGTTCGGTTCTTGTAGTGGAAAAGGCCACATAGGAAAGAGTTGATATGGCACAAGTGGCGAACCAGGAGCTCTCTGGCTGCTCGACGTCACAGCATGTATGTCTCAAATACAGATCCTGAAAGTCCCTCACTTCTGCTTCTGACCTTATTTAGGAACAAATGTGTACGTCGAACGGCGAGAGACAACAATTTTTTTGATCCCATTTGAATTGGGCCCTGAAATAAACACGATGTTTGTCAATGTAAAAGATAATTTTGTTGTAAAACAGTAAAGTAACATTTAGTTTTACATGTTAGCGCTGTAATGTTAAGCTAACAATAAGTGGAAGGAAAAGCCCCCAGAGGCCTAATGGGCCCTCACTTTCTCACTCTGAATTCTTCAATGTAACTGTCAGTGAGACACAGATTCCACTAAAGTTCAAATAAACACAAGTTTAGTGATAATTTCAAGCAAATAAAACAAATATACTTATATATCCTGTCCTCTTGTGGGTCTTAACACCCACCTTGTCCACATCCACACATAATCAATATTAAAACAATAGTGTATTCGACCCTAAAACACGTAAAAAGAAAATAACACTGAAATGTGACACTGATCAATAAGACGTCATCTTGATATTAGCAAAACGTATATGCATAAAACATCAACACATGCACTCCAGGTTTGTGTGCTGACATGACATTCACAGCCTTCAGAGTTGAGGTCCACTTGCAAAGGCCCTTTGTTATCCATGTGTCTAGTCTTGTATTTTATAAGGACTGAGTGCAGGTGCTAGCAACAATTTGTTAAAATCCATAAAGGCCCCATTGTCCCTCTGTCTGATATGCAGTTAATTCTAAATTATGGCTTTCACCTGAGCCTCTGACGTGGCCTGCTAGCAACACTGTTTGAGCAACGAGGCTGAGCTGGAAGACATAATCAAAAAATCTTAAACATTATCCTAGTATTTAGTAGTTATCCAGCTAGGCAAATAACATATTCAGGCATGACTAAATAAAAAAATGTTCATTAATTGCTTGCTTGCCCTAGCTAGGTAACTAAGCTATGTTTCAGGCACAGATGTTTCTCACCTGATATGTTAAATCCAGCGACTCCTGGTCCTTTCATCACATCATCTACACATGTAAGCTCTTTGACGTTAGCTTCAGTAACGTTAGCTTCAGTAATGGTAGCTTGAGTAATGTTAGCTTCAGTAACGGTAGCTTCAGTAACGGTAGCTTCAGTAACGGTAGCTTCTGTAATGTTAGCTTCTGTAATGTCATCTTCAGTAACGTTAGCTTCAGTAATGGTAGCTTCAGTAACGTTAGCTTCTGTAATGTTAGCTTCTGTAATGTCATCTTCAGTAACGTTAGCTTCAGTAATGGTAGCTTCAGTAACGTTAGCTTGAGTAATGTTAGCTTCAGTAACAGTAGCTTCAGTAACGTTAGCTTCAGTATTGGTAGCTTGAGTAATGTTAGCTTGAGTAATTTTAGCTTCAGTAATGTTAGCTTGAGTAACGTTAGCTTCAGTAATGTTAACTTTAGTAACGGTAGCTTGAGTAACGTCAGCTTCAGTAACGGTAGCTTGAGTAACGGTAGCTTCAATAATGTTAGCTTCAGTAATGTTAGCTTCAGTAACGTTAGCTTGAGTAATGTTAGCTTCAGTAACGTTAGCTTTAGTAATGTTAGCTTGAGTAATGTTATCTTCGGTGACGTTATCTTCGGTGACGTTAGCTTCAGTCATAGGGAGAAACAGTAATGACATCACATATGCAACTTTTGGGTTTGTGGTCTTTGTAATTATGTATTTTCACAGTCTTACACTTCCACAGATTTACGACAAACTGCAACTTTTTTGACAAACTTATCTTTTAAATTGGCAAACATCACGTTTTTTAATTCAGTGCTTAACTCAAATGAGATAAAAACATTTCTTTCTTGTCTCTTGCCGTTGACTTCCGTACATGGACCACCAGAAGGGGAGGGTCTTTGGCTCTCTGTAGAGACTGAGGTATATTTTTGTCCCGTCTAATAAAGTGTGTCAGAGTACAGCTAGACGCCTGTTTACAGTATGTGTAACCCTGTTTAGAAATATTCCTTGTTCAGTATTTGCGTTATATTGAACCTCTTGGGTTTGGGTTTTGTTGGACGATCTTGCTGATGCAGATGATGATGATGATGATACTTAAGAAGCCATTTCTCCTACTTTTGGTAGAAAAACAACTGTAGTAATACTTGACAAAAAACCCTAACCTTATGCAATATATACTGATGTAGTGTACTATAGTATACTGATGCTGTATTTGTGTGTTGTGTTCAACAAATGAAGTTGCTATAATTCCTTCCATCCCAATCTTTGTGTGAGTGTTTTCTGCTGCAGCTATGATTTACTGTCTTTACATAACTGAGTACACAGAAGTACACAGAAGTACTCGTTTAATGGCTTATAAACCTCTTGACTTAAAGCCATTTTTAATGTAGTGGATTTTATTTTTCTTATTTTAAATAAGTTAGTTATCTCTTTTATCTGTGAACCAGAAGTGTTGGTCAAACATATATATATATATATATATATATATATATATATATATATATATATATATATATATGTGTGTGTGAGTTTTTTTGTCTGTATTTGAGACAGTTTGTGGCAACATCATTGCTGGTTCAGATCATGTCTGTTATTCTGATAATGTTTGAAAACTGATTATTTCCAGATTAAATGTGTGTACATTTCATCAGCTGCCGATGTATTTTACTTTCTTTCTTTGTCTCTTAGCAGGAAAAACGGCAGAGAAATGAAAAAAAAATATATATATATGTACAGTATCTCACAAAAGTGAGTACATGCCTCACTTATTTGTAAATATTTGATTATTTTTTTCATGTGACAACACTGAAGAAATGACACTTTGCTGTAGCAAAGTGTCATTTCTGCCTGCTTGTGCTGTCATTTCTTCTTTATACAAGATGTACACTCACTACTTTACATTGTAATGTAAAGTAGTGAGTGTACATCTTGTATAACAGTGTAAATTTGCTGTCCCCTCAAAATAACACACCACACAGCCGTCAATGTCTAAACTGCTGGCAATAAAAGTGAGTACAAGTGAAAATATAGACTCACTATTGAGTTAGCTATGGTGATCTGATAGTGACGTTATAATTACACTATATTGTTTATTATAGTATTACTATAGGAATTGATAGGCCACCACTGACTGATTAATGCATCACTAATTATAATACTATAATATACAGTATATGATTCTGAAATGGACCATTCTGCATAAGTACTTTTACTTTTGGTACTTTAAGTACATTTTGAAGCTAAAACCTTTGTACTTTTACATAACTAAGATTTTGAATGCAGGACTTTTACGTGTAACAGAGTACAGTTCCTAAATGTTTGTCATCAACATATAAAAGGATGTGTTGTTATTGTTGGGCAAACTAATACATGGCGTGAAAGCTAACAGCACTGCAACAGTGGTGGAGTGGAAGTAAGAATGTAAGTACTTAAGTGCAAGTGTGAGGTACTTGTACTCCTATTCTGTTATATCTCAGAGGGAAATATTGTACTTTTTATTTATTACATTTATCTGACAGCTTTAGTTACTTTACGACTTAAAATATTTACATGTATGAAAATGTACAAGTATGGCTGTAATGATCAGTCGATTAATTAATTAGTTGATGAACAGAAGTATTTTGATAATCGTCATTTTTTTAAACAAAAAGATTTGATGTTTCCAGATTCACAAATTTCCCTTTGAATGATTGTTATAACTGTAATGTTCGTAAATAATGTTAAGGTGTCACTTTTTGGTCTTTGACCAAATTCTGAAGGCATTTCTTAATGTTGACAGAATTTTAACAAACCAAACAATCAACTGATCAATGGAGAAAATAAATCTAAAATGAAATTAGTCATTAGTTGCAGTCCAATACAAAATAGTTCAAAATCAACTCTACTAGTACTTATTTACTTCTGTTAATACTGTAAAATACTACTATTACATATCCAAACTCCTTATATTTTAGATTTCTATCCATTCCACGTCAGCCCTACCAGTATTATTACCTTCACTTTTTAATTCACTACTATTTATAAATACATTTATGTTAATATGTTAAAATACCGTATAAATCCACACTGCTTTTTATATTGGTTTTATATTTATATATGTATATTTTGTTATGTTTTCTACTTACCCACTTTCTATTATTAGTTCTATTCCTTATACCTTGATATACAAGTGAGCAATTTGTATCAAAGAATTTCCCCTCGGGATCAAAAAAGTATTTCTGACTCAGATTTTGAAAATAAGCTCCAGCTCAACAACTGCAGCAGTAAAATCCTGCTTTCCAAAATAATGCATGAGGAATAATAATCTCAGGATTTAACAGTCACACCGAACAGTTCTCTGCTCTCACTACTTTTCCTTTTAATACTTTATGATTAGGAAAATGTACTTAAAGGATCTAAATAGTACTTCCTCCTCCAGCACTGGACTTTTATTTTGTAGTAGCTGTCAGACTCAGCTGTGTCGCTTCATCCTCTGAGCTCTCAGCCTCTGTCTGCCTCTGCTGCTTCATCGCAGTTCTGGATGTTGTTTTATCAGTCAGCATGCCATCGCCTGCTTGTGCTAATTCATGAATAGCTCTAATAATTGATTCGTTAATTAATTTCACCGCTCCTGAAAATCAAGAGCCAGAAAACGACCGAGGACTGGATCTCCTGCACCGGACCGGACTCCTCTCTCCACAGCAGCGTTTTAACGATCCGCACTTCAGACTGAAAAAGTGAGCACATGATGAATTTATGGGGCAACGCTTCAGATTACAGTGTGAAATTACTTATATAGGGTGTGAATAAGATATTTACTCGGTACGTTTACTTAGATAACTAAGAAGACAAGGGAACAACTTTGAGATTGTGATTAATATAATAATACAAGTGCATATAAGTAATATTTAACTGACTAATTAGAGGGTAATAACCGGGTAACATCGTTGTTATTGCAATGTCATTAGCTGTTATTTATTATTAAGTATATTATATACGTAAATAAATTGCTATACATCTTGTTTGGGAAAATACATTGTTAAATAGTTTTTTAATGTGGATTATTTATTAATTTTCTTTTTTTTTTAGAAGATTCAGATGAGATGATTAGAAAAAAAAGTTGAAATACTTATTATTCAAATAGGCTAAATCAAAATAATATATTTTATTATTGGATTATAATTATTGAAGCATTCATGTGCTCATCACTTTAATGTTGCAGCTGGTAAAGGTGGAGCTCATTTAAACTTTAAGTACAGCTGGTTAGTTTAATCTATGATAATACATTATTTTTGCACATGATGATCTTATAGACCATGATGCATCGCTGCAGATTAAACTACCCAACAGGATATAAAGGAGTTAAAATGAGCTCAACCTGAACATCTGCAGCAATTAAATGCAACGTTACATATTCATGCAGCTGGGTATTAATCCACAAACATATACAGAGCGAGAGAGAGAGAGAGAGAGATTTTATTATTGGATTAAAATTATTAATGCATTCATGTGTTCATCAATTTAATGTTGTAGCTGGTAAAAGGTGGAGTTCATTTTAAGTACTTTAAATACTGCTTTATTGTTGGTGAATTTTAGTTATACTTTGTATTAATCTGAATCTATGAAAAGGAAACTACTAACTAAAGCTGTCAGATAAATGCAATGGAGTAAAAAGTACAAGATTTCTCTCTGAAATATAGTGCAGTAGAAGTAGCATTAAAGAATCTCAAATTGTACTTAAGTACAGTACTAGCTGTAACGAGTCCTCCGTCCTCCTGCCCAGTACACCGGTACATGTATTTGTACATGGCTGTGTCTAAGAGTACCGGCACCCTGAGGGACCTGCAGCTGGCTCTGCAGCTGAAGATCGAGGAGCTCCGGCAGAGAGACTCTCTCATCGATGAGCTGGAGCTGGAGCTGGACACGAAGGATGATCTGATCAGGCAGCTGCAGGTAGAGCTGGACAAGCATCGCTGCACCCCACAGGTCCCCGTCAGCACCGCGGAGACGGCAAACACAGGTGTGTCCGTGCAGTCCCCACACTGACTATTAGGCAAGGCGACACAAATCCTGAAGGCAGTGAGGGAAGCTAAGTACACTTTACTTTGCTGGAGTATTTCCATTTTATAGAACTTTATACTTCTGCTACATCTCAGGGGCACATATGGTACTTTTTACTTGTGCAGATTACAGTTTTTCATCCCCTTCCTGTTCAGTGAAAACCTGTATCTCCAGATGTTTGTGATAAACTGTAGCATAAAGACTTAGAGGTCATTTACAAAAAGAGTTAATTAAGTCATTTAAAAAAGTAATTTAAGCTTGAATAAAACAAGCTGCTGATTACAGCATTATATTCTGTTATATTTTATATCGTCACCTGAATTTAGAATAGCTCTACTAACAGATTCATTAATTAATTTCACCGCTCCTGATAATCAGCTAGTTTCCCTTTACATAAACATTTCCACCTTAAATTGGTGCAGAAGATTTCTCCAGCATGCAGGAAATTAAGTGTTTAATGGTCTTGGGGAGGACCCACAGACCCCCACTCTTATGTGTAAGCATTGAATATTTCTTCAAAGTAGTGTTGATATATCTTCTCGTCCTGTTCTCGTGAACCCAATATTGTATTTAACCCGCCTTTGCATCAGCTGGAACATACATAGTCACAAAGCTGAAAACGAATGATGCATTGCTGCAGATTAAACTACCCAACAGGATATAAAGTAGTTAAAATGAGCTCAACCTGAAACATCTACAGCAGTAAAATGCAACATACACATTAATGCAGCAGGATTAATCCAGAAACACCAGATATAACAGAGAAACACTGACAGCACTATAAATACTTTTACTTTCATACTTTAAGTACCTTTAGCTGATGATACATAAGTACAGTTTTAAATGCAGGCCACGTTTTGTGAAGTTCATTTATAGCACATTTCATACAACAACCCGCGACCCTGTACGCAGCATAAGCGGTTGACGACGGATGGATGGATTTCATACAACCAGTGTAAACTCAGTGTGCTTCAAAAAGAAAAAAACAAAAGTACAGTCACATGACAAGCATGCAGGGCTTTTAGTGGAGTATGGTATTAGTACTTTTCTAAGTACTTCCACTGCTGTCTATAAGTCAGACGCATCACTGTAGCCGGGAATTAACAAATACTAAGGTTGTGAGCCGAGTCTCTCTCTGACCCCACAAAACTTTAACCACACTCCAAATTAGGTGATTTTTATCTCATATTTTATTAATTCCTTTAGCTGTGATATATCCTCACATCCTCTCAGTACTTCCAGGAATAGCAATTTGGTGAGGAAACGTTGAACGCTGGCCTAAAATCAGTCACACTGAAATTATTCAAAATGTTAAAATACTGCCTATAAATATCCAGTTTTTTTTATATATATTTATGATGCAGCAACACACTTTATGCCTTATGTGTTTTTATTTCGGTTTTATGGCCCTGAAGACATGATATTTTATTTCATCTGAATTTTCTTAAAAGGGTTATAAAAGAGGATTGATAAAAGACAAATATGCTCGAACTTAACACAAAATATGAGAATTTACTTATTGAACAACACCCCTGTTTAGTGTTGTAGTCAAGACCGGTCAAGACCGGCCAAATCGAGACCAAGTCAAGACCAGAGTTTATCGAGACCGAGACAAGACCAAGACTTTTAGGGGCTGATACCAAGTCGAGACCAAGACCAGTTCCCCACATTACATGACACACAATAAAATGTGGAACGAGATCAGAGGTACTTTAGAAATTGATCTGAAAGATCCACATTCCCATTAAAACACCCACATACAAACACTAAAAGCTGAAATCAACTTAACCGTCTTTATTCAACACTCATTTTCCATGTTTATCTTCCACATAACACTAGGGCTGGGCGATATGGCCAAAAATGTTATCAAATAAAAAATGTGATATCATTCAATGTCAATAATTAACAGTCAAATCATTTTTCCTTTCAAATTTAGACACACATTTAGACACTTCTTTAGGGTCAGGACAAGCACTTGATGCCAAACATGGATTGTTTCACAAATCTGAGGCAGAACATTAAAAACTATTGATTGATATGATGAAATGTGTTTTCAACAAAAATGCACGAGTTAAATTAAGTAAAATGTTTTTCCGTTCCTTTTCCTCAATATTTCCTGATATCAACAGATACACAAATAATAGATAAGAGACTGAATAATGCAACAAAGGTTGGTTCCTGAGATGTTGTTGTCGTATGGAAACGTCTTAAAGGCCTTACACGATAGGGGTCCAATAGTGGGTTCTGTTTTTTGTCCCGCCTTCAAGAGGGTCCATTTGTAAAAAAATGTAAAAACTAAAAGAGTATTCCTCAGATTTATCATTGCACTCCTGTAACATTGTCAGACTCACGATGGCCAGTTCAAATAAAGGATGAAAGTCTCTGAGAAGTGGTGCCGTGTGCTAAGGCAGAAACAGGTTTTAATTGCAGACACTCACACGGCAGAGTTTCATAATTTATTTTACAAAAAAAAACTGTTTGCAAGCTTTCAATACGTGCAGGCCATGTCCCAAAATAACCCAAACAACAAAATGTCCAACTACAGAATGGTAAATCCAAAAGGGGAAAGTAGAGTCCAAGATCCACAGTCAAACAGAACAAACAATAATCCAGTGTGCCAAGCAGAGGAAAAGTAATAATCCAAATCCACATAGATGCGGAGCAAACAGACAGGAGGTTCAGGTGGAAGCACAAGATGAGGCATGAATGACAATGAACTGGCTAGGTCAGGACGGAAATGAGGACAATAAATGCTGACACACACACGAGCAGGGAGGGTGAACAAATGGGTGAGCCACGTTAGGGTAACCAAGACAAAGAGGAAACAAAGCAAGACCAGGACACCAGACACAGACGATTACCAAAATAAAACAGGAAATGGACCAAACAAACGGACACACAGACTAAAACATGACAAAATTGATGCAGCAGAACCAAAGATTTCATGTTGTTCCTCCTACAATACCCACAATGCATCTCAAACTGCTGACAGTTGGGTGTGAGATTGGGGTGTGTTAAGCTGGTAGATGCTAATGTAGATAGGAGCCGGCAGCAGAGATGAGCAGCGGGCGACAGATTTCTTTCTAACTTCACACCAACAGATTCTTTTCATTTTCAATCTTGTAGTTTTCTGCCCCGACAATCACTCAAGTGAAACACACATCGGGGGATTGGGGGGGTGTCAGACCAGGTGAGCCTGCTTAACTATCGTCTCTTTGGATGTGTCTATAAGGAGCGGCGGCTCAGACTCCGGCAGCACCTGACGAGCCTCAGCGAACAAAGAGACAGGCCATCTCTGCAGAGCCCACAGCGCTGGACCCCTCGCAGCTCACTGATGTCACACTCACCAGCTACTGCAAGACCAAAGAGTGAGCATAGAAAAGCACACACACACACACACACACACACACACACACACACACACACACACACACACACACACGGAGACATGTGGATTGACCTTTTTGACCGTTCTGTGTATTTGCAGGTCTAGGGAGCTGATCCAGAGGGCTCTAATGGACAATGACTTCATGAAACATCTGGAACACGGGCAGGTAGTGACACACCTGAGCTGCTTTTTAAACAGACTGTCAACCTTTGTCGTGTGGATGATTTTAAAAAACAATTGTTGCCTCATATGCCTGCAGATTCTCACCATCATGGATTGTATGCATCCTACCAGCCTGGCCAAGGGCTGCTGTGTCATCCAGGAGGGAGATGACGGCTCCACAGTCTACGTTCTGGAGGGTAAGGCCGGTCAGCGTCTCTGCACACTCAATCAGATGAAATTGTGTATATTTCAGATGATATTATTATGGATATTTTCATAACTGATAAATGTGCAAATAACTATTTTATCATAGAATATTTAAAAAAATGTCAGGCTGAAAATGCCCATTATACTTTTCCATATAAAACAGAAAAGCAGCAAAATAAAATGCCAAATTAGGGGCCACGGCTGACCTGCAAGAATTGAATAATTCACCCACTTTTAAATTAAACTTCTTATTTCATTCAACGTGTAGAGGCATGAGGAGAAAAGGTGCTGAGGGTGTTGAAGAAACCAGGAATTTAAAAAAACTTGTAGAGAGAGTGTGCGAGTATTGCAATGTACATTCATAAATGAGGGAGTGCATCATTTATGAATATTCTAACAAACAGCAAATGAAAGGTAAGGTCTCTAAATAAATACGTTTATGTACACAAAGGTTTTCTAAAATTAGGTGATTTGTAATTAAACTCATGTTGTGCATTTGTGCACAATTATTTTCTGGTCAGAAACAAAAACGTTTTCTTGTTAAGCAACAATTTACAAATAATAAATTCGAGTTGAAGTCTGAATAAATACCATTATTAATGCAAACCAACTAATACCCTCACTTCTTTTTTCTCTTTTATGTAGGGCCCAACATTAGCTCATGAAACGGGCCCGCGGACACTTAAAGGCTGCCCCCTGCAGCTAATCGCAGTTGACCACTACTTGAAGTGAAATATGGACTAAACACTACTTGCTTGTTTCTGAATTTCCAGAACTGTTCAATAACAAACTGACTTAACAAACCAGATCACATAAAGAAGTTAAGAAAAACGTGCTTGGCAATATTTCCGCGTGTAGATGCTGGTACCAGTTTTTTCACTAAAGCTCTCTGAAGCGTAGCGATCCACTGTTAGCTGCGTTAGCATTGTGGCTAAGGTGATGCCGATTTGTCACTGGTATGTCCGAAGCAAGATTATTATTGTTAACGACATTTTCGTTACCTGAAATAAAAAATGAGACAATAACTAACTGAAACTGTCTTGTCTGTTTGCAAAACTAAAATAAACTGAAATTATAGAGTAAATGTGCTTAGTTTTCATCTTTGTCTTTATAGGGCCTAGAAATCTATCTTCCAGTTTCTCAGCTGTGCCAGTTTCCAGTCCATGAAAATTAAACCTAACTAGCAAACTAACTTTAAAAACTAAAACTAAACTGAAATTTAAACAAAATAAAAGTCAAAACGAAATTAATGTAGAAACTAATGAAAAAAAAGCTAAACCTTGGTCCGAAGTCGTAAATACTGAGCCGACCAACGCGGAACACACACTAAGATGTGAGTACACCTTTAGAGACGAGCTGGTGAACATAGAGGAGCATTTAGCTGCTAAAGAGCCAGATATTTCCTTCAGGAGTTGTTACAGACCAAAAGCAGAGCTGAAAAGAGAGAGAATAGTGGACTCCAATCAGTAATCAGTAAGATCATTATCAATGTGAAGTATAATTTGGCGCATGCACACCGATGCAGTAGCACCCACCAAACTCTCCATACACACAAACACAAGTAGTGAAGGTGCAGTAGCTGCTGCTCTGCTCAGTGACAAAACCAATCTGAGGTGACACGTTGAAGTGGACTGATGTGCACAGGCAGCCCATTTGTCTGAGCACAGACAACACAAGATTGCAAAATAGCCTGCACCAGCCAGCGTGAACAGAGGCTCTATCACAGACATTATGTGGCACAAAGTAAAGTGTGGAGAAAGCCTGGCGGTAGACAGAAAACAGCGGGAGGAGATATATTATAGGACATATTGTTGCAGTAGTTGAGGTGATATCATGGTGAGGTCATTGTCTGGTAGGTGTTTTGTGTGTAAAGTGATAAAACACTATGCTCACACACATACTGCGTGAATAAATGCATGTGTTGTAGCTTCAATCCAGTTCAGTCGTATGTTCCAGACACCTTCACTCTTCTGGTGTCAAAATCTGCTTGTTTTTTCTCTCCCAAGGACAGAAAGTCTTTAACACACCTCCACTGAAAGACTTTACCGCTGTGCTCTCCACGCAAGATCTGCTTAAAATGCCTCTGATGAACCGACATTGTTCAATTTAGTCTCTCTTCAACAGAAACTCAATTATCTCTTTTGAATACAGGGCTTTGCTTGAAGCGGTTTAGTGATGATGGATTTATTTTGATCATGATCCCTACTCTCAGTCTGTGCATGTATTTGTAGGGTGTATCTGCATGCATTGTTTTATCCATCTGTAGGGACGGCCGTGCAGGTCGGCTTTCCACTTAAGACTGAAATATCTTGGAAACTACCGGATGGATTGCCGTGAGATTTTGTACAGACATTTGTGGTCCGTTGAGGATGAATCTGGTTTGAGCTAAATGCTAAATAATAATCTGTTCCATGTTCTCCATCTTAGTTTGGTGAGTTTAGCATGCTGACATTTGCTAAGTAGCACAGGTGTGAACTCGGGTCACAAATATGATGACTACAGATTTGACTTGACAAACTCAAAAAAGACGTGCAACTCAACACCAGTGACTCGGGACTTCACTTGGACTTGAGCCTTTTGACTCGAACTGAATTCATACTCATCCCTAGTGCGAATATAAATTACGATATAAAAGAAACAGTGTGCAGTGAGCATCAACACTTCATTTAGTTCATGAAATTATATGACATTTAAAACACAATGCATGCAAACACAATTTTATTCAATAAAGCTTTAACCTGTACGGTGGCCCAGTGGCACTGTGGCCTCAAAGCAAAAAGGACGAGGGTTCAAACCCCGGTTGTCCCGGCCTTTCTGTGTTCTGTTTGCATGTTCTCCCCATTTCTGCGTGGGTTTTCTCCGGGTGCTGCGGTTTCCCCCACCATCAAAACCATGTTAGGTTCTCTAGTCAGTGCCGTTGACCAGTTGCTCAGATCTGGAGCCCCGGGGCGCTGCACAGTGGCAGTATATCACTGGAGTGGCCAATTACAAACCATAACAGTAACCAAAGAGTCTTCAGCCATGCTAGTCACTCTTAGGGGTGATTTGAGCTAAATGCTAATTTCAGCATGCTAACATCCTCACAATGACAATGCTGTTTAGCAGTTATAATGTTGTTGTTGTACAAGTTTATTGAATAGAATAAACCTTTTGAGATGAACCGTCTCGTTTTCTAGGGGGTCCTAATATACAAAACAATACAAAACAAGGGACAAATCAAACACATTACAATCATCAGAAAGACAAAAACAAAAACACAATCAAAAATCACACTTAACGAAGACAAACAAAGAAACATCACAAAGATAAGTAATTAGGTCAGCGATTCCCAAAGTGTGGTGCGGGCACCCCTGGGGGGTACGTGAGCTGCCTCTAGGGGGTGCGTGTGCGACAGGAAAAATGTAATGTGTGGTGTAGTAGTGTAATAACTACAGCAATTATTTTATTGTGGAATTTTTCAGGAAAAAAATACTTGAATAACCAGTGTTCCTGGCTGTTGTAACGATAGTTGTTATGGTCATTAGGACTACCCGAGGCCAAGACTGAACGACCATCGCTGGTATCTTCACCTGAGGCCAATAGGTTACGTTTGTTAAGTTTCCTGGGAAGTGATGAAAGGACAGCATTGTAAGTGGGGGATAAGTGGTGGCGTAGACCCCCTCCTCTGTTCAATGAAGGCTTCTCAATCCGGGTGTAGATGGCTTCCTTGACACCTCTTTCAAACCTTAACAAACCAGCGATATCGATATATATATATATATATATATATATATATATATATATATATATATATATATATATAGGAAGGTAGGTATTTGGTCATAAACCAAAATTAAACTACTGGACAATTTAAAAATTTGACCTGATAATGGCACTAGATGAAAAGTCAGAGGATCACTAAAGTTTTTACAGTTTATCCTGAGGGGAACATGAATGTTTGAACCACATTTCATGACAATCCATCAATCCATCCAATAGTTTTCAGTCCAGACCGAAGTGAGACAGACAGACTGAGACATTAGCATCCATACTGCTAGCATGGCTAAAAGTTAAAACAAGACAAAGTTGGCAACCCTGCAAATCACTGTCAGCGTGTTTGCATTGTGAGCATGTTAGCATGATGATGTTAGCACTTAGATCTTTGCCTGCTAACATGGTGGTAGACACTTTAGGCTATGCTAATCTCTAACCATGTTAGTTATATCTAGAGATGCACATGCACACAGAGATGATCCCGTTCTTTTAATGTGTGTTCACAGAGGGAATGGTTGAGGTGACTAAACAAGGAAAGAAACTGTGCACCATTGGTCAAGGAACAGTGTTTGGAGAACTGGCGATCCTGTACAACTGCACTCGCACAGCAACTGTGACAGGTAAACACAAAAACACACACATATTACATGCTCGAACTAACAACGCAGCTGCTCCTCGTGATATTGGCTTCTGATTTTTGCAAGTCAGTGTCGTGCGTCCAATCAGTGACCCTGAAAACGCAGGGGAAGGCCACTGCCGGTGCTGCTGAAAATGAAGTGAATTCAGGCTGTGAAAACGCTTTAATGACGCGGTAACGATTTTTCATCCTGACTAATGGAAACTGTGACGAAGGTCAACCACGAACATCTTTTCTCCTCTTCTTAATGAACTCTGTCTAAAAGTCTTTCTCGCTGCACCTTCAAGGACGCTTCACACAAACACAAACACAAAACATGTTTTTCCTCACTTATTGCTTTTGTAAAGATGTGTTGCTGTGGAGTTTTTCAAACGTGGTTTCCTCTCTGTTGTATTTGAAAGTCATAAGAGAGCTTAGATATTTAGAAACCTGAGTGAATAAAACTGAAACTATCAGCATGGCTTTATACTAGAAGTTTCTGTGATTTCTGCAGTAAGAAATAACTTCTTTTTCTTTTTCCAGAGGCCTTACTTAATTCAATACACTGTGCTGCCAGTTGATCCGGTGTGACCACTGGCTAATGTTAACTTAAAATAGATATTGCTGTGAAACTGACATTATACTATATTATAATGTCAGTTATACTATATTTTCTACTTGTGCTAGTTACTTTTCCAGCACCACTTATCCACAACTGCTCTTATCTACAGAAATGAACCGATCGCCTCAGTTCGTGAGTCATTCAGTCACCTGTGAATCAAATCTGATTGAATCACACCCACACAGTCCGGAGTTAAACACAACAAATGCTCTGATTTTTGCTTATGAATATTTAATGTCATAGAGAAATGTTTAAGATCAGACGTTTTCAGAAGCCATAAGCATGTCAGCTTAATATTTCTTAATCAGGACCTCCAGTATAGCTCGTGTAAAATGAGGAGTACAGGTCAGCATGTTATAGATGTTATTTCAATGTACATTTGATCGTCTAGCATTCATCTCATTTACATTGTTGAAGCTTCAGATTATCAACATTAGACTCACGTGGGCTCCAGATACACTACAGATATAAATACACACTATATTAAAAAAAAATAAAAAATATAATAACAAATATTATAGCTCAGGACAACATTTTTATTAGAGCATAATAGAAACTGCAGTGTTTCTGGTTTTTCAAATCTAAGTGTACAGATCTAAACCGATTCTTTTCAATTTTAGTTATTTAAACATTTTACAATCCTTTTCAGTATGATGCACCACCAGACTGCAAAGCAGCTTTCCCCTCCAAGCTATCAGACTCTAATTCATCCTCAGCACTGCTCCATTGATAGTTAATATCTGTTTACCATTTTTATAATTGCTTCTGTACTAATGTATATTGTCTGCTCCGTAGCAGAAGGGAGTTACAAACTCAATTTCACTCTATAATCTGAAAGTTACACATACTTCGGTTTTAAAGGAATACTTCAACATTTTGGGAAGAGTTTTCCCCTTTAAACAAGAGATACCTGAACAATAACAGAGGGACACAGGATCAAAAATTTAAGTGTTTTTCATTTAAGGGGAAAGCTTTCTGCGTATGACTTTCCCTTGTGTCCCTTTTAACCCCTTGTTGTGACACTCTGCATGTTAACACTTTTCAATTCACATCCCTTTAGTTTCCCTGCTGACATTTGTGCTTCAGGTGATGGATTGGCTTTAAATGCGGTAACAGACTGATTTCTTTTTTCTAGACCCTGCCTGATGAAATTGTGTGGTTTTGGCACCAATGAGAAGAATTTGTTTACAGCATTCTCGTTCTTGGCTGTGTGGGGTATAAAGAATATAAATAAATAAATCAGCCAGCTCTATACAACCCATTTATCTTTAAATGAGGTTCTGAGCTCACATTTTCACCTCTTTGTTTGCCATTTTTAATAGGTGTCCTTGTGTCGTTCAATGTCATTCAAGTGGGTGAAAGAGAGGCAGCACATTTATAAGCACTAAAGAAGTCAGCCAGTCTCTCCATCACGTCTGTGCAAAGACATCCAGGTCTAGTTCCCTTCAATCTTTTGCTGGACAGCAGCAGTCGTAGTTTTTCCTCTTAACTTTTTGATTTTACACATTAAAGCAGCATCAATAGTTATAACACAGCGGAGCATGTAGCAGCTAAAGAGCCAGATATTTCCCTTAGGAGCTGGTGGAGACCAAACACAGAGCTAAAAGAGAGAGAATATTATACATAGACACAATGGGTTGATCGTGTAAGTGCTAGTCTGGCTCTGTCCAAAAGGTTAAAATCCAACGACCAGCATGTTAAAATTCAGTCAACATGTTGTATTTTATATTTGTTTAATCCATATGTAAAAAGTGAAGTGTAAAATCTACAAAGTGCGTGGTGGGGTGGAGGATGAATGAATCCTCTTTGTGGATTTTACACTATAAAATGGGACAAGGATCAACTGATGGTGTAATAAAGTGACTGTCCGTGTGTAATTTACTAATCAAAAAATTATTATGCTTAAACATTACATTTTGACAAGTTTTTACAATTAAATATATTATGTAAGGTGCATATTAACTCCACTTTCTCTCTCCCTTCCCTTGTGCACAACATTCTGCTCTGCATGGTTGGCAGGCTAATGCCACAGCAGCGTTCCCCTTGCAGATGAGAAAGCTATTAGTTGCAATAAACTAAAAGAAAAAAAAAATCCGTTGTCCACCTGGGGACATGGAGGCACTGCAAGGGGGAACTAAGTTGAATGAACAGAGCTTGCTGGTGCTGTATCATGCTAACCTGAATCATTTATCTTATTTTAATCAAATTCAAAGTGACTCTCTTTTTAGTTTTTTGTTTTTCTCAATATATTTAATGACGAAAAAGAATTCAATCCATTTACGTGGGGGCATAAACTTGTTTCCGCTTCTGGATGGGGGGGGCATGACTGCAAAGGTTTGAGAAACACTGCTTTAAACTTTCTCTGATCCAGGTCACCTTTTTTAAGTTTAGAAAGAGACATTTCGGTGTTATGTGCACCACGGTCGTAACTAAAGTGTTTGTGGGCGTTTTCCCCCTTTGGTATTGCCGTGTTTAGGCAAATCTGAACACAGCAATTGCACTTGGGCGCAGAGAGAGCCTATTAAGGAAGTGGTCTCAGTTCAGTCACGGTTCAGTCACAAGCGGTTTCTGGAGAGTTAGTTTGTGCTGGAAACATCATCAGATCTGATACGCTCTTCATATATTTCCTGTCTCTTCCCTCCTGTGACACAAGCCTATACTACACCCTAATACTGACAGGTTGTGTAGGTTGTTTCAGCTAAATGTGAAATAAGATTAGGGGAAAAGTTAATTTACTGGCTGGATTAAACAATAAATTCTAAACATGTAGGGAGCCTTACAACGTTGTCTCGCGGGCTGAATCTCTCCCCTGGGCCGGCCGTTTGAAACCACACTAAACCCAAGCTGAAAGATAAACCTGACGACATCATTAAGGGTTATTTTATCCGACTTCAGAAAGCTCCCTGCACAACCACAGAAGACGATATACAACAGACCAAGAAGGACTCTCCGTGGAGAGTAAACTGATCGTTATGTGTAAAATTCATGGAGTGTTCCTTTAAATTGCTGGAGGAGTGGATGACAAGGTCCATACTGTAGTATGGCCTTAAAGAGCATGATAATGAAAATAGGGGAGTATGAGGCAGGGTGAATAAGGATTTAGAGAGGGCCGGGAATAAATGGGTCGACATGTAAATAAACATTTAGAAAGACATGGTGTTGCTATAGCAGCACGAAGGTCACCTGCCCTCCTGCATGTAGACACGTGTGCTTTAAGAGATAAAGATTATAAAGATACTGGGTGCTGATTCCCCCTGTGATGCAAAGGAGGAGGATGTAAACAGGTCATGAAACGAAACCTCTGACGGGATTATAACAGGAGGAGATAGCAGTTACTTCAAAAATACATCAAATACTACGATGTGTGTGTGTGTGTGTGTGTGTTGCTATCTTTCTGATGACCATATCAGGTTTGAGCAGTCGTACCGAGGACATTTCTGCACTGCCAGGACATTTTGGCTGTTCCTCAGTACTTCAAAGGATTGTTTGAAGGTTATGATTTACTTTTGAAGGAAAGGTTCGAATTAGGTTTGGAGAAGTGTGAGAAGAAGTAAGTCTTAAATATAACTTTCCAACTGCAATGATAAATATTTTTTTAAAGTACCTTAGAGGTGGACAATGATCAACCCTTGTTAGCTTTTAGGTTCTATTATGCATAAAATACACATTTCTCTTGGCCGCGTCCTTATGAAGTATGAACTAACTGACAAATAGGTCGATTGTCAGTTGTCCCAAAACAACATATATATCCATCCAAAGAAGGTTAAAATCAAGGACAACTGGACATTTCGTCCCTCATCCAAGACACTATGTGTGACCTTTGGAAAGTACCAATCCAGCAACCAGACCGGAAGTAACGTTGTGAAACGGTCGCAGTTTGGTTAGAATGAGGCAAGAAAACAGTAAAAGATCATGGTTTGGTTTAGAAAAGTAATTTACGTATGTAATGTTATTTAACTTAAAATAACTCATGTTTACTTGGTTTCACACGGGACTCAAACCTCAGTCTCTTTGTTTGACGCATCCATCTTCCCCAACCACGTGGATTGTGTCGCTCTTTATACTACGTCACCTGACTTTCTACTGTGCTCCCATCCGACGGACACTAGACATAAATATGGGACGTAATAAGCTGCTGTAATAATCGACTTATATGGCCGTTTTTCCTTGTGAGGACGGGCTGGACAGAGGCCAAGTAACCAATGGGCAGTCAATGAGATTATGGTCCTCATTGACCTTGAGAGCTTTTAAAGCAGATCTAAATTAAAAATAGGGGAGAAGTAGGGATAGATTATCAATAATATATCTTAAAACACCCCGTTAAGGTCACCTAGAACCAGAAAACCTTCCTACCCGCTGACTTTGTGTTTGTGCTGTGATTTAGCGAGTGTTTGTTGGTGCTTTTTACAGGTCTTCAAAAACACTACCTTTGTCTCCCAGAGGTTCAGGAAAAGGACACAAAACAAATCTAATGTATGTCAGTGCTGCAGCTGGCTGCAGTGGATGTTAGAGACCCTCCGACGTGATGAAAAACACATGGAATTAAGTCTGAACATTGGTTAAATTAATTAAAAGGAGAGGAGGGTTTTGTTTTTTTTTCTATGGAGGACTCTCCTCACCACCTAATGAGATGCTGAATTATTTAGTTTGAAAGCATGTTCAGCATCTTTTCTGATGTTAAACACTATTCAAATCAGTTTTTTAGTTCTGTATTTCTGTCTGTCTGTAGCTCTGACTGACATTAAGCTCTGGGCGATCGACCGTCAGGGTTTCCAGACCATCATGATGAGGACTGGTCTCATCAAACATTCCCAGTACACAGACTTCCTCCGCAGGTACAGCTCATACACATGCTCACCACTTCACGGTTTTAAGCTCTCACCACATGAGAATGACTCACATCTCTCACTCTGAACTCTCCTCCCAGCGTTCCCTCTTTTCAGTCGCTACCCGAGGACATCCTCAGCAAACTGGCTGATGTTTTGGAGGAGGTGATGATTCCCAAACACTTTTCTATTATAAGCACTCGCTCACAGGCAAACAGTATCTGTTTCTACCATCTGTTCTTCCACCTGACAAATACAAATCGTTAGAAATGTCCTGTTCAGTAATCTGAGGTATTGTGTGCACATGATTCACATCTCTCTCTGTGATCCCTCTCTCAGACTCATTACAGTGACTGTGATTACATTATCCGTCAGGGAGCCACCGGAGACACATTCTTCATCATCAGTGAAGGACAGGTGAGGAAGGAATGACAAGAGAGAATGACAGACTTATTAGGGAGTGAAAATAGAACATGTACCAGAAGGGGAAAGAGAAAGAAAAGGGGGTAAAAAGGTAATAACAGAGCTCAGACGTCAGGTGGTTTCTAGACTTAAACCTCGCCCATCCACCTCCCAAAATTCATTTTCAAGGGGATATAATTAGACTGTGCCATACACTTATGGCAGTTTAAGTTAATTTTTTAGTAAAAGTACAGGAGTATTATCAGCTGAATGTATTAAAAGTTAAGTACTGAACTGTGTAAAAGTTTAGGTAGGTGTGGAAGAAAGACATGTTAATATATTTATCAATTAAAGGTCCACTGTGTAATATTTAGGAGGATCTATTTACAGAAATGCAATATAATAAACATAACTATGTTTTCAGTGGTGTATAAAGACCTTACATAATGAACTGTTATGTTTTTATTACCTGGGAATGAGACATTTCTATCTACATATGCCGCGGGTCCGCTTACATGGACGGCGTCATGTTGTGCCGCCATGTTTCTACAGTAGCCCAAACGGACAAACTGCTTTACAGAGCGCGTTTCGTCACCACGTTGAATACATAAAAAGAAGAAGTAGTAATGTTGGTAGTAGTAGCTATAGTCTACTGGTTTATTAGACGTAAGAAAAGAGAAATTCGACAAATAGAGGACCACATGTATTTATAGCACAAGAACCGACAGAGTGTTGACCACCGTAGCTTCTCCTGCACGCTTGGAAAGGAAGGGTGCATTCATGTGATGTCCAGAACCAAAATTAACGTGCAAATACAAAATTGTCTTGCAAAATTAATGTATTGCATATACATATTTTGCAAACATGTAATTTGTAAAACGGTTATAACCATTAATTTGCTGTCCATGTAGAGTGAACTAGATGTCGGCACGTTGTTAATATGCTCTGATAGTGATTATCCAGCACACCTTTGTAGTAGCCTCCATGTTGATTCCACATTCAGACTTAAGAACACATGAACACACACTGAAGTCGGAAGAACGACTTCAAAACTCGGCATAGTGGACCATCTGAGGAGCTTGTGAATGCACCGTGAGCCACTGGTTGCAATTTGCAACCCTCACCACTAGATGTCACTAAAACTGCAAAGTGATGGAAGAGAAGAAAAATCTAAATCAAATCAATATTTGATGCTACCACCCTTTGCCTTCAAAACACTATCAGATCTTCTAGGTTCACTTGCACTATGTCAGAGATTTTGTAGGCATATCGTCAGATGTATGATTAAACAAATATACCAGACAAGTGCTAATGATAATAAATTCAATATATAGTGGGACCCTGGTATGCCCAACCACTGGCCGGAAAGGTTTGGTCAGAACTGGCGAAAAAGCAAAACGGCAGCTTGTGTTCTGGACTAATTAGTCAAAATTTGAAATATTTGGCTGCAGCAGAAGGCATTTTTTCGCTTAAATACTGAAGAGTGGTAGAGGAATGAGTGTCTACAGGCAACAGTGAAGAATGGTGGAGGTTCCTTGCAAGTGTGGGGCTGCATTTGTAGAAATGGAGTTGAGGATTTGGTCAGAATTAATGGTCTCCTCGATGCTGAGAAGTCCAGGCAGATACTAATTCATCATGCATTACTATCAGGGAGGCTTTATCTGCTGCATGATAACGACCCTAAACATACAGCGAAAGTCATCAAAAACTATCTTCAGCGTAAAGAAGAATAAGGAGTCCTGGAGATGATGGTATGGCCCCCACGGATCCCTGATCTCAACATCATCGAGTCTGTCTGGGATCACATGAAAAGAGAGAAGCAACCGCGGCTGCATAAATACCCAGAACGTCCATGGGTAGTTCTCCAAGATGTTTGTGCCAAGTTACCTGAATTCCTTCAAAAAGTTGTGTTCCCAAAAGAATGTGTGCGGTTTTGCAAAGGGTGCTCACACCAAATATTGTTTTGATTTTCTTCTGTTAACCCACTTTGCATTTTGTAAATTGACAAATACAATTAATAACATCTATTTTTTGAGAATTCTTTCTTTACAGAATTTCTTTCACACCTGCCTAAGGTCTTTGCACTATACTGTACAACAACATTCATCATAACATTCATCGTAACTGCATTGCCGTGACAAATTTGTGACAACCTAAAAACATGTTGTGATCTGTGATGTCCACAGGTGAAAGTCTCTCAGCAGAGCTCACCCAGTGACGAGCAGGTGGCTGTGAAAACTCTCTCCAAAGGGGACTGGTTTGGAGAGCAAGCTCTGAAAGGGTGAAACACATATCACAAGATTTCACTGAGAATTATACATCATTTATACTTTTGCATACTATGTTTTTGAATTGATTTCTGTCCTCGCCAGAAAACCACAGGGTTTAAATTCCTGAAATAGTTTTCTGACAGGGACCTCTTGTGACCGCACGCGTCATGTCTGTTATCCCAGAACCAAAGCTGGAAGTAGTAGATGTTGTTGTTATACTATGTATTCAGATGGGAAGTTGTTTTTTTCATTCATGTGAATTTGCCGGCTACACCCAATGTACCAGCTGCACATAAATTAGCCATAAGCTAGCAGAGTTTAGATGCACGGGTCTAAAACAAAGCCCAGGACCTTGACTACCCGACTAAACCTTTAAAGTACTAGTTTGACATTTTGTTAAGATGGATACCATTCAGCACAGCTAGCCTGGCTCTGTCCAAAAGTAACAAAAGTTCACCTCTAAAATTCATTATACACTTTATATCTCATTGTAGTTTTACAGGGTGAGTAGGTGAGCTAGACAGAAGCCACATTTTACAAGTTTACTTTCAGAAACAACCAAATGTTAAATGGAAAATAACAGAAAAACTGAATTTTTCTCGACCAGTCTGTACGATTTTCCCCAGCATGCCGTGCATCCAGGAGTAAATGAACAGTGCCATCTTGTGGCCTTAATGTAGTATTTTCTGAAAAACAAAAAACAAAAGTAAAGGATTAGTTCCTGATGATGGATTTCCATTTTCAAGTGAGGTTGAGGTCTTTTCAAGCCTGTGTTCATGTAATGCTGAGACCTATGGCTGCCTGTTATGTTGGATTGACACAGGGCAACATTGGAACGGCCCAAATGCAGACAACTGATGCAGAATGGGACAGTTCAAAGATGTACAGGCAGATCCAGGTAGCCAGGAAGGAAGAGGTCAAGGTCAGGTACAGGTACACAGCCAGGGTCTGGGCAGCATTGATGATCTGACAGGGAATGAGCGGACATAGGCCGGTTATACACTGCAGTGCTGACGAGGGTAGGTGGAAACAGGTGAGTAGGTGGATGAGGGAGTCAGGTGACTCACAGGTGGAAAAGTCTGAGGCCATCTGGTGGACATGTTAGGAGTGGCATTGAAGGGGTTTTGAGAGGTGGGACTGTGGCTGGAGGGAGAGACAGAGAGGTTAAACACCTCCTTAGGGATCTATCTACACACCTACGGTATGGATTTGACATTAACATAAACACAGACGCAAGTTAATTTAGGATAAAATATATTTCATATACAGCAAGTGTTTAGATATAACGGAATCTCAACACATAAACACAAATCGTCCATCAATCCAACACACATTTTTGAAACAAGGAAGCAGTCGTAAAAACTAATCCTGCATTTCATTTCATTCCTTCGTCTCCTTTGCAGTGAGGACGTTCGAACAGCCAGTGTCACAGCTGTGGGAGACGTCACGTGTCTGGTGATTGACAGAGAGTGAGTGAGGATCTTTGTTAACCATGACCATCAGTTTACGGCTCCGTGGTTCACTTTGTTGTCACCCTTTAAAGGCATCTTTGTGTTCCATGTTGGTTCAGCCTCTCATCCGCACGTGTGTCGCAGGTCTTTCAGACAGCTGATTGGAGGACTGGATGACGTCAACAACAAGCAGTACGACAGCGATGAGGTCAACGCGAAGTGAGTTTGTTGTGTTTATGTATATTCGGAGGCTTATGTAACAGCTGCTGTTTGATGTTGAATGAACACTAAGCTCCATGAAAGTTCAGCTCTTCACAACATACAATTATCTAAATATAAGTTAAGTGTTCTAACTTTTGAACGGGTGAAGCGCTCCCTCTCGTCAGCCAGCACCTTCTCACTCATCTAACCTGTTCTTTAATAAAATACGTAAACATGCATGCAAACTGTGCAAAACAACCAGCTTCATGTATAAAAGGGTAAAGAGGTTGAAGTCCAGAGTGCGTCTTGACAGAGAGAGTTGGCATGCTGGCAGGAGTGGACATCCGGTAGCAGGTGAATCTGAAGCAAGATTATGATAAATTAGCATTTTTCATTTTTACTTCATTTTGACTATTTCAGTATAGTTTTAATTAATTTCTTAAAATAATAATAAATAAAGAATATAATATAAATAATTTTTAAAAGCAGGTTTGCTAGTTTAGTTTGGTTTTAATTTTTTGAAAATACTTATTTTTAGTTTAGTATTTATTAGTTTCAGTGTTAGTTTTTGTTTGTTTGTTAGTCTTTTTTTGTAAAATGGGACTCTGCCGCTTTCTCCCGACTTCTGCTGCCATGACGCCAGGCGAGGGGTGTGGACTAAAAACTGGCACAGCCTAAAAATTTAAGATAGATTCCCTATCCACCCTAAATACTAGGCTTATGTAGGCTCTGTGAAATACATTGACCAAAATGAAAACTAAAAAACATGTACGCTTTAATTTTTGTTTATTTCTGCAAACAGATAGTTTCAGTTAGTTATCTATTTTTTATTTCAGTTAACGAAAATGTTTTTTCACACCTAGTTTTTGTTGTTTCATTAGTTTTGATCAACGATAATAACCTTGATCTGAAGACGTAGAATCCCAGAGTTAGCTGGGCAGGCAGGCAAAACGAGCAGAATAACAGGTGACTAAGCAGGCTGAACTACGAGACAAGGCAATTGTATGACTGAACGATACGGCGAAGTCAACCAGAAGTCAAGCCGATCAACTCTATTGGCTTGATGATAGGCAGGTGAGAGAAAAACTGACAAGCTGGGGGGAGCCAGAGGTAACTGCCCACAGCCAGAGAGAGCGAGAGAATACAAAAACATATCACACCAAGCATGCCACTACCACCTAAAACATTAAAACAAACAAAAACACACTCACTTGCATCACTATAGGTCACAGCGGGGAAATATTGACTACCTGTGTATGTATAGAATATTTGAGTACATGTTAAACTGTAAATAATGTATAATTTGTAGGTAAATGGATGTTTTGATGTTGCACTGTTCTGTCCTGGACACCTCTGGCTTTGAAGGAGAGTTATTTCATTTCTTTCCTCCACTGTCCTCCAGACTGCAGACAGAGGCAGATTTCTTTTCCAGTGTGTCACTTAGTGATTTCAATATCGTCTGCACTCTGGGGATGGGAGGCTTCAGTCGAGTGGAGCTGGTGAGTAAATGTGCGTATGAAGATGTTCTGTAGCGGCTGATAACGTATAAACACACGCCACCTTTGTCTGTTTGAACTGAATGTGAGTGTTTGCGTGTTCAGGTGCAATTAAAGAACGATGCCAGTCGATCTTTTGCCCTGAAAGTGTTAAAGAAACGCCACATCCTGGACACCAGCCAGCAGGGCCACATCCTGTCGGAGCGCCGCATCATGATGGAGGCGCACAGCCCGTTCATCATCAGGTCACGCTGCATTTTTATGTTGCCCGAGGTCACGGAGGATTTATTCAGGAGTAATTATAAGTGCACTACACTACTTCATGTGTCGTGTTTCCACCCTGGATGGTTTGCACTCGCTTTACCACAAAAAACAGACAGCTGCACAAAATCCAGTCCAGTTTCTGTGGATCACTGCTGCATGCAAAGTTACTATAATTACCATATAAAACATAGTAAATAACACTTGACTACAGGATTATTACAACCTGAGATATCTTCTTTTTTTTTTTTTTACTCTAAAAACCTTCAACTTGAATGTAAATAATAAATAAGTGTAATAAATATAAATAAATCAACCTTATTTCCATGCTATTTTAGTTTAGATGTTATACACACATGTGCCACTGAGCTTTTATAAAAGAAGAAATATTCTTCCTCGTATGAAATGAAAAGTTCTTTCAAATTCATTCAAATTTAAGTCAGTGAAAAAGATTTGACACGTTTTTTTCCCCGCCACAAAAACAAATCCAGCGAGTGCAGCGATTCTACTGACATTACTTGATTTTACATTTTAAATTCTGGTGTGAACTTTACACAACGTGTTCTCATATCTGTCCCTGTGGCCGCTGCACAGCAGAAGATGCAGCTTTAATCTGAGGCTATCAAATCTCTTGTTAAATCTTTCTCCTCTCTATTTTACAAGATCAATATACAAAACAGTTATTTTCACCTACTTCCATCTGGCAGGACTTGAGTTTCTGTCATTTGAATTTGAATCTTTTTAGTTTTTAAATATCTCAAGTGATTTGATTTTAATTTACTTAGTTATATGCTTCATCCATACTCCTTTAAATTCATTTTTGAATACTTGCTCTTTGTCTTCCTGCAGGTTGTATCGGACTTTCAGAGACTCCAAATATCTCTACATGCTGCTGGAGGCTTGCCTCGGAGGAGAACTGTGGACGTTACTGCGAGACAGGTGTGTGTTTACATGTCTTAGCAATGACAGAAATACAGTCAATGGAAAAGGAAGACGAGGTTTTGGATTAAAGAGCAGCGGAGTATGATCCACCCGGCCCGATCAACTGGACCAGGTACCACGGCAGGTGCGGTGATCGTTCAGAGGAGAGGAAAGAGAGCCGGGATAGGAGCCATGTTGGCTCAGCTTGGACTTAAGGCTGCTCCTAAAGGTCCGGTCTGGACAGAATGGGACTCATGTTGGCCAAGCAGCATGAATCAGAGCCTGTTGTGCCCACATCTTTACAGAGACCTGCCCCATCAACATCCCGGATCAAGCACTCGGAAAGTGGTCCGTGTCCGAGCTGTCAGCGCAAGACTCCCGCAAGATGAGAGGAGGTGGATTCTTGTGGAGATGCTTGGTGCTAAAACACAACCAAGATGGACCCTGTTTCCCAAATGTGAAGAGTAAAACAAGAGGAAACATATTATCATCTTGTTGCTGCTGTTTACATTCACCCCAGACGCAAATTAAAAAAATGCACTGAGGAAAGTTCTGGATGTATATGTGTCTGTATAAAGCCTATTGTTTTATTTATTTTACATGTTACCGTTTGTTTAGTTATTTTCTATTAAGCTCTGTGTGTGCAGCATGAAGGGACTAGAAACTGTCCTTGCTTTATACCACCTTCTGTTGTGTTATGACAACAATGCTTCTGTTGCAGGGGATCATTTGATGACGGCGTCACTCGCTTCTACACGGGCTGTGTCGTAGAGGCTCTGGCTTTCCTGCACTCCAGAGGAATCATCTACAGAGACCTCAAACCTGAGAACATCATCCTGGACCACCGGGGATACGCAAAGCTGGTGTGGCTGCTGCATGTTTGTAAGACATGTGCGTCACATACTTCACAAAGAAAATATTCACGATGTGTGTTTTCTTCTTTTGCACAGGTGGACTTTGGCTTTGCTAAGAAGGTTGGTCTGGGTAAGAAGACGTGGACGTTTTGTGGTACTCCTGAGTACGTCGCCCCTGAGATCATCCTGAACAAAGGCCATGACAGTTCAGCTGACTGCTGGTCTCTGGGAATACTGGTCTTTGAGCTGCTCAGTGGCAGGTACACCAGTAAGAGTGTTTAAGTACCAGACATGTTTTGGTATCACGTTGCGGTAAGGAGGACACCTTGAAATCTAACATAATAACTACCATTTTCTTCCATCGGGTTCTTTATTTCTTAATAAATCAGGTTTGGTCCTCTCCACACAGGGCAAGATTAACTTGAATGAAAACAAGTACAAAGCACACAGCAGAATAAACAGAATACACATGACCGCTCCAGTATGTTTAATGCAGAGACCCAGAAACAAACCAGTTCTCAGGGTCTCTGCACACATGTTGAAAACAAATTTAATGCTTTTTAGGCCCGCAGCAAAAAAATGTAATACCCTCTCCAAAGTAGTATGAATCTGTGATGTTTTTACAATATTAACATGGATATTTTTCCTACTTTGATATGTATCTCCATGCAAAATCTAATTTTTACAATTATCAAAATATTCAGGCAATAGACTATTACATGAAAGAACCTGTCAAAAACCCCAGGAGTCTAAAACTAAACCTTAAATAGCTTCTTTTGGTTGCTTTTCATTATGGTTTGCTTGAAATCCTTAATTTGGACAACAGAAATGTGTAAAATAACGAGTCTGAGTCTGAGTCAATACCAAGGCCAACAACTACAGTCCTGTAGTTACGTTTGAAGTTTTACATTCAATTTCTCTTTTCTGAGGCGGGCAGATGTTACTGTTGTATATATGATTCTACTTTCTACATTATGTTCCTACTCAGCACAGGTGCATCTCAAAACATTAGGGAAAACGATTCTTATTTTTTGTGCTAGTTACAGAAAATGTGTTTTCTCCCAAATCCAGACACACAGGTGTGATGAAAAAAAACCCATCATTTTCAAAAGTGCACAGGTGCAGCAATTCAAGGTTCATTATCATATAACCTTAAAAAGTGCTGCAGTGGGCACTACATTGAGGATTTTTTTGATAATGCAGCTGTGCTTACAAACAAAGTCTGGTCATCTTCTTTCAAATCCAAGTGACAATGGTGGTGCTATCAGCTGACTCCAGCACTTACAATAACTCTTAAAAACACATTTCCCTCTTTGCATTCAGGCAGGTACCGCCGGCTGGCACACTTACTGAAGAAGACATAAGACAAGGGACAGAGAACTAGTGGAAATGTGCTGGTATATATCTGCAGGGGTGTGGGAGTTAGAGGAGAGGAGGTGGTATTATTATGTATATAAATATACAGGTAGAGTCAGTTACCGGGGCAGTTATATTATTACTACTACTTCTTCTTCTAACGTACGTATTCAACATAGTGATGAGTCACTGCACTGCCTGAACTCTACCAGAAGTAGAACAAGAAGTAGCCTGTTTGTCCGTATTCAGCTACTGTAGAAACATGACGACGCAACGTGGCGACGTCCATAGAAGGAGGTGCCCGCGGTGTATGTAGATATAAATGTCTCATTCTAAGGTAATAAAAACATAATGGTTTATTATGTAAGCTCTTTATACACCACTGAAAACACAGTTATGGATCTTATATTGCATTTCTGTCACTAGATCCTCAGAAATATTACACACTGGACCTTTAAAGCTAGAGTTTGACAAAGGGCATATTTGGCTCCAGAGCAAGTCTGATAAATTGCCTCACGTCGGCAGGTGTGGATTTGTACAAGTATAAATTTACAATAAAACACAACTTACTGCCACAATGTGATTTGAGGGTCTACAGGGACCCTGAGGATATAAAGTGTGATAGCTAGTGATCCAGACTTGGTCCCCCCTCATGTCTAAACGTAGGAACTCAAGGGGCCCAGTTTGGGTTTTTAGTTGAATGAATAGTTTATTCTCTGTCACCAGTCCTCCATTTACAGGCTCTGATCCCATGAAGACCTATAACATCATCCTGAGAGGCATCGACATGATCGAGTTTCCCAAGAAGATCACCAAGAGTGCGACTAACCTCATCAAACGACTCTGCAGGTTTGTCTGTGCAGCTTCACTGTACAGATATAGTAAGAGAGATAGCTGGATCCCCTTTAAACGTCTTTACATGTGTGTGTTTCTCAGGGACAATCCTTCAGAGCGGCTGGGAAATCAGAAAAATGGAGTGAAGGATATCCAGAAACACAAGTGAGACAGTCAAGATGTGCATCATGGGTGCTTTCTGTAGGAGGTGAGACTCTAGTGCAACATGTCTTTGTTCTTCAGGTGGTTTGAGGGCTTCAACTGGGACGGCCTCCGCCAGGGAACCATAGACTCTCCGTTCACACCCGCAGTGAGTATCCCTCAGTATCTCTATGAGGTAACAGTAAACAGAAGAGAGCTTTAACATCCATCTTCTTTCAGGTGAACGGGCCATTGGACAACAGCAACTTTGACTATTTCCCAGAGGACATGGAAGACCCTCCTCCTGACGAAGAGTCCGGTTGGGACCTCGAATTTTAGCAGGACCTGATTAGCGTCTGAAGGCTGACTGAACAAAGAAACCAGTGGGAACAGGATTCTTCAGAGGACGTGAAGCCAAACAAAAGAAACAACAGAAAGAACTTCAGCTTTCTGTGAAAGTCAAAGTGCAAATTAAAGCAAGAAAAACAGAAAGCATCGAACATAGTGTACGAAACTATAATCACAGCGAGTATTAGGGCCACCCAATCTGAGATTTCAAGAATAAAATGAAAATATTTAAATCAAAAGATAATTGTGAGTAAAAAAAGTCATATTACAAGAAATATAATAATAATTATCATAATAATAAGAATTTAACAAACAAAAGTAAATGTACAAGAAATGCGTTCAGAATAATAATAATGTATTAAAAATAAAACCATACTACCTCGAAAGAAAAAAGCCATATCTTGTCATTGTACTTGAAATAATCTTAAAATGTAGAGAATAAAATTGTACTATTAAAATGAAAAAAAATCACAATATGTCAGAATAAATTTGTGTTTTTACAAAATAATTTTAATTTGTGAAGAACAAAGAAAAAAAGTCTTATTTAAGATTTTTAATAATCTTCAATATAATAATAATAATAATAATAAAAATCTTTATTTATAGAGCATGTTTTCAAAATCATGTTACAAAGTGCTTTCACTAGATGTGCAAAAACAATCAAACATATACATTGATTGAAATACAACTTTTCTCTTCTTGAAATATTTTGATTTGATTTTCAAAATCTCAGATAGTGGCCCTAATACGTTGACAGAATAACCCAAAAAAGGATTTATTAGATTCATTATTTTCAAACCTGACTTTAGAAATTTCCACAGCAAACCTCCAGCAAACGTTACTACACAAAGTTATTATGTTAAACATTTTCCTGATAGGTTCTAGCGTTCCTCTAATCCTGAAAGGGAAAAAAGGCTTTGCTTCTACTTCTTTTATTGTTGCCAATTGTTATTTTTATACTGTAACTGATCAATATATTACCTACTCTTTCATTCTAAGATTGGTAAATTTAATGGTCGGTCCAGGCTTTCTATCTGACTGATCATAGTGACTGAACAAATGAGCTGCTTTCAGGTCCCGGGACAGCTAGGATATTAGAGATATACGTCAGAGGTGATTCAATATGAGCAGTATTTCGAGCCAGAGGGGTAAATATGACAGGCACAGCTGCGCTTCTTTATAACCCCCAAATTAACAAGACCTGACCTTTATGAGCGGAGAGAAGGAAAGTCTTGTCAGCAGCTGACAGGAAAAGTATATGTCCTATATTTTCCAATTATATTTTCAGTTTAACACCATCACTCCTGGTACCTTTAGTGTCCAGAGAGGTGCATTTTCTCTGAACTATAGTGTGAGCTTATCAGGAATTGACAGTTTGCCAAAGCCTGTCCTCAACTGTCTCATCACAGTTTAACAACCATAACCAGGCAGAGCAGGTTTGCTGTCAATCTCAGCTTTTAAAGCTTTTGATGGTCGTGGGTTTCTATAGTTTTCTTGTAAGGAATTAATGAAACAATGTTTGTCCTTGTGTCTTGTAGTCTTTAGGTTAGTGCTCATCTTAATTAAAAGCATTTATGTCTAATAAAAGTGAAAAGAAATACGAATATTAACGAATTAACGAATATTAACTCGTGAATCTTACCATGCTGCTTGTCTGAAGATGTTTTTCTACTTTAAGCATCCAAATCATCCAGGTGGTACATTAAGCTATTAGGCTAGAATGAAATAATATTTTAATACTACAATACTGTACTGTATTTAAGAGCAAATTTCAGTTCTTTAAGTCTTCTTGTTTGTAAACATATGCCGTTTTCAATTTGACTAATGGAGCTAACGTTAGCTAGCTACAGCTGATAAATGTCCTACCAACCGTTGTAATTTCAACATAATCAATGGTCGCCAGCTAAGTCATTATGAATTTTGATGGTAGATCTGTGGATTATGTATTATGTAAGTTTCACAGGTAAAACAACAGAAACAAAGGAAATGTTTGCTTAGAAAAACGGTTGTTCAGATTCTGTTTGTTTGTGGTTTCTTCAGTGTTTGAAGATGTGTTGCTGACAGTTTAATTGTGCTAAAAAATTACAGTTATTTCAGTATTTTTGCACTGAAACCACACATTAGTTTTCAAGAATGAAGCTACATTTTAGTTTAGTTTGGTTTCATGTTTTTCCTGCTGAAATACATTTAGTCAAGTACTTAAAGCACAAGTACTTGCACTTTACTCAAGTATTTTTCTATTTTATGTAATTTAATACTTTTTCTGCACACAAAACTACCAAACGGTTTACAAGTAGAGCTGAGACGATTAGTTGATTAACAAATTAGTCTATTATAAAAAAATATATATATATAAAAAAAAACTATATTGATTGTTTATGTAATTTTTCCTGGAAATCATTTGATGGTTCAGATTCTCACATGTGAAGATCTGTTGCTTTTTATAATATTTAATATAGATAATAATCGTAAAACAACCGTTCAACAACAAGCATTGTGAGGGTGTAACTTTGGGCTCTGGATAACTGTAACTGTGTTTCTCACTATATTCTGAATTTTTGCAAACCAAACAATCACTCGATTATTGGAGAAAATAATCAGCAGATTAATCCATAATAAAAATAATCATTTGTTGCAGTCTGATGCAAAAAGGTTAAAAATGAGCTCCAGCCCAACAACAGCAGTAAAGCTTTACATTAAATCATGAGGAATAATAATTTAATGATAGAATATATAATAGTACAACAGTCACAGGGGACATTCTACTTCTTTGAGTACTTTAAATACTTTAAGTGCATTTTCCGGATTATACTTACATGCTTTTACTGAAGTAACATTTTCATAGTAGAGCTTTAAGTTGTGTGTTTATGAGGAGTTGTTTCACTCAGTTTCAGAATTTGTATTGAATTAGGGAATTAATTAAATAACAAAACAATAAATTTGAGTGGAAATAAACGGAGCCTCAGAGATTATCATTTATTCCACACGGCTCTGGGTTGGAGAGGTGAGTGTGCGCTGGAGGGGGAGTTAATGAAAACTAAAGCGTGAGAGGTGTGAGATGTTTATCATCGCCTGTTGACCTCCAGGCTATTGACGTCAGCAGAGCTGTGCGAGGTTCACTGGTTCCTGTGGTTCCATGATGGAAATGCAGCCGCCTCCAGTAACGACTCTCACACAATTAACTTATAATTGACTCGCCGATAAGACACACAGATTTTTCCACATCTCCCACAACGAGTACAGCTGATTCGGTGCAGCGCTGACATCTAAATCTTAAAAAATATTTTTCTTAATACAGAGTAGACCAGAAGTTTGAACTAGGTGGGAACAAAGAGTCAAATAATGCATGCAGTTACAGTGTAAAGTTGAGAAAAGCCAACATAATTCAACAAAGATTTTAAGTTACACAAATTAATTCAATGTTTTAAAGGAATATTTTGGGACATTTTGGGAAATATCCATCTAACTGTATAATTGTTGACAAATATTAATTAAAATGTCCTTATATGTGCTTACAACTACCAAATAGTGTGTTACAAACATTTTTTTTTTTACTATTTTTGATATTGTTTTACTGCTTTTTGTATACTATATTTCTATTCTGCTCATTGTTTCACGTGTGTTTAATGTCTGCCTGCAAACCAAATGTCCTAAATGATAATAATAAAGTTTAAGCTGTAAACTGATCCCCGTGTATTGTTTGGAAACACTGAGTGAGATAGAGACGCATTGAATAGTAAATAAAGACTAAATAAAGTACTATTACTAAAATGACAGTGGATAAAGAGAAATGTTTCTGACATGGAATCATTTACCATCATTTAGTTGAAAACAGTGTTAAAAAACACTTTCCCAATGGAAGAGTATTGTTCTAAAGTATATTTGTAGACTGGTTCGTTTTCTGCTGCATTACTGCTGATTAAATTACGAAGTAGAACTGAACCCTGTTCAGTTTTATCCTGTTTCATATGTAAGTGAATGTATTATGGATATATGTAATAATACTTTAACTTACTTTTGATTCACAGTATCACATTTGTTTCCTGTTGCACTGGTAACAGCTAATGCTCTTATTTTGAGATAAAGGCAAGATCAGTAAAGAGATGAACCCCTGATCAATATTCGTATGACTGGCTGAGTGCTGATCAGGTGATTGTAGGTAGGTGTGTTGGGAACCCTCCCAACATGCACTGGGGCAACAGTTTTATAAACATAAATCTAATTTTCAGTGTGTTCCTGCGTTGTGTCAGGTGTCATTTTGTTCCTCATTGAGATCAACAGTGTTTCCACTTTCAGCACTGTTAGATGTTACCAGTGGATGATGCAGATAATAAAACTATACTAAAATGTCTCTAAATACAACTTTATTTGCAGGAAAGTGAGTTCTACAGTTAAACAGTTGACACACTTTAGTGTTCAAATGACAATTTCCTATTTCAATATCATCTTAAATGTCACATGTTCTGGCTCCATTGGGCATTTAACAGAATCATTGAGCTTTTGTGGTTTTGCTTGTTAACCAAATTTGGTTAGGGATTTTTCTTGATGTACAAACTTTTATTATGTTTTATATTTTATCATGTAAACATGAGTGAAGCCTATTTTTAAATTAATTTTGAAAATGAAATATTAATAATTTAACTAATAGATCGTTGTGATTTTACAAAAACCTGCATGTTCTCATCTAAAAAAAAAGAACTACTGTAAGAAAGCAATTTGTATTTGAAAGGACCTGAAATGAATGTATTTGAAATTAAATGTTGGGGGTTCAGACCTAAAAGGTCTTGGTCATGATCCAGCTAACTGTCAATCATAATCACTGTAACTGTTTTTTTTTTTACTGTTCCAGATGAATTTTAAACCATCTTTGAAGAAACAAATAATCTTGTCAAATCCTAAACAGTCTAATCTGGATAAAAGATGAAGAATATAGGTTCTTACAACATGGTTTAACATCCAGGCAAACATAACTTAATGTGTTACTTCTCCACGTTCTTGGTTTTTGTTTGTTTTTTGTGAGGTTTGACTCACTGATGAGGGATTTTGAGTTTTATTTTGGCAATAGGGGAGGGACACACAACTTTACATGGTTGTATTTTGTATTTATTTTAAATATTAGTTAAAACTATCTCCACCTCCAGCAGCTACAAGGTTCTCTATAACAATGATGCAATAACATCTGATAATGACAGATATTAGATATCAGTCACAGGAGACATTTCCCTGCACAACAAGTACTTTTACTTTGATACTTTAACTACATGAAGCTGATGTGTTCACAATCACTGATCTACACAGGAAGAAAAACGGACGTGACTGGAATCAGAAACTGACTCATCCTGTTTGCCACTTGTCCTGCTATTTTTAGAAAGTTAATTATTATTAGGGTACAGATAACAACCAGCCAAATAAATAAATAAATATAAGCATTTCTGTTCTCCATTCTGATCCGTTAATGATAAAAACATAGGCTACTGTAATTGTAGATTATCATGTTTAAATCACCTTAAAACCTGCTTTAGGGACACATTTTATGCCCATGAATTTGTAGCCTATTTTCTGGTATTTCCAGCTTATTAAATAGTTTAAATCCTTTCTTGTTGCCCGGTTTAAATACAATGTTAAATACAATGATTAGTGGTTTTGATTCTGCACAAACAGCTGCTGTTCTGATTTTCATGACATGTGTTGCTATCAGCTGATTGACAGCTATTATTATTAGTATTATGTTGTGTTTAAAAGAATCAAAGTCAAACACAAAGTCTAAAATTATTCAGTGAGTTCAATCGAGCTCGAATACTCCGTCCTGTCCTGCGGTAGCTCTGTGTGGAAATATCCAATTAGCTGTGCTGGTTAATTACCTGAATAACCATTAACCTCGTCCGCGCTCTGATTGGTCGGTCTCCAGCGGACTTAGATAGAAATACCACCTGTGGCCGGTGTGTCAGGACAGGCAGCAGGACCAGCAGGAGGACTTCACACCCTGAACCAGAACAACCGTCGCCCTCCTCCACCTCACCGAGAGACACCATGCTGCCGGGCTCCACTCTGCTGCTGCTGCTCGCCCTGAGCTCCGCCGCCTGCTTCGAGGTGCTGCCGGAGGAACCTGCTCCCCGCCGGCCGCGATTCTCCTCAAGCAGCCCGAGTGAGTCGCGGTTCTGTTTAATCTGCAACCTTTCGTTTCTCATTGTTTATTTCTTTAGGTGAGGGTGGGAGGTATTTGAGTGTTTTGTTTTCAGGTTACTTTCTGCTTCACATCTCAGAGGGAAGTCGTACTGTGCTTTTTACCTCACTACATTAATCTGACAGCTAAAGTTACTTTACAAATTTAGATTTTTATTTGTTTATTAAACTTTAGAAACTCAACTACCCAACAGTTTATACCTGAACAATCTATTATTTGATTTAATGAATTGGTAACGATTTTGATAATCACAAATGTGAAGATTTACTGCTTTTCCTCTCAATGATTGTAATTTTTGTTACTAATGTTGAGGTTTGGACACATCAAGTAGGCTATTGTTAGGGGGCCACTCTTTACAAACCAAACAATCAGTCGATTAATGGAGAAAATAATCAGCAGATTATTCCAAGTGAACATAATCATTTGCTGCTACAAAGAAAATAGTGCAAAATGAGCCCCTCCCTCCTGCTTTACATTAATGCAGGAGGATTAATAATCTGATGATAGAATATATAGTAGAATAGGTACAGGGACCATTTTACTGCTTTGAGTACTTTTACTTTGAATACTTTTAGTACATATTCCTGATTATACTTACTTTTACTTTTTTAATACAGTAGGCTACTGTTACTTAGAACTGAGTATTTTTACAGTGTGGTATTAGTACTTTTACTGAAGTACGACAGCGTCTGAGGGCCATTGTACAGAGCCGAATATTGCACAAACTCTCAAAATGGTGAAGAACTGCAGTGTCAGTCCCTCATGTTCCCAAATTGTCTGAAAGCTCCACCTCTTCTCTCTTGTCTGCATGACTATTGTCTTACTGGTGTTATTTTTTTCTTGTAAATTTCACACTTTAATCTCAGAGAAACTGAGTTTTTTTTTTTTCTCTGACTGTGACCCCTTCTATACTAAACAGGTGCAGTATTGTCAGTCTAATTTTGCAGCATGTGTTGAACATGAGCTCCATCATAAAAGACACTGACAATGTTTTTGTGTTTGCACTGATAGTTGACACTACTCCTACTCACAGATTGAAGGGAGTACTAATGTACTTTGTGTGTCTGTTTGCAGCCGATGTGGCCAGATGTTTGAACGGAGCCGTGGCTGTGGGCTGCGGATTCTTCTCCTGTCTGGAAAACTCAACCTGCGACACTGACGGGATGCATGAAATCTGTGAACTCTTCCTCCAAACAGCTGCTACCTTCAACACAGAGGTCGGTCTGTCACTCTGTCCACGCATTCATCAGTCTACCTGCCTGTCTGCTCTTCTTTCTGTCATACATCTGTGTCTTTGTTCTACAGGGTAAAACTTTTGTCAAGAAAAGCCTGCACTGCATCTCCCAGGCAATCTCTTCAAAGCTTTCCCAAACTATCCGCCGCTGCAACATCTTCCAGAGGATGATCGCTGAGGTTTGTAGACAGAGAAACTCGAGAAACACGATGACGACACCACTCCTCTCTGTTTGGTCACACAGTTTTATTTATTGTCCTTTTTAAAGGTGCAAGAAGAGTGTTACACCAGTCTTGACATCTGCACTGTGGCTCGAACCAACCCTGATGCTATTGGAGACGTGGTGCAGGTTCCGACTCACTTCCCCAACAGGTCAGCACTGATCAACACACGTGCAAACTGTGTTGTAAATGTAGCTGCACGCCGATCTAAGTGTTAATTGATATTTTTGTCCACAACTGTCAGTGTTCACTAACTCACAACTAGCTCAACTGGCTCACTTTGTGCTGCAGCAGCTCGATGTTTCTATAGTGAACAATTTCAACATCTCTGTTTAACTTCCATGATTCCAGTTATTAACATTTACAAACAATCACTGAACCTGCTGATTTTTACTTTGTTGCTCTGGAAGCTGATTTATCAACAAAAATTAAAACATTTCACACAGCTATGAAATATAATATATATATTATTGATAATATAATTTGGAATAATCATCCTGCTGCACAATAACAAGATAATGTGAAGGAAAACTGGACTGTGTGCGACAGTGAGTGTGATTATTATAACATGTTTTGAACGTCCACTCTGATCCAGTCATGTTTTTTAAAGCTCACAAACACATCCTGATCGTTCACCATGACTGTTAAAACAGAAACATGAGCGGCTGATCCCAGAGCTGTGCAGAAGAACTGATCTAATAATCAGTGGATGTTTGTCAGACTGCTGTAGAAGAAAGACCCTCGTGTTCTTCCAGCTCTGTCCGTCCTTCAGCTGAACGTTAGATTATGAAACTGATCAAGTGTAGGCGCTTCCTTGTTGCTGAAACGCATACAGGTCCATACAACTACATTATAGTGTTTTATGAACCATTATCAAATGTTTTTTGTCCTTCTCTACACTCTGCAGCAACATCTCACCTTTGTGTGTTTTGTCTTGTTGTCCAGATACTACAGCACTCTGCTGCAGAGCCTGCAGGCCTGCGACGAGCAGACTGTGGCGGCGGTGAGGGCCGGCCTCATGGCCAGGTTAGGCCCCGACATGGAGACCTTCCTCCAGCTCGTCCAGAACAAACCCTGCAACTCCGGATCCACCTCCACCCCTTTCAACAACCCCTCCAGCTGGAGAAACGTTCCCGTGTTCAACATCCAGCCCGGCTTCAGAGGCCGGGACCCCACCCACCTGTTCGCCAGGAAGAGATCTGTGGACGACATGGAGGGAGGCATTATTGCAGAGAACTAGGCAACACACATAAGCTCGCAGTCACACACACTCACATCTAATCCTGAATATTGTTTCCACACAGATAGACTTGCAAACATGCAGCTTTTACTTTCTGCAGGGAAGCGCTTTAGATGGTGATTTGGGGTATTAATTTCTATTACATGGTTTTATTATTATTTGGGGGATTTACTCAGTCTGACTACCTGATGCTACAGAAAAGCTTCTCTGAGCAACCTGTGTTACAGACATTTGAAAAGAGGCCTATTACAGTGATTATGATTGATATTTATTTTCTTAAACAAGTTAATTTATGAGGCTTTTGTGCTGTTATATTTAATGTAGTGTGAGAGGGAGGGAAAAGAGGCTGCGGAGGTCAGAAGATGCTTTCATGCTGGTTGTGGAGCTCTTCACGACTCCTGTTTGGGGCCATTTTGCTGGTCTGAGATCACTTTATTGGCTAAAGTTGTATGAAATGTTTAAATGAGAGGTGACTGTGGTTGTGTGATGTGATCAAAAGTCTGGAATCCGACTCGGCTGGTTTGTGTTAGAAATAAATTATATATATGATTCATTTTGGCTCGTGTGATTTTCTTTGTGATGTTTGAACTGCAATATTACTAATTTCTCACTGATCAGAGCTTGTGATGATTATCATTATTATTTAAGATGATGCTTGAAAGACAAAGAGAACTTTAACAAAAATAAATAAAACAGATCGATTGATGGGCTGCATTTGGATTTTAAAAGTGGTGATAATCTTTACTTGTGTATTTCCTAAATCAAGGTCCACACGCTGTCTTTGTCTGGAGCTTTCATCCTCATCTTAGGGTCTTCATTAACAGAAGGAGAGGGGACAGGGGTCACCACCTTCCCATAAATACAGCCACCTGTTATTACGTAACTTCCATAGCTGCTGAGGACACGTGATAACAACTGAGCATTGATGAAGACCATGAGATGTGACCAAAAACCTAATCAGTGGACCTTGAGCAGTGGTGGAAGAAAAACTTTATATGAAGATTATTTAATTCTTAAGTGATAAATATTGTAGCTACTGTATGATATTCTATTAATAGTGATGCATTAACATGTAGGCAGAATTTTAATTTTGCAGCAAGTGGAGATGCTTTAGTTTAGTCTTGTGAACAATATATAATGATACAAGAACCCTGGATGAACTTTATTAATATTAAACATGGTGTGCATTACATTGAGTGTATTTTAATAGACAAAATTCACTTTTAAATTATTTCTTGTGTTACACACACACTGTACAATACATTAGTAACTCTTTGTTCAACAGACAGATAAGGCGTTAACTTCCAATTAGTAAATTAATCATCCTTGCAGGACGCCCCTAAACAGCTCAATAAACTATCAAAGATCCAAACTTCCTGAAGTAATAGATATTTGGAACTGTAAATCCTGTCAGCTGTGAAGGAGGAACTTAGTACATTCATTGAAATACTGCATTAAAGTACAATTTTATCCTAGTTTATACTCTAAACTACAATTCAGAGGGAAATATTTCTCCACCATAGGATCCAGAATGAATTTTCCTGCTTAACTTTATTTGTGTAGTTGTGTAGAAGAACCACCAGGTGGCGTGAATGCATATACGGTAAATATCTTCATTTCTTTGTTTTCTCAAACTGAAGTCTGTTCTTTTTTTCTAGCTGCTCTAACTTTCACATTGATGCATCCGTATTAACTATCTAATAATTTCAGATAGGATCAGAAATCAGTCACGGGAGACTTTACACCACAGGAGACCAGTAGGCTACTTTCACTACTTTAACTACATGTTGCTGATAAAGTGTTGATGCAATGCTTTAGTATTGTAACATTGTTGAGTAACAGATCTGAATACTTCCAACCTGCTGCACAAATGACAAACAGACCATCGGCATCACAGATCTGCTCGCACTTCCTCCCTTTAATAAAATAGTGGTTATAAAACACTGTTTGTTTTAGAAGCACAACAGCAGTTTTCCCTTTACTGAGTCACGGAAAGTCAAAAACGTGGCTCTTCATATCCTGACAGGCCGCACGATTTGCAGTTCTGTTGATTATCACGACTGAATAGAAAATATGGATCTCATCAAATGTCCCAAACAGAGTAGGAAAGAAAAGATAATTAAATTTTTTTGTTTGAAAAGACACCTTCACAAACTTCAACTGTAACTCACTTGAATGAAAGACAGATGACTGCAGGCGTGACAGGTGGACTATGAAAATGTAAATAACTTCACGACTCCTCAGTGTTTGTCCAGGCTTGTTGGCTCGGTGGTAGAGGTGTTCAGTGATGGCCACAATGGCTCTCACTCTGCCATCTGTCACACAAGGTGAAGGCTGACCCGTAATGGCTCCTCACCTCAGTGTTATGGCCCATTAACTCCCATCAGGCGGGGTGAGAAAGACAGCCGGCCTCCCCCTCTTTACTATGGAGGTGTGTTTAACTCCAGGAGCTCAGCAGGGAGTGTCCACTGAGGTGTCACCATACCAGCAGAGCAGAGGACTGAAAACTGCCCTCATTTCCAAGAATTAGATCTGTTAAACAGATGTGTGTTAACTGTGTCTGCTTATCTGAATATGGAAGAAAACTTTATTTTTTAAAACAGAAGTTACAAATCACGAAAAGGAAAGTTAAACCAGAGGCTACAGTCATGCTATCATGCAGAGCTGTGAGGGTGTACTTGCTTACTTAGGCTAAAAAGCTTAAGTAGCTGTTCACCATATCATATCATTTTCTAATTAGCAGTCATCACAAAGTCCAGCTGGGGGAATGATGAGAATGTTATTAGTTTTGTGGTCCAAATTATTACCTGATGGTGCCGGTAGATGTTATTACAGTTCATCCTGAGGGGAACATGAATGAATCCATCCTATAGTTACTGAGATGTTTCAGTTTTTGGGGAAATGCGTATCCTCTTTCTTGCAGAGAGTTAAATGATCAATACTACTGTCACGTGTCCAACCAAGAACAGTCAAAACCATGTTGTGTTGTTATTACACTTTGGTTTTTGTACAGATTAAAGGATGATTTCTGCATGATTTTCACATAATGTTGGTGTTTAATCCATGCAGTAGATAATCGGGTGCAGTGGCTGCTACGTATTCCTTTGGGGCAACTGTTCCCGTCACAATGACTCGTTAGAGGCGAGTTGTTGCAGGAAGACGAGGGTGGCTGAGCCTACTGGTGGCAAAAAGAAGTACTTTTTGTGGACGCCATTTTGACAGGCACAATTGCCCTGAGGGATCCGCTGCAGCCGGTTCAGCTGCCATCTCCTTTTTAAACCTACAAGTCATTTCAACCAAAAATGTGAAAAATAAGTTTAAAAATAACAGAATGATCCTTTAAATAAACGAGATATAAGGTGGTAATCAGTGAGCTTTAGGGGTGTGGGTGGGTGGGCTTTGTCACCTTTGGACCAGTCTTTTTGGACCAGTCAAGTGGCTGCTGGATGTGTCTTTGCATTCATATTAATTATACGTTAGAGCGGTACCAATCATCTCGTCTTCACACAAAAGCAAACAAGCTTTTTCCACAACATGTTGATTTTGAGACAGTCATTCTTCTGTTGCACGTTGGCAGTTTGGGATTGTGGCAACATAGCTTCATTCAGGATTCTCTGCGCCAGAGTGACGTGTAATGAAGATCTGCAGGAACATCTTTCCCAAATACAAACGAGAAAGCTTTTTCTGGAAATGGTTCAGATTTTCTGGGAGAGATCTCTGAGGGGGAAACGGGTGGTTTCACTGTAGAGAACAGGAAGGAGAGGGAACCAGAGGCTGTTCACACTGATTCAATTTAGCATGAGGCTGTAACAAAATACACTGCACACCAGTTATGTATTTGTAATGTCAGCCAGGAGCTACAGAGGGAATAAAATGTCAAAGAACCACATGATGTATGGAGCCTCCCGCCTCTCTGTGGGGAGGAAACGCTGCTTCAGGCACCGCAGACAAAACCAGAAACCTGATTGATGGTGCAGAGGCCCGGACCAAGCTTCATCTCCAACACTCACACAGCTCTTTTTGTTCAACATACACACATATTCAACAAGTGGATGCTTCTGGTTGAAGACACGGCCATCGTGGAAGGGGGGGGGGGTTCAAATACGAGGATAACAGCATTCAAAGAAGGTTAAAGTCAAGGGCAACTGGACTTGGTTGAAGATACTAGAAGAAGTTTCGTCCCTCATCCAAGAGACTTCTTCAGTTCTGAAATGACTAGTAGGGACCTCTGTGGGATTTGCGAAGATCATTGATACCGGTGGTTCGTTAGTGCTCCTGGCTGTTGTAACAACAGTCCTTAGAAGCACCGTGGCCAAGTTTGAATGACCATCAATGGCATTTTCACCTGAGGCCACCTCATTCAAACCATCCATCTTCTCTGTCTAAAATGTGCACCTGGTGGTCCTCAAACGAGTGTCCTCTGTCCTTCAGATGTAAGTAGACTGCAGAGTCTTGACCTGAGGAGTTGGCCCTTCTGTGTTGAGCCATGCGTTTGTGTAGTGGTTGTTTAGTCTCCCCAATATACAGGTCTGTGCATTCCTCACTGCATTGGACCGCATACACTAGATTGCTTTTCTTGTGTTTGGGTGTGCGGTCTTTGGGATGTACCGCTTGTTGGTATGTTGTCTGCTCCGTGATGCAGGGTTCTCATGACCCCTAGCTTGTGCTCCAGTGGGTGGTGGGAAGTGAAAAGTAAGTATAGGTCTGTGTGTGGGGGTTTCCAGTAAACCCCATTTTGCAGGCTCCTGTCCTCTTCATTGAGAAGGCCTACAGCACAGTCCAGGGACAAAACGTCATCTAGTTTCTTCAACCGAGTCCAGCTGCCCTTGACTTCTTTGGATAACTATGACCTAGGCCCCATCCACACTACTGCGTTTTTATTTTAATAAAACTGAGACCTTTTGCTACGTTTGCACCTCCCGTCCAGACTAGCAAAAAGGGAGGACTTTAGAAACGATGACGCAGAGGCTCGGCTCTCTGATTGGGTCTCATAAGTCATGCAAAGAAACACGATACCACAGGGTATTTTTATTAAAATATTTTGTACCGAGCAAATAACACTTATCTGCCTATACTTGTATTGTGCATGTCATTACTTTGCCATCACAGCAGCTTTTAACTTGCGTGTTAGATTCAGTAACAGTCCCAGCTCGTTATTAGTCCATAACAAAACAAAAAAACAACTCTTCTGCATAACTTTATTCTTTAGCCAAACCTACTACAGAACAGACTATCTGCTTCATGTTTACACCGGCCACTAGATTAGAATAGCGTTTTCAGTCGTTTTAATGTAGACAGAGATCACCTCTGATACGCAGCTAAAACGCTGGTGTGGACGGAGATCGTGTTCGTTTTGAATCTCTGTTTTTAAACTAGAACTGATTACTGTGGATGGGGCCCTAGATGACTGAGAACCTTCACAGACATTGAGGATAACTGTATGTTTTCGGACAGTTTCTTCTGGAAAACATTCACAGTGTTGAGAGAGAAGTTTAAACCCTGCTTACTCTCACACAGGTGACCAATCGCCAGCATACTGGATGCGTCTTCTCGTGACAATAACGTGCATCAACTCGAGTGTTTCCAGGTCTTGGTCCAAACTGAACAACAGGAAAACAGCAAACATCTCTTCTTCAGAGAGGGGTCAAACAATCGAATAGCATCTGAAACCCCGCCCCCCAAGCACTTTTCAGAATTGGTTGTGTGTCATGAGTTTTGCATCCTTAAGAAACAGTGTTGGGAAGCTTACTTTCGAAATTGAATGTTACCAATTACAAGTTACCTAATTTAAAATGTAATAGCAGTGTAACTATTTCAATTACTTTATCAAAGTGATGTAACTTATTATTATAATTAATTACTTTTTGATTACTTTTCTAAATTTCTAATGAATATTTTTGAATGTTAACCATTTTCAAAAGACAGCTTAACTGGCAAATTCATGACAACCAATCAGAACCATCAGAACAGCATCAAACTTTACAAAGGAGGACACTGTGCATTTGAAAAACATGCAAAGCAACAAAATGAACATTATTCAACATATAGCCGAGCTTTTTATACAAAATATTCAGACATAACCCCCAATGTAAACATGAACATTTTCATAACTGTAATTTAATCACACATTTTTTCCTAGAAACTGTAAGAAATTACAGTTACATGTAATTTAGGAATTAAATCACGTAACTAATTTACATGTAAATAGTTACTCGGGGGTTCAAACTTCTCTCTCAAGCTTGTTTGATGAATGAGCATCACCTGTTTGTCTTTTCTATCCTCCATTGTGCACACGCCATTCTACCTGTTTAAAACAGCGTAATCTGAATCTTGATTAGGGTTAACGATCCACTACTGATAGTGGACATCAGCCAATACTGACTCAAATAGCCGGAGTATATAAGGTTGTTTTTCATTATGCAACAGGTTGTATAACAAAATAAAGTTTGCAGTCCCTTTATGCTACACACACAGAACTTAACAGATAATTGAATGTTTATTAAAATATGGTAACATTTAAAATAAAACAATAAAATAAAACAATAGGCTATATACAGTTATTTTTATAGGATGAATTCAGCTGTATTGAGTTTTTGTAATTCTGTCTTGTGATCTCGTCTGATCTTGTCAGACATTTTAAAAAGTTAATCCAGCATATGTTACATTTCTGAATTCCTCAAGATGGTTTCTTTAAATGAAGAAATTAAGTGTGCATGATATTTTGACAAAGCATGGTTCACCATTTTGTTGTAGATTACACAAAACTAGTTGTTTGTGTAATTTGCACCTTTGCTTTTAACTCCAAAAAACATATTTCAAAAGGTATTTTAAACTTATTTATTAACCATGAATTATATTATTAAACATTAAAAATGATAATTAAACTAAACATATGTCTAAGGTTACTTGATATTATGCAGGCTTATTAGCCTTTATGATCAAATGTCAAAAGACTATTAAGATCTTAAAATGATTAAAGATTGCAATATATATAATATAATATAATAATAAGGCTACACCTCCAAGCATCAGTATTGATGTCTGACTTAATTATTTGTTACGGCACTTTCACACTGAACATAAAGATTTTCTTTATTGTTTCTTTTTGTCAGACGAGTATTGGAATAAACTAATTTGACCAAATTATAAAACACAATTTTCTCCACACAATTTGGGGTATTAGAATAATTAGCATCTCACTCTATCTACTTCAAAGTTGCCAGGCTACATCTCTGTGATTCTGTGTTGACATACATGTGAGGTCCCTCTTTGTATCAGGTGATGCAGTTATTTTAAACTGTCCTAATATACCTGAAACATACTGGCCCATATTACTACACCATGTTTGTTTTCTTACACTGTCCCAATTTACCTGATGTCACAGTATGCCTGAGTCCACTACTCCCATCTTGCCAGAGTCTTGCACTGACAGCTCAGAAACATGGACCGCCCACAGAGTGCTGTCTCTGAATTCAGTTGCTTGGCCAACATGAGTCCCATTTTGTCCAGACCGGACAGCCTTAAGTCAAAGCCTTAAGGAAAAAGAGCCATGTTGGCCACATGGCTCTTTTTCCTCTCTTCTCCTTTAATCCAAAAACCCCGTTTCCAGTGACTGTATTTCTGTCACAGGTAACAAACGTGTTTCAGCAATTAAGCTGGAAAAAAACTGATGAAAAACAAAAGTGTATTGAAGTTTGAAGGAGCAACCAGAGCAGCAGCCAGTAGCTCCTTGAAACTTCACTACACTTCTTCGTTTGTTTATTGCTGAAACACGTGTTACCTATATAATTACCATAGCAAATAGTATATAAAGTATTAAATATAGATATAAAAAAAATATGATAGAGATGCAGGTTTTATTTGTTGGAGTCTTCTGGAAAATAGCCATGTCTGTTTTTGTTTACATAGCCTAGTGTATTTCCCCAGTTTAATAGTGACATCTTCGAGCCAATCAAACAGACTCTATAGCCTTGTGTTTTGTTTTTAATTGAAGTAATTAATTTTTTGTTTTGTTTTACTTACTTTCCCCCTCAAAAGTCTTTCGTTACAATTCTAAACTGTACAATATATCGTAAGGAAGTTATTTTGCATTCTTTCCAACCATACAAACATATGAAACAGAACAGCGAGGCAACGTACATGTTAAGTTAAACTTACGATACAAAAAACGTCAAAAATAAAATAAAATAATTAAGACATTATAAGGCACATTATATTCATTATTGTTTTACTTTTATGTAATCTGAAGTGTGTAAAGTGGCGAAGCCTTGCTATGACCCTCTCCGGTACAGTAGGTGGCCGGGTGCAGCTAAACATGTTGGTTGCGATGCACCATGAACTCAGAGAAGAAGAAGAAGAAGACCGAAGCCTTGAAAGGAGGTGGAACCTGAACACAACACATGCAGAAATTGTATGGAAATAAATTAGAGAGAGTTGAAAGTTTTCGTTTTTTGGGAGTACATTTTGATGTGAGATTAACATGGAGGGAGCATATTAGATATGTAGCTGATAAGTGTAAAAAAGTTAGAAATGTCATGAGGTGTCTTGCAGGATTGGGGTGGCGAGTAGATGTAGCATCGCTGAAATACATATATATAGCCTTAATAAGATCAAGGTTAGACTATGGAAGTATTGTATATGGTTCGGCAGCCAAATCTGTGTTAGCAGACCTGGATGTTTTACAAGCTCGGGCTTTAAGAGTGTGTGTAGGAGCAGTTAGAACCTCCCCAGTATGTGCTCTCCAAGTAGAAGCAGGTGAAATGCCATTGTGGTTGAGGAGGACGCAGCTGGGGGATAATTATTGGGTCAATTTAAGAGGGCATGGATATAGCCATTCAGCATAAAGGGTGCTGCAGACGTGCTGGGAGAAGCAGACAACACAAAAAACAAGTTTTGGGTGGACAGGGGAGCAAATGGTAAAAGATACAGGGGTGGTGGCGCACATATATATATATATATATAAAGATAGCAATTGTAAGTCGCTTTGGATAAAAGCATAAGCTAAATGAATAAATGTAAATAAAGAGTTTGGCGCAAATGCAGTGTGGCCTATCAGACCTGTCTGGGAATTAGAAACCATGTGTAGATTTGGAACTACTTGAGATTAAATGCAATAATAAGAATGCTGATTTAACTAGTGTATATTATAACTATCGAGAATGTAAGTATAAGGAAAGTATACAGATTTTCACAGATGGGCCAAAGGACATGCAAACAGATGCAACAGGGTCTGCAGTTGTTCCTAGGTATCAGGTGGAACTTAGCAAAAGAACATCTGATTGTGTTTGCAGTTGAACTGTTTGCCATATTGATGACGTTAGAATGGACAGAACAAATTAGTGATAAGGAAATATTAATATGTAGTGACTCTGTTTCAGCTCTTATAAGCATGAAGACATGCACAACTAGAAGTCAGCTGGACCTGCAGTATGAAGTCTTATTTATGAACTCAAGAATAGCTAGGCAAAATGTCATATTTCTGTGGGTCCCTGCACACTCTGGAATTCAGGGACATGAGAAAGCAGATAAGGTGGCAAAAGAAGCAGTTAAAAAAGGAAATGTTGAAGTCAACATTAAATGATCAAAATCAGAGGGGAAAGGCATAGTGTGGAGAAGTGTAAATCAACAATGGCAACATAGCTGGGATAACGCAGTAAAAGGGAGACATTTACACCAAATCCAAAGCAAAGTAGGTATATCAAGAAGCAGGGGAGCAAAGAGGAAAGAGCAGGTGATAATAAGCAGGCTGAGAATTGGGCATAGCAATCTTAACAGCACACTTTTAATTACAGGAAAACATCCTACAGGAATCTGTGAACGATGTCAGGAGGCTGAAACAGCAGAACATATTCTTACAACATGCAGGAAATTTACTGAGGAAATGATAACAGCTAAAATAGGACGGGTAGATAATAACGTAAAAAGTTTATTGGAGTATGGAGAGAGTTTGGAGGGTATGGAAATGGATATTTGGTTTTCTGAGGGCGACCTGATTTGATAGGCGGATTTAGTAAGAATGAAAGCAAAGGGTAAATAAAGCCTGAAGGTGGCAGTAATGCAAATCAATGGATGCCAGCTGCTGTAAAAACCCAGAGAAGAAGAAGAAACACAACACATGCAGAGGAGCCGAGACTGCTGTGGGGGCACAAACAGCGCACAGACTAAATTGGTTCTATTAGTAATATTATTTAAGGGCTTTGATAATGGAAAAGAGGAAGATTATTCCCATAGCAGAAGCTATGAAAAAGATTATGGAAAGCGACGAAGAGCTGTCCGGAGCAGAAAGCTTTCACACCGATGAGGAAGGCTATTTTGATGACTGGCAGTGTCCGTTTACGGACAGGTATGTGACTTCAAATAACCTCTTTAGCATGAAATAATGTTATTCGACCGTGATAGTTTATTGTCTGTTTGGTTTGGATATGTATTGGATTTTTATTTGAATGTTTATCCCAGAGGGGAAAGCCTTTAACAACAAAGATGGCGGCTGTCCCGCCCCTCCTGTTGAAAGCCAATCGTCTGCTTTAAACAGCCGAGGCGGGAAACATTAAGCCAATCGTGTGGTTCCATTGATGTAAGGGTCTACTACGCATGCGTGGTAGAAGTATAACCGATGCCGGTGGAAAACACATTTTAAACCTTACTTTTCCGGAAAAGTCATCAAACTCTTTCTGCGGTTTTTATCAGATTTTCCCGGTGATTGTAAACATTCAGATTTTTATATGAAAGTGCAGTTATGGTTCTCCCCTCATTCATTGAGATTGTCCGAAATAACCGCCCGGGGGCGTTACCAAGATGGCTGCCGAACTGTGGAGAAGCCCAGTCGGTTATTTACTTATTTTTTTATCCTGTTAATATTTCCCCTTAAAAACATACTACAGCGTAAAAGGGCTCTCAAGTTTTATCAAAAGTTCGGAGTGAGATTACATGTGTTAGAGGAGGAGCCATTCAAATGTTTGCAGCAGCAGTTAAATTTGACCTATTGTTCATAATTGACCAGCTTAAATAGAAATTATAACATTTGAGCTTATGAATGTTGTTTTGTGTTGCAAGTGTTTGTTGCATAATTTAATGCCTTGATCACAGGGGGAGGGGGATCCCACTGTGAGCACTGGGGCTCAAGGCCAGCCGTCCAGAGCCTAATTATTGAAAAACCTCTCTAGTCCTTAGCTAAGTAACAAAGTACGTTCTTTGTACTTAAGTACAAATTAGAGGTATTTGTACTTAACTTGAGTGTTTTCTTTTCATGCCACTTTCTACATCTACTCCATTACATCTTGCTGAAATATTGCTACTTTTTACTTCTCTACATTTATCTGACAGCTTCAGTTACTAGTCACTTTACAAATTAAGCTTTTTACAAACAAAATGTATGAAGAGTTTAAAAAAAAATGAATGTTTTGTTAAAAATTAATTAACAGTTCATACAGCTAGTAGGCCTACATTAGTAAGGCCAGATGACAAAAACTGTTTGACATTTTTCATGTAAAAGCATTTCATGGTTCCAGCTTCACAAATGTGATCTGAGATTTGCTGCTTTTCCTTTTTGATTATTTTAATTAGAGGTGGTATTATGCTTTTTGGCTTTTTCCCTCTCCTTTATTGAGTTATGTATCTTTTTTGTGCATGTAACAGGTTTGCAAAGTGAAAAAGCCCAAAGTCCAGCCCAAAGGGAGTTCCCATCTCCCACAGAAAACTCTGCTCTGAACTGAAAACGGCTCGTTTGTAGTCTAGCCCTTCACTTCCTGTACTTGTGACGTCACAATAAAAACGCGTCATAAAGCCAAGCGGCTAGTAGGTCAGGCACGCCCTCAAACCAAGCTAGTCCGAGCGGAGGCCCTTTGGCTCGACTCGCCTTTGTTTGGTTTTCCATTGTAGAAATGTTGTACCTGCTTCCAGGTACTTTTTTTTTTCCAAGCGAGCTGAGGGAAACTAAAATGTAATGTGAAAACACAACAGGGTGCTGATTGGTCAGAGAGAATATTCACTATTCACTGCATCATCATTGCTGCACCAGACAGAGGCCAGAAACAGAAAGTTTTACATTTTACAGATCAACTGTGTAGATTTCAAATATTGACAGTTTTACGAGAAGTGATGGCAGAACAAGTTGAGGAGCTCTGCAAGTGGTTGTCATAGGGGACATTCTTTTTTTCTGCTTTGAGTAGCCTACTTTCATCTTGAAAACGCTACTTCTACATTTTCCTGCTTAAAGCCTGCTTACACACTTTTACACAAGCTTTTCAATGCAGTACTTTTACTTGTAACAGAGTATTTTTACAGTGAGGTATTAGTACTTTAACTTAAAAAAAGGGATCTGAATATCCCTACTTTGTTCACCACTGGTTAAGCCAAAGCTTCTGGTTACAAAGAATTTGGAGAGTTTTTGACTGTATCCGTAATAATTTAGCTTGAATTTCTCTATTCTCCCAAACACCAGTTGCTTTCACTATATTTGATCGCAGGCAAGTGATTTCCTCCAGCAATCGTAAAAATCAAAATGCTAAAAAAACCAAAAACGTTTTCATTGAGCTTGCTCTTCCAACTTCCACTCCGTGTGTGCGTGTGCATGCATGTTGCCTAGTTATTATTATTATTATTATTATTATTGTTATTTCTTATAGGTATATATGTATTACGTTTTTTTTATCCTTAACTTTTCCTTATTCTATACTCCTTGTTTATCTGTCCACATTTACTAGGGTTTAGGTCAGAGCTGTCAGATTGTTTTGGTGTTTTCCCCCTCTTGTTTCTCTCCTTGAATGTTCATTCAAGGCTGGGAGAGGATCTCTGTTCCTCAAAACATAGAAACCTAGACTGTGTAAATAATTATGCATCCTTTTGGCGCATTTCCAGTACCAGTACCTGCTGGTAATATGCAGTGGAAAAGGGGCTTAAGTTAACCAGCGCTAACCGCCTTTACTTTCCAGCAGTTGTGAAAAGACACACTGTGATCTACACTGTACATTTACTTCCAGACTGACAACTTAAGCTTGATTTATACTTCTGCTCGAGTCTGTACGCTGTACATACCTGCTAGTCAATATCAACTGCACCGCCCAACTGTAGCCTATGCGTAGCCTGGCGTGCACCTCCCCAAAAATGTAACTACACGTCACGGCGACAAGAGCCGCAAGAACTGTGGTTGGTCGGATGGGTAAAACATTGCATTTCCACCAAGCCCAGAGGAAGTGCTCAATGCTTTGAGGTCAGTTTAGTAGCAGCCAATCCACTAGCTGTAACACGGTGGATCAATCTATTTGACTGTAACAACCCCTGCAAAGTGACTAGTTTCAATTTCAGAATGGGATCTATTGGGTCGATAACATTTGAAAAGTCTACAAGAGCTGCACGTTTATCATTTTAACCTCATTCAAGTTAGCAGAGTGCAAAACACCGGAAGTTACCTTGCTCAGCCGGCAATAGTCAACACAGTGGCCTGCCAGTGAAATGAGGACAAAAAACAAAATCGCTGTTCGTTAATCGTAATTGAGATAAAATATTCAGTTAATCATGTTTTACTTTTGATTTTAGGTCCCTAGTGCGCACGCTTCCTCACGTACAGTATCTTATAGTGTCCATACAGAACAAGAACAAAGTCATTCACCAGAATGATCTACAATAATGGCGGCTGTTTCATCCTTGAATTTTGACACTGAAAGAAGCTCCCCGCATCGTTGTGTAATTCCTCTCTCCTTTTATTTCAGTAGCGACGATGATGATGACATTACCTATACGCCGCAAAAATCACAGAGGAGAGGAACTCCTCCACATTTGAGAAAACTGGAGAGCCCCAGAAAATCTGAAAATCCGAGACCAAAAGTGAAGCGCCCAAGATCACGCTCCCCACACCCTTCAACACCTGAACAGCCCTGGAAAACGCACACCGATCCAGATGTGGGACCCAAGCTCCCCAGATTTGTCCCCGCCAGGCCCCCGGGAGTGCAACTGGATAAATCAAAAGTGTACAGTCCACTTGACTTGTTCCAGCTTTTTTTCAACAATAATGTCGTCAGACAGTTATGTAGCAACACCAACAAGCAAGCTAGAAAGAGGCTAGCACAAGGGCTTCAGTTCAAATGGGTTGATGTTACCCCCCCCGAGTTCCTAAAGTATATCTCACTCGTTATTTTCATGGGACTCTTAAAGCTGGGATCAGTAAAAGCCTACTGGAGACAAAAAAACATTTTCTCAGTGCCATTTCCGAGGACGGTGATGCCAAGGGACAGGTGGCTCTTCATTTCCTCAAACATACACATGAGCGATCCGGCCGAGGACAGCGTGAATGACCGCAAGAAGGGCACGCCGGACTATGACCCGCTGTTCCGTCTCAAGCCTCTGATGGACGAAATCAAGGCGGCGTGCAAATCTTTCTATCAGCCAAAGAAAAATCTGTCAATTGACGAGAGGATGGTGGCAACAAAGGCAAAAACAGGGATGACTCAGTATATGAAAGACAAGCCAACGAAGTGGGGGTTCAAACTGTTTATCCTGGCTGACTCTGCAAACGGATACACGTCTAACTTTAATGTGTACACAGGGAACGCAAAATCTCAAACAACCTCCGGACATTCATATGATGCAGTTGTGGCCCTCCTAGACAAACCAATTTTGGGATGTGGCTATCACATCTACTGCGATAACTTTTATACAAGCCCTAAGCTATTTCAACACCTGTCTTCTTTGAACTTTGGCGCCTGCGGTACATATCGAGAGGGCAGGAAGGATACTCCGAAATCCACCGTGAACGCCATCTCCAAAAAGTCCCAAAGAGGCTCCATCAGATGGATTCGAGACGGTAACCTGCTCTTCGTCAAGTGGATGGATGCGAGAGAGGTGTCCATCTGCTCGACAATCCATCAAGCCTACACGTCGGGCGAGGTGACGCGAAGACAAAAGAAAAGAGATGGAACCTGGGAGTTCATTAGCATTCCAGTTCCCACTCCAATACTGGAATATAACAAGAACATGGGAGGTGTGGACTTGTCTGATCAGCTCATCCAGTACACCACCGCTCACCACAAAGTTATGAGGTGGTACAAGACGATGTTCTTACACTTTGTGGACATCGCCGCATGCAACAGCTACATTCTCCATAAAGAACTGTGTGCTGAACAAGAGACCAACCCGCTGACACACAGAGCTTTTATGGAGGAGCTCTCTGCTCAACTTGCTCGGGTGCCTTTGGAAACCCAGTTTCCTGAGATTACAATGGTTGCAAACAAGAAGACGGAGCACATACCTGTGCCCATTGCCCCTTTGGACCCGGACAAACCTGAACACAGGCCTGCAGATGTGAGAAAGTACTGTGAGCACTGCAAGGTGGGCAAAGGCTACAACAAGACCCCCTGGCAGTGTGGGGCATGCAAGGTGCCCCTCTGCAACTTCTTAGAGAGGCCTTGCTTTGCTCAGTGGCATAGCTGAGGAAAAAGCTTTAGACTGTTTGCACAAATGGTGCATTATTTTCATTGTTCTGTGCACATTTTGTTAAAAAACACGATTAACATGTTTTAAGTTTAAACACTGGTCAAAAACCACCAGTTCATGGGGGTAGTTAGTGGGTCACCAAGTATTCTATATGCTAAACCACAACCAAAGACACTAACATAAAATACAGGCTGCATTATCATCATTATAGTGGTAATGAAATGCCACAAAAAAGTAAATTGCAACGATCAATTTGATTGTACTGATTTTTTTTGGGGGGGGGGGTCTGTGACTTGGGTTACAAAAAAAAGTTGATTCTGCTGTGAAAAGATACTAGAGAGTTTATGTACATGTATGTATGTATGTATGTATGTTTATGGTCTACAGCTGTTTCAACAGCCTTTCTGGACCCTTTAGAAACTATGCGTGCAGGTCCTGTTTGTTAAAACTTGTTCTGATTAATTATATACTCTGAAAAGTGGACAATGGAAATGTAAACGCTTTTTGCCCTTTTAATTACTTTGAAATCCATGTTCTTACGCCAGGAAAAGAGCCCTGATATTTTATTTTTGCAAGCAAACATTTGTTTCTCGTATAAAACTTCTCATTAAGAAATGGCAACTGTGAATGTTTATCAATGTCATGTATTACAGTACAGCTTTTTATATTTTATTTTCAAAGTACATGTCTTACTGTTTACCTTGTGTTTTCTGCTTGACTCGTCCTGCAGAGCAAACAAAGCTGCTATATTTTTGTTTTACATTTTTACACTAACGTGCTGTTTCTTTTATCCAAGCTGTTTTGACAGCCTGTCCCTCCAAATAAAAAAATATTTTCTCAATGCTTGACTCTGTTTGTTTGTTATATGCGGATTAAAGTGAACTTTTCTACATAATAATATAGTGGTAATGAAATGCCAAGCCAACATTAGAAATGATAGGGAAAAGTAAAAGAAATGTTAACTTTAGCTAACCTGTTACGTATGGCAAACGTTAGCATTCATCCATAGACGCTTGACATCAGTGGTGAACAAAGCACACAAATCCTGTACTTGAATAAAAGTACAGAAACCCTTGCTTCAATTTATATTTCTTCTTGAGTCAAAGTACAGAAGAAATGCTTTTAAAAATACTGAAGTATCAAAAAGTACTGTGTGTGGTTATGTTTGTCAGCGGCTCCTCACATCATGACAAACAGAACGATTATCAAAACGGTGCAATTTAAACAAAATATTTTTTATAAACTTAGATGTTTTAAATCATATTTACGTAAAGTAACTTGTACCTAAAGCTGTCAGATTAGACAGCAAGAGCGAGATGTGGTGGAGTAGAAGTAGAAAGTGGCATGAGAAGACAATGTAAAGTAGAAATACCACCAAATTTGTATTTCATTACTGTCCACCACTGCTTGACTCAATTGAAAACTTTGAAGGTAGGAAAGTTGGGTGTATTAAACAACCTACATAGCTAACTTCTTAACCTTCAGTGTCTCCATTAGCTCGTTGAGTGATGCTCCGGACTTTAATGAGCCTCTAGGAGTGAAGCAGGCAGAGTTCGACTACAAGGTTAGGAAATGGTATGGTCCATTTTAGGGGTGTCTGAAATCATATTTCAACATTCTTGAGTCATGAATATGGGAAACATATTGTAATATCAACAATTTCAGGTAAGAAAGAGCCCCCTGAACTGTTGTTCTTGCTTCTTTTGGAGGAGTCTTATTTAAGAGGGTCAGAACCCCCCAATCATTATCTCATTTAATATATTAACATTATACGAATACAATAATTTTTACTAGTTCCTCCTCTAGATAGTGGATAGTATATCTGAAACACATGATAACAAACTAGATTATGCAGTTTGTAGCCTACACACTGTCAGGGAAATGTAGATGTCGGGATACCGACATATATATATATATATATATAAACATTATTATTTGGTTATTGTACACCAAGTCTGTTACCTATAGATGGAGAACATTTCTTTGTTAGCATTTTCATGTAAAAAGTTTGACCGGTCTTTTTAAACCTCTCCATATTGAATTATATATCGTTTGAAAGTTTGTTTTCTGGAGCACAATGTTTTTATATATATAAATAAATAAATGTTCACACACACTAGTTCATATATCTATAATGCTTGGCTGCCACAAGCCAGTTATCCCTGTGATAACTTTTCTGACATACAGAAAATATGCTAAGTTACCTATTCTTTAATTTCCTGTATGCCATTTCATTTTCTTCACCCTACAAGGCAGTTAGATCATCATAATTTTACACAGTTTCTCAGGTCTTAGAGCATGATGTTTGTTAAAATATCTTAGCATTCTCATTTCACGTGGCATTTTATCTCTGAATATGTGGGAAAAAGGGTCTGTTGAATAAATCCATGATATTGGATTTGTGTGATATGCAAAAAGGTCCATATGTAATGAGGAAATACCTTATTTGCATATTCAAAAATAAAAGACTTCACTTAAGGGTCACTTACAGCTTTTAAAGTTTCATTGTGATATGAGTGAAGTTGGTTTTCACTGTGGTGTCTCGCCTTAATCATGTTAACTAGGATACCAGCTGCAGCTACAGTGCATCTCTCAGCTGTATCCAAGAATGAAATACTAACTCTGGGCGCTAAAGGTGGCTAATTCGCAGTATTCTTGCAAATCATGTGCAGACACGAGCCTCCTCTTTTCATGAAACTTTGGTAAAAAGTTATGAAAATGAATTTGTCTAAATGTGTATGAACCCTGAATATCTCATTTTGTTAATTTAACCACACATCGGGAGTAAAAATTCAAAAGAATTTTAATACTGTTATTCACTTATTACACATTCAAATTTTCTGTAAATGGCAGGCTGTAATCAGCTGGAGTATAAGTGCAATGCTGAACTGGTAGACATCATTTTTGGCAACATGACATTACTGCAGAGGACCAAACCTGACTGAGAAATACATACATTTTGGTCAAACACAAAAAAACTTGGGAAAAATATCTATAAATGAGTAACTTATTTCGAGAGGAATTCAGGCAGCTGCTGATGAAAAAATAAATCCAAATGCAACAGTAAAAAGTCAAATTAATATAATTTCTTTCCCCCACACACATTTATAGATTCATTTTTACACTTTGTTGTGTATTTTATTCAGTTATTTTATAGTATCTTTCTCCCTTTCATTTCATATTTCTCTTATAAATCAAATCTGGTCTTACATATAACACAAACTATTTACAATATTCACACTGAGAACATTATTATTATTAACGTTACCAAAGCACTAATGCAACAGGCAGTGCAGGAGCCAAACCCAGCTCTCACAGTCTTCTATCAGTGGGTGAACTCAAGTCTTCTTTACACCCTTTATGAACGAGATTGTGTGTGAGCTGCTTCCTGAGGCCTCGCTGGGGTGTCCAGCTCAGACCAGCTGTTCTTCACATCAGGCTGCTGCCGATAGACAACAGTGAAGCAGCTCTCTGTCTGAGCTCCTCAGTCGGGCCTCGTCCGGGACTGCCGCCACCGCCGCCCCGCGCAGCAGAGGAAACGGGATAAAGGTGATCCGGAAAAGGGAAAAGGTCCCAGGACGTCTATGTGGAGTTACAGGAATGAGCCGAGGCAGAAGAGCCGACAGGAGAATACTCGACCAGAGGAACGGACAGGTCCAGGTACTCCTGAAGGGACAGAATAAGGGTTAGAAACTGTAGAAGAATCAGAATCTTAAGTTGGGATGTCACGATACCAGAAATTTAGTAGTGGATACCGATACAAGTAAAATTCCAACAATAAATCACATACTTCAACACACACTCCTTATAAAAACATTTAACTATTACTAACATCATGCTTTTTCGGTAGTGGCTCCAAGGTTGTGGATTAAACTCCCCATTTTCATTAGATCATCCCCAACTACTGTGCGTTTCCCGTACAACCACGGAAGGTAGCATTGAACTATCTTGGTACGATGTATCGTTAAACTAACAAACACCTGAAGTACGACCGTTTCTTACTTGGCTAGAACCAGCGTAGTTCGAACCAACATGTTTCCAGGTGTGTTCGTCTGACTTTCACAGCACGAAACTCTCAAAACGTTGTCATATTCTGCCTAAATGTCAGTTGTGGCCGATAAAGTGACATTATTATGCTAACTTCTTATTTAGGCTTTTAATATAATAAGAAAATCAACAATAGTATTAATGAAATCAACAATATAAATATTTAGCCTATATAGTCTGTAACTTCGAAGAAAAAATTAAGAACTATTAGTGATTATAAGACATTTAGTAAAATAGGGTTAATCTGCAAATATCTTCATGTCAACACTTTAACACTTATGAATCCCTTGGCCGCATCTGACATCTAGGTTTTGAGAATAGCTCAGTGTGATAAGTCTCTGAGCTTACGCATTTTCTCTATTGAGACAGATGTGGGTTCGACTTTCGCGAGTTCTCTATTTATCTTTGTTATAAAGGCAACGAAAACTCTCAGGGATTTATTCATCGCAGTACTTTCATGCATTTTATGCTGTCCCTTTTTATATTTGTAATGTAGACTAGAGAACACCCATCCTGTCCTCAGAGGTCTGGAAATGTGTACATTAAAAGGTAATATTAAAAGTCTTGTCTTTACATTCTCTGTTTTGTCCTAGAACCTTTGTACTGGGTGACTAATTAAAATCAAGTTATTGTGAACAGATGGGTCATCTGCGAGAAAAACACATTGTTTGTAGATGGTCTACAGCTGGGCTACTGAAATAATGCAACCCTACCCATGACCCGACAAATACATTTAAAAATATCTTCACGTTTGTCCAGCAGGATTATCTAACATTCCCTGCTTAAAACATTACATCCACCTCCTAAGACATTTTCTGCTATCTGTGACGTGATCACCGTGAACTAAGCTTCTAACCACAGGTCAGGAGCTGTAGTTCGAACTATGCAACTTGACGACAGCTGGTGCGAACGTTTGTCGGAGCTTTGGTTTGCATCGCAACTGCGTAGTTCCAACCGAGGAAGTTGCTATTGTAGTTAGCAACTATGCTTTTGGGAAAAGCACCCCTGGTCGCTTCATATATTTCTATTTATTGCTGCATGCTTCATCACTGTTGCATGTTTTATTATTGTTGCATGCTCCCTTTATATCCCTTTTGTGTTTTTTCCTTTTCCCTTCGTGTTTTAATTGTATAACTTTGTACAGCACTTTGTTCAACAGTGGTTGTTTTTAAATGTGCTTTAAAAATAAATTGACTTGACCATTACAAAAAACATCTAACAGCTGTTGTCCAGGACAGATGAGGTGATTTGATGTCAATATATTCATAAATGAACAACCTTACACTGTACATATTTAATTATCAAATCGATTTTCATAACTTTTCTTTACAAACTCACAAGTGTGAAATGTTTAAGGGTGGTCGCTTTCTGCACTGAACAAAAAAAATCCATTCATTATGAGCTGAACTCAAAGATCTAAGAATTTCTCTATGTACACAAAAGGCCTATTTCTCTCAAATATTGTTCACAAATCTGTCAAAATCTGTGTTAGTGAGCACTTCTCCTTTGCCGAGATAATCCATCCACCTCACAGGTGTGGCATATCAAGATGCTGATCAGACAGCATGGGTATTGCACAGGTGTGCCTCAGGCTGGCCACAATAAAAGGCCTCAGGCTGGCCACAATAAAAGGCCGCTCAAAAAATGTGTGATCGATGCATGGCAGGTTAAATCTTGTTCACTTTTATTTGTAGTTTACGTTGTATCTATATTTGTTATTTTTGTTTTTGTAATATCGAACTGCTTAATTTAATGTTTTTGATTGAATTAATCTTATGTTTTATTCAAAATGTAAACTTTTGATTTTGAAACTGCTTTGGGAACACTCTTTAAATGAAACATTCAATAAAAGCACACTGAACTGAAATAAAATAGAAATTTACAAAAATGGTTCATGTGAAAGCAGGACGTTAAAGTGTTGGAACATGCAGCTTCCCACTGTCCTTGAATGCATCAAAATTTGAACATTCAGCCCATTTTCAATGGAATAAAACACTGAAAGAAAATTAACATTTTAAATATTAAGTATGAAATATATCCAATGTCCAAAGACATAATGTCTAAATTAAAGGATAATTTGGGTATTTTTAACCCTTATTTTGACATACTCTGGTGGAAACTGGACGAGTAGGTATAAAACTTTTGAAATCTCATGAGAGGCGAGATGTTGCAGGAAGATGGCAGTTTTACTGAATTAGTCTTGATAAACACATTACCTGGTTGGCCATGAGAGAGAGTGTGCGGTCTAAATCTTCTACCAGCTGTTGGAAAGTCGGCCTGCGAGATGGGACGGCGTGCCAACATTCTCTCATCATCAGGTACCTGATAAAACAGAAACCTGTGTTCAGACCTTTCCTCATGAATATAAAGCATTTAACTTGTCACAGCCATGGCTCGTAATCAGACACAGGTGTTGTTTTATGTAAATCTTATTTATTCTCTGTTCTCTACCTGCGTTACTTAAAAGGTATTAGATTGTACTCTGCATGGAATAAATGGGGTTACATACGACTTTCTTTTGTTTTGATATAGGCTTTTTTTTTTTTTTTTTAAATCAGCCATTGAACAAACACATACTGTATTGGTCTACCACTAACTTTTGTATATGGGAGAATTAAATTAATTGCCGTGCGTGGGTGTACTCACAGCTCCTGAGTGCATGCGGAGGGTTTTTCCATGCGATGTCCCTCCTTTAGCAGCTTGAAGAGCTCCTCCACGGCACTCCGGGGTAAGGAGACCCCCCGAGGGTGAAAATTTCCCAAAGCAAGACTCCAAAAGACCACCTGCAGCAGAAGCAGCACACGGGAAACATTACAAAAACCTTTTCAGACATGGGATATGAAAATGTGACCAACCCTCTCCAGAGTCTCACACAGGTGTGTAAAGTTGTGTGTGTGGTCCCCAGTGTGAGACTTGTCCTGATGCTGAGACGCCTTTTTTGTTTGTATGGATTAAACAAACGAGACATAACGTGTTGACTAGTGAGCTTTAGAGGTGCTGATAGGTGGATTTTGTTATCTTTGAATTCTCAGTATTAGCTACCAAATCAGATAGTAAATAAGAAAATCCATTAGACCCTATTAGGCTGGATGAAATCTTGGATTTTATTTGTGTAGAAAGGCCGTGCAGTGACGGAGCGAACTTAAGAGGTACCGGAGTGCAAAAGGCTTAAACTCTGAGCGCTGCTCCGGCTAACTCCGGCACAAATTAAGCACAGATGTAAGCAAACATTTCACAATGCAACTGGATTGTTTTGGATTCTGTGACTTTCAGTCAAATAAAATACAATTTTTTAGTCATATTTCGTCATTGAAGTGTTAAACCCAGTCTCATGAATCGTCTCGTCAGCAAAGTCATTGGTCACACCCCTAATGCTAAACTAAACTAACCGTCTGCTGGCTCAAGCTTCAGATTAATCACACAAAAAGGTAGAGAAACGGGCATCAATATTCTCATCTATCTCTCGGTTAGCACATTTCTCAAAACTTTCCCTTCAAGTTGGAGCTCACATTTAAGGGTTGTGCTAGACATTTGTAATTTCATCACGGAGTTGGCATAAAAGAAAATTTTAAATATAGTGAAGGATTGTTGCTGTGATAATGTTCAAATTGTTCTGATCTAGCAGGAGAAAACTGTCTCAGTCAGTGTTTCGTGCTTATACATTTGTGATATGTTTATTTAGAGCTGAATAGATTAGTCGATCAAGCAGAAAATTTATTGACAGCTCTTGTTGGTTAATTGCTCCAGTAATTAAGCCAAAAAATGTGTTTGTTTTCAAATGTAAGGATTTGGTGCTTTCATTTAATTGTAAAATCATTGGCTATTGATTTTATTCTGTATTTTATTTACTATATAAATAAAGTTGCCTTGCCTTGTATGTAAACGTGACTCAGCTGCTTAATACAGTATTTAGACATGAGAGCAGCATTAATGTAATGAGGTGCCTGAAAGAAAAAACACAGAAAACAACCAAAGTCTTAAGTTAAACTCACACATCACTTTGGTGCGTATAGATGCGGTCAAATAAAGCCTCTGGTGCCATCCACTTCACTGGCAAACGGCCCTGTAGGAACATTTAAAATGTCTGTCAGAACACGTCCTATCAAATCACCCTAATGTTGATTTTCAGTCAATGAATCTGTCATACATTCGTGGTCTTCTTGTAGTAGTCGATGTGGTGGATATCTCGGGCCAGGCCAAAGTCGGCTATCTTCATCACGTTATCCTCTGTGACCAGCACGTTCCTGGCTGCCAGGTCTCTGTGAATACACTGCACAGCACAGAAATAAAGGTTTACCAAGACCAGTCTTTAAGGATAGGGCAGGTGAAAATGTATATCGTTCTCATTGTCAGTTAGTTCTTATCTCAAAACCGTTTGACAGCCTGTCTGTGGCTCAATCGCGAAACAATTTTTGATCCTGTTTGAATGTGCTCTGAATTACACACATAATGTTTGTCAATTTAGATTTGTTGTTTGTTAAGTTTGTCGTAAAACTGTCCAAGTATAAGACTGAAAATACATAATTACGAAGACCACAAACCCAGAAATCGTGTATGTGATGTTATAACCGTTTGGCTCAATGACTGAAGCTAACGTCAAAGAGCTTCCATGTGTAGATAGATGATGTCATGAAAGGACCAGGAGTCGCTGGATTAAATACATCAGGTGAGAAACATCGAAGCATGGAACATAGCTAAGCTACCTAGCTACTAGCAAGCAATGAACGTTAGCTTAGCATTACAGCGCTAACATGTTGGTGACGTATATTTTCAGAGAGAATGAGATGTAGTTCATGGTTTCAGACAAAAATAAATACTACTTAACAATTTACAACAAACTGCGACTCTTACATTTCTTGCATATTATCTTTTAAATTGACGAACATCATGTGTGTCAGACAAACATCAGGGCACAATTCAAACAATTAGTAGTTGACTACTGCACATATTTTCTCCAATATATGGCCCCATGTGGCGAAAGCGAGGGAATTAGGCTCTCTATTGGTTCCTACTGAAGACGTAAATCTTCAAAAACACCTCACAAATACCACCAAAGACCTATTATACTGCATTTCCAGACCTATACTGTACGACTCCTGTATGGCAGCTTTGCATGATTCAAAGTTTTAAAAAAATATATAGTTTTTTGTTTTATACTGGCTCTTCATGTAAGCATTCATTCCAGCCTCAGTCTGAAACAAGCTGTAGATGCTCCTGTCTCTTTAAGGCCCCCCCCTCAAAGCCTACTGTCTTCTGATGGGCCAAGACCTGAAGCATGTTACCAGGCTGTTGTTGTTGCCGATCGCTGTGCGAGCAAATGACCATATATGGAACACCGTAGAACGGAGCCGTTGGTAGAAAAAGCAGTTCAGAACAGGAGGAAATTGAGGTTTTTGCTCACAGGGATATCTTTTAAATACTGTAACCTCATTATTTGAAGCTTTGGCCATGTTTAACATGAAAATCCAACATTACAATATTGTAGATAAGTCAGAAAATGTGGGAAAGCATAATAGGTCTCGTTTAAACAGCTGCTCACTGTAGGAATAGGAAATAGTGGATTTGTTGGGAACTATTTTTAGCGGCGTATGAATCCACATGTCTATCTATGTCAACATTAATTCACTCAGTCTGTTTCAATTGCACTTTGTCATATTTTGCTTTTATCAATACAACTCTTTCACCTCGGCCAACAGGAAAGACTTTTTTGGGGGATATTTCAAGAACCAACGATTCCACTCAGGGTTTTTACCCACAGACACTCTAATTCCTCCTGCCGAACTAACAATCATAGAACTGACTATGGTAATTTAATTACATTACTGTCAATCCTGGGGCTCTCTTTTTTTTTTTTATCCCATCTTCTTTTTTCTCGCTCTTGACTGGATGTCACATGACTGTATTTCCACTAAATCACATACAGTAGAATCGTCCAACATGATCGTTACAGAAACTGACCTTCCTTGAAGCGAGGTATGTCATTCCTCTGGCCACCTGGTACGCAGCAGATACCAGCTCCCTGATCTCCAAACTGCCCAAAGAAGCCTGCCTGGAGCCGCTCCAGTACTCCAACCCGACCGGTCGACGGGCACGGAGGTACTCCCTCAGGTTACCCTGTGAGGCGTACTCCACCACCACATACAGAGGGCCTGACAGAGACGCACAGGAGGCGGAGGTGTCATCTTTAACGTCTGTACAACTCACATCACCACCGACCAAGATCCACACACTCACCGGCCTGAGTGCAGGCTCCCAGCAGGTTGATGATGTTCTTGTGTTTGCCAATCATCTTCATCATTTCCATTTCAGAGATCAGGTCAGACAGGTCCTTCTCTGTGGCGTCCGCTGCACACAACAACAAGTGAAGTCAGTAAGGTGTCTTTCTCTGGCGAAATGTTTTATATGGAACAGGAAGGGGAGAAAGGGTTGGGATCGAATCTTCTTAATGATACCGCTAAAATAAAGTGTCGGGGATGGATCAATAGCACTTCACAGAAGAAAACAACTTGATAAAGACACTTAGCAAATTAATAAACTATTAGAAACACTGAATGTCAATATTTTACTTCAAATCAAGAAGATTATGTTTTAGGAAAACACTCTCAAAAGAATCTATTAACTTTAGCAGCTGAAGTTTTAGATGTAGAAGTCCGTCCCTTTCGTATCCGCCCCATGGGATGTTATTTTAGAAAAAAATATGTTCAGTAGTCAACAACGAGAGGCAACTAATTTTTTTTTTTTGTGTGTATCTCGTTTGAATTGTGCCTGTGTCCTGAATTACACACTCTGTCAATTTAAAAGATCATTTTGTCTGTCAAGAACGTCGCAGTTTGCCGTAAAACTGTAAAGTAAAATTTAGTTTTGTGTGAAACGGCTCAATGAACTAAATCTCTCGTCTCGCACTAATATATCTCTATCTCTATATCTATATACACACACACACACACACACACATACATACACTATACAGATTTGTATTAGTGACTAGCTCATGATCTGCAAAGCGTAATGACTGTCCTGTATATTGTGGTGTAGTGTGCTATTCCTTCTATTGTTTTGTGTTGACCTTTGTAATGACCTGCCTGGGACTACAGATGAAAATAAGACTTTGGCTAAACCTGCCGTATTTACATTGATGCAAAGCTGAAATGTTCATTATTGTGCACTGTCCCTTTTAACTAAATAAATAAATTAAATATAAAAATAAAATAAACAAACATATATAGAACAAACATAACATTTCTGGGCAGGAACAGGATGAACAAAACTCCTACATCACCACAAATACAGGTGTGCTTTATTTCATGTCTTTGGTTAAACGAAGAAGACGAAGACAATTTAAAAAGTAACACTCACCTTTCAGCATCTTCACAGCTACCTTTGTGAGGCGAGTGGGTTTATTTTTGTCGATCCCAACAGCCTCTGCCAGAACCACCTGACCAAAACAGCCTTCTCCCAGCGGCTTCCCCAGAGTCAGCCTGAGGAAAATCACACACAGCAGACATATTACTACCAAGTCAAGTAGCATGCTTTGGTTAACTGGTGTGTAATGTATAAGTTATCACTGCAAATAATCCAAAGTGCTTTACAGGAATTCAAGGACTGAAACTATGAATCCAAACATATGCAGGCACATAACACAGCTACAGACAAACAAACAGGTATGTTTTAAGTACTTCTCTGAAATCACAGTCAGGAGGCAGCAAATAACAAGAAAGCCATCAGAGAGAAATGACTGAAACACGCTCCTGACCTTTACCTCGAGACAACATTATGATCCTGATTTAAGATGTAACCCATTACTTATGCCATTACAAAGGCTATTTTCCTCTACAAGTATAATGTTGGCATGCCAACCCCTGAAAATGGCAATAAAAATAAAGCCGCAAAAAAAAAGGGAGGCAGGGAAATGTGATACTTCTGTCCTTGACTGAGAAATTACTAAGTGGGCGTTCAGACTAAAAAGAGACCTGCGGAAAAACAACAAACATGCAAGAAGCTGCGGAGGTGGGGGAGTGTTATCTCAGGTGAGACTAAAATATGATCAAGGGCTCAAATCTGCTACTTGCAAGCTGCGATTTGCACCGTGAGATAATTTCCTCTTGCTCTTTTTGACATGTTCCACCAATCAAAACAAAAATCTAAATGACAATTTTGTTCTGTTAACAGATCAATGAGTTTCAAGGTTTTTATTACAGAGGCCGCAACTTTTTTACAACTCTGGAAAATGATCACAGTGGCAACTGTTTTACCTTCTTTGTGACTAGAGCTGCAACGATTAATTGATTAGTCGATCGAAAGAAAAGTTAATTGTCAACTTTTTTGATGATGGATAAATCGTTTTAGTGTGAAACATTTGCAGGTTTCATCTTCTTAAATGTAAGGATTTGCTGGTAAATGAAGAGTCTTTGCTTTTTGGACGGTTTGTTTGAAAACGTCCCTTTGGGCTGTAGGAAAATTTTGAGGAGCATTTTTCACAATTTTTGGACATTTTATAGACTAAACAATTAATCAACAAAAATAATCCGCAGATTAATCGATGATGTGAGAAATGAGAGGATTTTACAACTCTGTAAAGTTAGCACGGTGGAAATCGTTAACTTTCTTCATGATGACTGCAAGATAAACAGCAGAAATACAGTGTTCACGTTATCTCAAGGAATGTGATCTTTTGAAACAAGACTTTTGTTCTGTTCTGTATTTTAAGGAAGCAGCGAGGGTTGAGGACGGCCACACAAGTAGGAATGAAATTAGAAAGTGGTAGAAACCTTTCTGACGATCTACTGGCGGCACTTTTATAGCCACTTGGTAGACAGATAAAATTTGTGATGTTACCCAAAGTAACAGAAGACGGGACTAAATAAAGGGTGTAGCCTTCAGTGTAGGGTGGACCACCGACAAACTCACTAAATGCAGAAAATTACAAGTGAAATAAATCACTTTATCATTAAGTTTGAAAGGAACATGGGCACGCAGATACGAGAGCTTTATAAGAAGTGTGTTTTTAGGACATAAATAGCGTTGAACCTTCAGATTCTTGCTGCATGACGGACAGTGAGTGGGTGAGACAGGTTGTACGTTATATAGTGTGCCGTACCTGTCGCGAGCCAGCTCCCACACAGGATCGTAGGGAAGCTCGTACTCTGACACCCCTGCCAGGATGGTGGTGGCGGCGCTGGAGAGACGAGACTGACGCATCAAACACATCCCTGACTGGAGGGAGGACGAGGACTCGACTGACACCTGCAGAGGGAGGAGAGAAGATGTGAGAGTCTTTATGACCTCATGCAACAACAAGGACTCCGAGTCCGTTTTTTTTGTCTTTTAACTTCTGATCGCCTTGTGCCAACACGTTACTGCGACAGGAAGCTAATTTTAACAAACTTTTGCATCACTGCTTCTTTATTTATTCATAGTAACAGTGAGACAACAGCACATCAAGCAGGAAGACATTAGCCGTTTTACTAAATACTACTAAATATAACACTCGCCACTACGCCAGTGTTTCCAATTTAAATAAATGTACAGCAGGCTGCATGAACCGATCAGAGCAGATACTGTCGACTTGTAGTTGTTAGAGCCAGTAATAGCAACAGGAAGTTAAAAGACAAAAACAGAAAACTGAACAAATGAGAAAAATAGTTTAGTAGTGGTAAGGTGAGACAGACGTGTTACCTGTCTCCTCAGAGGAATGCTTTTGGCTAACTTTTGGACCGCTAACTGGCTGCTGAAGTCGCTCTTCTTCGGTGCACAGCAGAGTCTGCAGATGACTGCTGTGGCTGTGAGGATGATGATGATGAAAAACCCAAGGCAATAGATGAAGATCTCCAAGTATGTCTGAGAGGGCAGCGCCGAAGGGGGCAGGTCTGACATCAGAGAAATTAGAGCACAGACATCAGCAGACCGTCAAGTCCTCAGGGTCACGGTCATGTTGTAGATCATTTCTGAGCAACATACCATCGACGACGGTGAGCCACGCAGAATGATGGGAGACTCCGATAGAGTTTCCTGCCAGGCAGGTGTACTCCCCAGCGTCGTTCAGACTTACGTTCCTCAGAGTCAAAACCTCCATTTCTTTATCCGTTGTGTTCAAACCTGCCGTCTGGAATAAAGAAAGATATGTGACATGAAATAAAAATGAAATGTGAATTAAAGAAAAGTGTGTAGGCGGATGTGTTCTTTCAAAGTAAGTAAAGTTTTAATATAGTCTTTACAAGAGTAAAATAAAAATGAAGCCGTTAGAGCTGCAACATTTAGTCGAACTATTATCGCCAACTATTTTCTCTGATTTCAGCTTCCTCTTACAGTTTTTTTTGATTGCTTAAACACATTTCTTGAAATTATGCCTCTTTTTCTCGAAAACACAAATCCACAGCTTCTCACCAAATTCCCCAAACATCCTATTTTCAGGTCAGAATGAAGCTTTCCACTCAAAACCATTCAATCTTGCTGAAAAACCAAAATTTGCCCTCAGACATAACACACAAGCCCTTAGAAATACACACACACACACACACTACAACACAGTCTGACACACTGGTGTGTATTAAATTCAAAACAATACTACAAAAACTGGTTATTAGAAATGTTGCTTATGGTTCTCCTTTTCACATGATGAACACAACAAAAGGAATAACAAATGTAAACATTAGCACATTTTTTATTCCTTTGCGTGCTGTTCAGTTCAACACACCAAAAAACTAATTATTCTGCCACAGCGTCCTGTCCTGGGTCTGAGACAGGCCAGAGATTCTTGTTCTCCTCCTCCTCCTGCTCTGCCTCCTCCTACTTCTCACCTTCCTCCTATCCCATCTCCTCCTTCAACTCCTATTGTTCTCCTTCCTTCACCTCTTCCTCCTCTCCATGCTGTGTTTCCTCCTCCTCCACCTCTTCCTTCAGATTTCTCTGGATCCATTGTTCCAAAACTGAATGAACTGACTCCGGCCCTTTTATCTACTGAATCTTCTGATTGGTGTGTTTGTGTTTCCACCTGGGTAGCTGTGTGCTAATTGGGCTCAACCTGTGCTGATTGAGTGAACAATAGCAAATGTAAGTGTTTTCTCAATGACTACACGGTGTAGGCAATGAGAAATGAAGGGATTTGTGTGTAGAGTTTAGAGAAAATTGAGTTATGGTTTTTAAATTTTTGTTCAATAGTCTGCTTATAGTGTTTAAGCAATTGAGAAAAACTGTAAATTTGAATATTTTCTAGTTTCTTTCCTCCTCTATCACAGTAAACTGAAATTTTTTCACAATTTTCAGAAATTTTAACGCCCAAACAACTAATCGATTAATCATGAAAAATGATCGACAGACTAATCGACAACAAAAACTAATAGGTAGTTGCAGCCCTAAAAAGCCAGAGCATTATAAGAGACAACAATAAAACTGGTGTTACTTTCAACAAATCCCATGAAGAGACCCAAACCAACAATATGTTAGTTGTGTATATTAGGGCTGAATTTTCAAGTCTTGCCTATAGTTGACTGAATCACGTGTGTCTGTGTGGCGCATGCGGGGGGGGTGTTACACACAGAAGCTGCAGAGCTGTAATCTCTATTTCATGCTTTTACATCTAAAATGAGGCTTTTTGTTGACCATTTTCTGCTCGCCTGCCATTCACCGGTCTTGTGCAGGGTTGCGTGCCGTTGGGCCGACAACTGCGTGCAAGTCGTGGTTCCTCGTGGGTCTATTTCAAAACAATCTAATATTCTTTGTTTGGTTCATCAATGGTGATAAATGATCAGAACGTCCCGTGAGGTGCGGACATGTCGGCACAACACCGGCGAAGCTGGCGCTCCGTCTCTTCAGCACATACCGACACACACGCACGCTACGTCCCCTTCCTTAAGGGTTAGGGTTACAATTTTGCATTTATTCACTTAAAATCCTTTATTAAAAGCTTCTTTCTTTTCACATTTTTATTTGCAGCATTATATGTTGATATTTATTTTGTAATAGGCTGTATATTAACTTATTGGGAGAAAACTGGTAGTTCTATCAGACGTTGAGCACCCCCATATCGCCAAAATGGTATGATCCTCGTTTCATAACGCCGCTGTGAAGCTTCGACTGTGAGATTGACAGTCGAATCAGAAGAATACTGCAAGCTAGTAAACATGGATGTAAACAATGCAGGATTGAAAATACTCAAACAAATCAGCTCTGCAAATGTTTTCTGGAGAACATGTTTGTTTGACTTCAGGGATACACACATTGAGTTTTGTTTGTTTACAAGAAAAGTTCACAGGGCAGCTGTAAATGTTAGATCCAGCTGTGCATAAAATAAGCAGAGTTCTGGACACAATCCACTGAAAACAATGAAGGTGCTTCTGCATGAATCACTGCGTTTGTTTTTTGATTAATCTTTGTCATTTGTGTATTTCCCAATGCTATTGTGCACCCCTACGGTACACTTTTTAAAAGGTCATTTCAGGTAACTGGTACCAAACTTTGCTAAAGTTATGCAGGACTCTGCACACTGGTGCTGCTGACATTTAAGGTTCAGAAATGAGTAACTAACTGATGAGAGTCTGTTTTATAAATGTCTCTTTTTATCCTCCAATCACCAGACATTCATTGTACTCAGCCTTTCTTGTGAAAGGGAACATAATAATACGTGCAAAGGCTCTTGGCTACATGCCAGACACAACAAACCACAGTGGCGTGTCTTTCATCATGAGTCCACAATCCATCACAGATGTGGTTTTACTCTGCTCAGTCTGAGAGATATGCAACCAGTCTCATGCAATATAAAGACATGCTGAACCACCACTAGTGGAGGTTATAACAAATACACATTACTTTTATGTCTGAGTCACTCCAGACTTCTTACACGTCGTCATGTTGACATGATGCAGCCACACAGTTTTAAAAATCAGGGTATATGTGCGGCAGCTTACTGTGTTTTAGAATCAAATTTAAAGCGTATTGTTACCAATAATATTCCAGGTCCATCTCTAAGTTTGAGCGTTTAGTCCTTTCTAAGTTGCACCATTAAAACTTAAATATCTTGCTATGAAATATCCGTAGAGCCAACAAGCCATGTTGAATTTCTCTTCATTTCTGGTGAAACACTAGATCATTTTATCTCTTCAGGCTGATGATTCAAATAAAACAAGGCAGGAAAAAAAAAAAAAAAAAACTATCACTCTTCAGTTAAACTTGTCACTTTTAGTAGACAGGTGCAACCGGTTAGGAGGGTCGCAGGTAGACACTGCTTCCTTTTGGAGGGGTCACGAGTCAAAACGTTTGGAAACCAGAGTGAGAGGGAAACATCCAGACTTTATTTGATCTTTTTATTGTATCATAATTTGAGGTATATTGTGTTATTCTGTAAGAGAAAGTCTTTATAATCTGTGATCTTATCTTTGGGTTTCAAACTGCTGGTCAACGTTTGAGACTTTGGACTTTAGGAAACTGTTCACTCTTTTATAGACCAAACAAGTACTCAACTAACCAGGAACGTAATAGGCAAGTTTACTAAAACGTTTGCAGTTACACGTGTCTGTTACTGGGTATAAATATATTTTAGTTTAGGGAAACAAAAGTGGTATAACTACACACAAACCTTGAGAACAAGGACGTACGGGTGTCCGTCTGGCGCCTCTCTGCTGCCGTTGACGGTGATGTGTTTGAGCCACTGGATGTGAGGCTGCGGGTCACTGAACACCCGACACACAAACTCCACGTTACCGCCAACAACTGCAGTTTGGTTCGCCGGCAGACCCGCCTGCAGGATCGGTCTGTGAGGAGAACGCTCTGGAAAAGAAAGTTTGAAGAATGTAAGAGGTGCCCAGCAACACATTTGGATAGTCAGTCCACAGTCGAGCTAAATTACACATATTTCTCTCTCCATTTCAGCCCTCTGTCCACACCACACTGGTGTGTTTCAAACCGTCTCGGCGATGTCATAATGATTTCATCGATGAAATCAGTGGGGAGAACAAGTCTTTGATACACAGCTGATTTTGCATGTTTTCCTACTTACAAAGCATGTAGAGGTCTGTAATTTTTTATCATAGGTACACTTCAACTGTGAGAGACAGAATCTAAAACAAAAATCAAGAAAAAAAAATCACATTGTATGATTTTTAAATAATTAATTTGCATTTCTTACCAACTACATCGAGCAGGTAGGTGTGTTTCAGACTCCCGTGTTCATTCTCCACCACACAGGTGTAGTTGCCTTTATCAGATGGAACAACTGACTCCATTATTAGAGTCCACATGTGGTCTCGGATCTGAAAGATTGAGGATAGAAAGAAATAAACCAATTAAAACAACGGGTTGAACCTCTTGTCCGTTTCTCTTTACAAGAAAGGCCAAAAACTCACTTTGAACCCTCCGATTCTTTGGTCCTTCCTGAAAACTTTCCCGTTCTTGTACCAGCGCAGGGAGGGAACGGGGTTTCCAGTTGCTTGGCAGCGAAACTTTACAGTCCTACTGGCTGGAACAGCGTGCAGCTGCTTCTCCATCTTCTCTGGCATCACCCACTGCGGCGCCAGCGCTAACGAGGAGTCACAACGAGGTAAACACCATGATTACAATCGTTTTTCTTGATGTCATGTTTTTAAACACAAAAACAAAAGAAAGACAAAACCAAAAGTTTGGGGCTTACACTGGATCTTTTCGTTGCTTGTTGACAATTCATTGGACAGTTTATTTTCCTCTGAGGATGACTCATCGTCTTCTTCGTCTTCAGACGATTTAACTGCGGCTACAAAAAAGGTTAAAAGGTTTAAAAGCTGCTCAGAAAATTGTGCTGATGTTTGCAAACAGGATTTTAGGGCTTCTCACTGGGAGTCTCAGATGTTCCCTCCAAGAGATAATGAAACCAGTTTGTGGATTAACCTCTAACCTCTGACCCCGGCGCTGTGAATGAGCCTTTAAGCTGTCCTACTCAACAGCCGGGGCAGACAGGAGCTGTCGCCACAGGACAGTACTACACCCAACCACTTCCGAAACTTCAGAGACCTCCTCCTTATCTGCCCCGGCCATTAACAGCATGCAAACAAAACACACATCCCTCCAGTCCTTCCCTGCTAAGGGACTATACCAGAATAAATGGAGGGGGGAGGGGGCTTTTTAAAAAAAAAAAGCAACCCCCTCCCCAGAGTTATGAATATTTACTTTCAACCCTTTCTTTGACTGACTGAAAAACTGCAATACCACCCAAATCTGTTGGCAACAGTATGAGATATTCATGGTATGATTATCGTCTGAAAATGTATTAAATGTACTTAAATGATTTTATATAGGGTTTTTGTTAAATTGTTATTTATTATGTACGCTGCTGGACCTGGGAAACAAATATCATTCTTTCATGTTTTACATGGTTGAATGACAAACAAACTTTAAAATATCACAGCTTCACAGTAGTAAAACTTGTTTTATCATTAATAAACAGCATAAATCATTTAAAATTGTGCAACTAAGCTTAAACCTAAAAAGGATCATTTCTGTATTTTTAAACTGGGGACCTTTCTCTTCCCCCCCCGACATGTTGCTTCAGCCGGCAGCTGAACCGGCCCGGGTGGCTGCAACGTATTCCTTTGGGGCAATTATGCACGCCAAAAATGGCGTCCACAAAAAGGTCAGTGTGTTGTCTTCCTGCAACAATTCGCCACTCTCGGGAAAGATGTGAAATTATTTCTCAATAAACACTGAAAATGTTCCAACAACAGCAAGTGTTCACAATCAAAGTGATTTTTGCAATTGCCAAATTTGTGGCAGGCTAGGGTTTCTTGCAACTAACGATTATTTACATTAAAAATTAATAATTTGGTCTCAGAAAATAGAGAATAATATCCAGCACAGTTTCCTAAAACCAGGTGTCAGAACCAGCCAACAGACTAACACACACATATTCAGTTTACAATATAAAAACAGAAGAGCAGTTAATCCTCAAATTAGAAAAGCTGGAACCAGAGAACATTATATTCCAGCTACTTTCTATTTATTAATCTATTTACTTTTTTATTTTTTATTTTTTTAAATAAAAAAGGGACAGCGTACAGAAAAACACTTGATCCCATTTGATGCACTGAACCAGATTATAGCTTCAAGATAATTCACATCTGCAGTCCCTTGGTAGGTCATAGTTAAAAAACACCACAATAATAAGATAAAAAATACAAATGAATTAGTTTTAGCCTGACATTTCTGTCATAATCACACCAATTACATGACGTGCCAGTGGATGACATTAAACTAAGACAGTGAACATGATAGGCATTGTAGCAGCTAAATGTTAGCATGCTGATTTTAGCATTTCTCTCAACACACCGCTGTACCTACAGACTCACAGAGCTGCTAGCATGGCTGCAGACTCTCAGTCCAGATAATCTCATATCCATAAAGATTCTGTTTCTCCAGCTGACATCTTGGTCCTATTAGCTAGTGAGGAGAAGAAAAAGCCCTAATACAGGGTCAGGACTGTTCTGATATGTTTTATGACCCATTGCCCAACACCAGCGCCATAATTTGTAACATGTGTGATTCCTTTGTTTTTTATTAATCTTTAAAAAAAGTCTGTGTTAAGGAAAAAAAAATATATACCCCGTCCTCCTCTTCCAAAAAAAATAGTCAGACTACCCTCCCTTAAGAAAAACAAATACTAATTTTCAGTGTTTCTGGCCTTAAATCATGTTGAAGGTGAACAGGAGAGGCCATAGTTAAAAAAAATAAACCACTGTGTCACATGCAAAGCTGGGAATCCCTGTAAAACCTTGTGTTGTGGTACTGAAAATATAGATATAGCAAATGTGCAGCTTCTGTTACACATCAAACAGTTTATAAAAAGGATTAAACAGGGTTGGGTTTTAGGGATGCCTTTTTTTATGTAGAGTTTTTGAGTATAGTTCGTGGCATTTACGGGAATATTTTACGTTAAACTGGTTTTATCCTCAGTCTTAGAAAGCGGAGAGTGTAAAGGAGGGAAGTGGTTTAAATTTCAAAAGACCAAAACCTTCATTTGGGAGAATACAACAGAGAGTGAGGTGGGAAATTGAAAGCATGCTTTGTTTATGACAGGAGACTGCAGCAGAGAAGGCTAAATTTGATGTGTTCTTGATTTAGAGAAAAACAAAGAATTTATGGGCTCAAAAACAACAGTATCACATAGACACACTCAGCTGGAGTCCAGATGGTTGGAACAAAAAAAGACAAACACACACAGGGAAGGTATATCCATGCATATGCACACGAAGACAAATACTGGCAGGAGTTTGAATGTTTTCTGAAAAGAGTTTCTTGTGTTTCTGTCTGTGAGAGTCTGAGTGGCCGTAACACACCAGACTGTGTGCATGTGTTAGTGTGTCTGGACAGGATATACAGACCATAACCAGCACCCTGAGAGCCAAGCCTCAGTTACACCAATGAAATATCACTTTAACCAGTTTCAGATGCCTCAAAGCCAAAAACAGCCAAACCTTGAAAAAGTCACTTTCCTATTAAAGAAATTCGCTCATTGGAAAGTTTTATAGCGTTTTATGTAATAAAAAACACCAAGACCACAGCTGACATGAAAGGGCCCTCGAACAAAAGAGAGGAGCGAAGACCTCAAACAGCTCACACACACACACCAGTAAAAACAAGGCAAAAATCACACCAGCAGCACCAGCAACTGTTAATGTTATAGCAGTCTACAGAGGCAGAGGGACATAATGAAGTAAGTAATGAAGTGTTTTTATATTGAAAACGTTCAAATCACAGGTTTCACAGAGATTTTAATCATAACCTGAATAGGAAAAGCAGATTATTAAAAATGGCAGCAGGGTTTTTTTCTGTAAATCAATTAATTAGGCTAACAAATTGTCTCAGCATTAGTCTGACTTACTAGTTTGAACTGGGAACCTCCAGGTCTGAAAAGTAAAGCTAAGGTGCCTTAAACCTGCATTCTTTCTAATGCCCAGCAGGGGGCGACTCCACTAGTTGCAAAAATAAGTAACTGTCTTGTAGCTTATAGAAAATGTTTCTACTTCTCATCTGATTTATTCCCTCAGTAATCACTTTCCTGATGAGTTTATGGTCTCTTATGGTCGCCGCTGAAAAAGCGTATTAAGAGTCGGCTGTTCACTTTCTCTGATGAGACATTTAGTTTTAAGCCTGTTGTTCTGTATACAAAATTATCAGCCCTGTTAAAATGACAGTTAACCTGAATTACAGATGCACCTAGCTTAGCAAGCTAGCTAGCTACACACACGGCCTTTAGCTCCACCGTCTCGTCCAAATATGGTCACGTCCGGTGCTGCTGGCTGCAAATAAAATCAACATGGCGGCGCCCTATCAGCCAAACTCGATGCTTGAAACTACAGTCCACAAACCAACGTGTGACGTCACGACGCCAAAATCTACGTCCACGTCTTTTATACAGTCTATGGTTTAAACCCTGGGAGGCACCAGCTGTATTTTATGTGATTCTGTTCATGTAAAAACAAAAGGTGATTATGCTTTGATGCAATCTTGTTCAACAAATACAGGCCTGGCATTTAAAGCTGCGTTGTACTGATCAGGAAAAAACAAAAAACCACACACACACTTTGATATTTTTTCCTAAAATCGTTCAGCTCTCAAACAGAAAAATACTTCTGACATTCACACTCATACAGACATCTGTGAAGCATCTTACCTGTGTCAGTGTCCTCTGTGGCCGGTCTGGACTGAACCTGAGGAAACTGGACCAGCAGAACCAGCAGGACGCATGGCAGCAGCAGCAGGAAGCAGCGGGGGGAAGACATTGTGTCCTAACACATCAACTTACTGGGTCTTCCAGACTGGGAACACACTGCAGCAAGTGAACAGAGACAAATATAAAATTAGAGTCACAAGAAGACAAGCAGCCAGAGGACATCAGAGGAAAAAAAAAAAAGAATATTCCCTAAAATATGATCCAGTCTGAAAAGTGCAGCCAATGCTGTTCATTTTTCTGGTAGGTACATTTTATTTTAAGCCCTTTTCAAACCAGCCAAAATTAACATCCCATTTACAATCACAGTTAACATGAATTATGGATGCACCTTCCTAACCAGACTTGCTGGCTACACACTTTTTTCCAAATACGATCACATGTGGTTACAAAAAAAAACAAGATGGCGACGGCCAAAATACCAAACTCTAGGCTTCGAAACGGTAGCCCACAAACCATGTGGAGACGCATAGTGCCAGGTGTGAACTAACATACCTTGAGCTGCCCACTGGTCCTCCTGCCCTAAATACTCACTACAGCACCAATGTGAATTATTCAGCCACTGAAAATAGTCCCCAACAATGTCCTATTAAATGTATATGTGTTAAATGAAGATATTTGGATGGTTCAAGTAAATGTAGACATCGCTCCATTTAAGTCAACATATTACCAGCATTTTACGCGGTATAATAACAGAAATCTGCATTACAGCACTACAAAGAGAAAGAAAATGTTTATTGTCTGACTTGCAGCAGCTACACACTTTGGTGATCTTGTGACTTGGAAGTTCAATGTTGAATGGATTTACAAACCTTCTCCAGCTGCTGTGGACAACATCAATTTTATTTCTCAAGGAAAAACATCGCACCATCATCTCCGATTGCTGCTTCTTACAAGGTGAGAAGTTTCTGCTTTTTTCCTTTTATCTTATCTATATTTTGGACGTTGTTTGGACAAAATAAGCACTTTGCAGATTGCTAGGAATTCCCTCCAGGGTCTACACAAAGTCTGGATAGCTCCAGCTCCCCTTTCCTTCAGGTGTGAAGGAGTTCAAAGTTAAATGTAGACTCTCCCTGACATATAGCGACTCTCCAGACCAACTCATTAGGGAAGCAGGTTTAAGAACAAGATCTGGGCGAAAGCCGGCTTCCAGCACTGCAATCAACCAGCCAAAATGTTCTCTTTGGATCAGAGACAATCATTGGCAATCCCTGCATCGGAAGAAACCCAGACATTTCCACACTTCCCTAAGTCCACTCTTAGCGAAAAGAACCTTAATACAGGATGTAGGAAGAAGAGCTAAATCCGTAAAGCTTGGAACTCAAGGTTCCTGGACAAGATGGGACCTCCCTAAGAGACCCATCAAGTGGAGTGAACTGTGTTGGTTGGAGCCTTTTTGTATTTTCTTTTTTGACACCCTCCCGACCACTGGTCAACTTGCACAGGTGGGGAGGACCCCCCTCTGTGGAGCTAAAGGAACCATGGCACGAGCTAAAGGAACCATGGCACGAGCTAAAGGAACCATGGCACGCATCCAATCAGGGTGTAGAACTGCTTTTGATGCAGGGAAGATCCAGGTGGCGCCATGACAAGGTGTTGACAACGCTCAGATATCTCCAATCATCACCTTTGGAGGGTCAGAGGCTGCTGAGAAAATGGTCGGTACTAAAAATAATTTGTGGTTCCCTCACAAACGTAAATGGGAACAACACGCCTGCACCAACATCGCAACATGCTAATTCAGTGTTTTCTCACAGGCTGCTCACACTTGTGCAGCTGTTTCTCTGAGTAGTGAAGGCATGGTGATGTGGACCCATAATCCTTCAACACTCTGGAGTCACCCCCCTCCCCTGCTCATTTAGCTCACCTGTGACTCCTAAATATCTGTAGTGTCAAACAAAACAGTGCAGCAGTAAATCACATGTGCACGCTGCCTAAAACAAACACGGACGGACACCAGCACCATTTGCTGCATGTGTCACCTGAAGGTGCTCCTCCTCCCCTTCTGGTCAAAACATTATCTTGGTATGGGAGCTGAAGAGACCCAAATACAGCCGGGCCAATACTATGTTTTTGACACCGATAACCTAAACAACAACATATTGGTGAAAATGTCCCCCCTATTAAATAAGCCATCTCCAGCTGCTGTGGACAGCAATTTTTATTTCAATTTCTTAAGGTAAAATGTCTCATGATTTGTGGTTGCAGCTTCACCAAGGGGCTTTTCTGAGTTTTATATCAAAGAGGATAAATTTTATCTTTATATTTTCTGAGCTGTTTGGAAAAAATAAGTCATCTTACAACCTAAACAAGTACTTAATCAGAAAAAATACACATTATTTAAGTAATGAAAATAATCATTGGTTGCCGCCATATTCCGAAACCTCAAGTACTGAACATGCTATAAATAATCTATCATGACACTGTGGCTTCCTGATTGTTTGTAAATGGCTAACCCGTCTCTATTCCTACAGTAAACAAATGAATACCAGAGCAGATTTATCAGTCTGGCTCCAGAGAAGACATTAACTTCAGCTGGAAAGTGACTTGAACATTGAAGGAGGAATAGAGGACAGTAAATGCAGTGGGACACTCGTCATCTTATGAGCCTCATAAACAAGATGAACACTGCTTGGCTGCCATCGCAGAGCCCCTCAGCTTGTACTCTCTCCAGCTCTGAAAATCAGACCATTACAGAGGACGCAGGGTCTGTCCTTCGTCTTCATGCTGCACAGAGTGTGCAGAGCATGTGCATGTGGTTTGAGGGTGGCGTCCCCGAGCGTGATGAGCATTTCAGCGGAGCGTGCCAGGTTTATAAAGACATACATTACACATATAGAGTAAAACACTTAGATTAATTAGGCTTTTGTGAACATTAAGGAGTTTTATGTGAAAGTCAGGCTGCTGCACACGAGAGCCCTTCACAAAAACCTTCATGTGGACAACGTTTTCTTGTTTTACACACAAATGTGAACCGCTTCTCCAAACGCATTCTGGAAAATACAGCAGCGTGTCTCCCTCCCACATATAAAACACAAACATATTCAGCAAACACACTGGCAGTGAAGAGATTCACATACAACACCCTGCACCAAAATGATAGCTGCCATTGTTCAGAGCTAGATTCAGAGCAGGTTTTTAGCTTATGACAGTTGTAACAGTACAGAAAAGATGTGTTTGAGGTCATTTAGAAACAGTTTGTCCACCAGAGAGCACCAACAACTCAGTCAGTCAACTGTAAAATTACCTGCTCACTACATTTCTTGGTCTGGGGCAGCAAATATGGATTATTTTTATAATCAGTAAATCTGCTAATTGTTTTCTGGACTAATGTAAGAAGTCAAAAAACTGAGAATGCTTAATTAGCTTCAATTTACTTTCATAGAAGAAAAGGAAACTCAAATATTCACATTCGATAAACCACAACCAAAGAAGACTTGCTTCATGTCCAGCATAATTTATTCACTTCTCTGTTTTTGTAACTTTTTAGATCTGACTAGAAAATGCGTCACTATCAGTACACAGACTCTCACTAACAGGATCGGTAAAGTACTTCATAGGTTATTTTCTATTTCTGCAAATCCTTCAATCCTCTCACACTTTTAATAACAAAACTTCTGTCACTTTCCTCCACCCTGTCTGTTCACCTTCCCGTGCTGAAGCCCTCACCTACACACCAGATTCTACAGCAGGCTGGCAGCTCTGAATAGTTGTCATACTAACACACACATCTACTTCTGCCACCCATCCATCCGAGCTGGAAAACGACATTCAGCGAGTGCCAAACAGGAAGAGATGCATATTTTGAACGCAGCATGCTGCATATCTCATGGAGAGTTCATAAAAGGAACAGGAGGATAAAGAAGAAGAAGAAGAAACCGTACTGGCCTGAGTGTCGCTGAGCATTTCAAATGATAATGTAAACAGCAGAAAGTGATGTATGAAGAATAATAAACAAATAAGAGATTTAGAGAATGGGTTCCTGGTTTGTGCTACAGGATAACCACCTATGGGGAGTCCGAGTGGAAAATGAGTCAGACTCTTCATGCACACTCCACATATTTTGAATTAACAGCCTAGCAGAGGCAGATTACTATCAAATCAGTGTGACAGTAACCGTGAACTGTAAAATTCATTAACCACGCTGCTGCTGGTAAATGCCGGAGCGGAAGATACTGAGCTCTTACATAGTATGACACATACCCTATTTAACTCACCTGAAGGGTATTTACAATGACAGAAGTATCCTTATCATTTACTTAAGAAAAGAAACTGGCTAAAACGATGGAGTCATTCTATATAATAAGGACATTAACTTTTGATACTCCAAGTACATTTTGTTTCCAATACTAAAGCAACATTTTGAATATATGACTTTTACCTGTAATGGACTATTTTTACTATTCTTTTTAAACTTAACTATTATCTAAATGGGCTACTTCTTCCAAACACTGGTTACTTAACAAATTGAGATTTTACATGCAAAGCTTATAAAATATTATGCTTTTTTATAGATTAAACTACCCAACTGTGTATAAAATTGTTAAAATTAGCTCCACATCGACCAACTATACCAATAAAACGGTACAATAGCATAATAAGTATTACGTCCACATAAGCAATTGTTCCTCGACCAATAGAAGATAAGATAGAACTTTATTTATCTCAAAAGGGAAATAGTTGTGTAGCAATTGCAGTACAAAGTAGGTGAGTGCCTAAAGAGTGCAGAAAATATACACAAAGGCAAAACGCTACTAATGTATAACCTCATAATATTATATGATAAGAGTAGATTTAACACTGACATGAGACATTTTCTGCGTTGTGAAACTTTTATTTTTGATACTTTAAAGTACATTTTGCTGGTAACACTGATGCACTTTTAGTGAAACAAAAGCTTTCCATGCTATGTAATACAAAGTCTTCTTTTGCAAAGAAAAGACCCAGAAAAGTAATGCAGCGCACAAACAAAACCGCTCTTTTGCGTAAAACTTGAATTAAAGGTGAAATAGAGCCGTAACGTTACCTTTATATTTAAATCCACAGTCAAGTTGTTTTATATCCGAGGACGTGGAGGCAGAGTCGGTAGTTAAATCAAAGGTTGTTGGTTTATCCGGCCGTAACGTTACGTGAGCAGCGCTGCAGTTTAAAAACTGAAAACAACTTTTCCCGACTCCTAACACACCTCATTAGACAGCCTCTGAACCAGACGAGGCGCTTTGGTGATTATTAATGGTTCAAAAATGACTCACGCGGTTCACTTGCCAAAACACATCTCTACGAGCGGGTAGAATAAAATCTCTGCGGTGTTTGAGCCCGAAACGTTTCGCCCCTGGTGAGAAAACGTGGGAAAAGTGCAGCTCATTGACGGTATTGTCTCAATATACACTCGGAGAGAAGAAACGCCTCCAGTGGGAGTTCCCTCCTACACACTAGTGAACCCCCCAGTCGATTAATACCCCAGGGCTATCAATTCATTGACTCCATTTTCCGAGTGGCGTAATCCTGCCTCCCCGCATGTGTCCACCCCCCCTCCCCTTTGTCTTGCAGGAGCAGGAAGGGAAAGGCTTTCCCTTAAGATTCCTGCTGTGCAGGGTCTGGTCATGGTCTGAAGAGCTTCACTATTTAATTCGTTTTTATTTGGTCACTTATTAACAAGTGGTAGAGGAAGTATTCATTTACTCAAGTAAATGTACGAATAAATACCACACTTTAAAAAATACTCCATTTTACAAGTAAACAGTTAATAATGTACTTGTGTAAAATTATGTGGGATACTCAAAGTAAAAGTAGCAGTACAACAATGTAAAATACTTTGTTACAAGTAGAGGTTTACAATTTAAAATACTACTTAAGTCAAAGTACAATATTAAAATTTAAAGTAGCCCAATCATTCTGTAGTAAAATGTCACCTGTACAATATTAGATTGTTAATCGGCCTACTGATGCATGTTAGAGCAGTATTTTACTGTTTTAGCTGCTCGAGGTGGAGCTAGTTTTACATACTTTATATCAGCTTTATATACAGTCAGGTAGTTTTAAATACTTTATACACAGTCAGCTAGTTTTAACTACTTTACAGTCAGTTCGTTTTAACCAGTCAGCTAGTTTTAATTACTTACAGTCTGCTAGTTTTATCTACTTAAATACAGTCAGCTAGTTTTATCTACTTAAATACAGTCAGCTAGTTTTATCTACTTAAATACAGTCAGCTAGTTTTAATTACTTACAGTCTGCTAGTTTTATCTACTTAAATACAGTCAGCTAGTTTTATCTACTTAAATACTGTCAGCTAGTTTTAATTACTTACAGTCTGCTAGTTTTATCTACTTAAATGCAGTCTGCTAGTTTTATCTACTTAAATGCAGTCAGCTAGTTTTAATGACTTTATATACAGTAAGCCAGTTTTATCTACTTTATACACAGTTTGCTAGTTTGAATTACTTTATACAGTCAGCTAGTTTTACATACTTTATATCAGCTTTTATACAGTCAGCTAGTTTTATCTACTTTATATACAGTCAGCTAGTTTTATCTACTTTATATACAATTAGCTAGTTTTATCTACTTTATATACAGTTAGCTAGTTTTATCAAACAGTTAGCTAGTTTTAAATACTTTATATACAGTCAGCCAGTTTTATCTACTTTAACGTTATATACAGTTAGCTAGTTTAATCTAAACAGTTAGCTAGTTTTAAGTACTTTATATACAGTCAGCCAGTTTTATCTACTTTAACGTTATATACAGTTAGCTAGTTTAATCTAAACAGTTAGCTAGTTTTAAGTACTTTATGTACAGTTAGCTAGTTTTGATTACTTTACATACAGTCAGCCAGTTTTATCTACTTTAACGTTATATACAGTCAGCCAGTTTTAAAGACTTTATATACTGTCAACTAGTTTTAAATACTTTATATACAGTTAGGTAGTTTTCATTACTTTATATACAGTCAGCCAGTTTTAAATACTTTATATACAGTCAGCTAGTTTTAAATACTTTATATACAGTTAGGTAGTTTTAAATACTTTACATACAGTCAGCCAGTTTTATCTACTTTAACGTTATATACAGTCAGCTAGTTTAATCTAAACAGTTAGCTAGTTTTAAGTACTTTATGTACAGTTAGCTAGTTTTGATTACTTTATATACAGTCAGCCAGTTTTAAATGCTTTATATACAGTCAACTAGTTTTAAATACTTTATATACAGTTAGGTAGTTTTCATTACTTTATATACAGTCGGACAGTTTTAAATACTTTATATACAGTCAGCTAGTTTTAAATACTTTATACAGTTAGGTAGTTTTCATTACTTTATATACAGTCGGACAGTTTTATCTACTTTAACGTTATATACAGTTAGCTAGTTTAATCTAAACAGTTAGCTAGTTTTAAGTACTTTATGTACAGTTAGCTAGTTTTGATTACTTTATATACAGTCAGCCAGTTTTAAATGCTTTATATACAGTCAACTAGTTTTAAATACTTTATATACAGTTAGGTAGTTTTCATTACTTTATATACAGTCGGACAGTTTTAAATACTTTATATACAGTCAGCTAGTTTTAAATACTTTATACAGTTAGGTAGTTTTCATTACTTTATATACAGTCGGACAGTTTTAAATACTTTATATACAGTCAGCTAGTTTTGATGACTTTATATACAGTCAGCTAGTTTTAAATACTTTATATACAGTCAGCTAGTTTTAAATACTTTATATACAGTTAGGTAGTAATACTTTATATACAGTCAGCTAGTTTTATCTACTTTATATACAGTTAGCTAGTTTTATCAAACAGTTAGCTAGTTTTGATTACTTTACATACAGTCAGCCAGTTTTATCTACTTTAACGTTATATACAGTCAGCTAGTTTTAAATACTTTATACAGTTAGCTAGTTTTAAATACTTTATACAGTTAGCTAGTTTAATCTAAACAGTTAGCTAGTTTTAAGTACTTTATGTACAGTTAGCTAGTTTTGATTACTTTATATACAGTCAGCCAGTTTTAAATGCTTTATATACAGTCAGCCAGTTTTAAATGCTTTATATACAGTCAACTAGTTTTAAATACTTTATATACAGTTAGGTAGTTTTCATTACTTTATATACAGTCGGACAGTTTTAAATACTTTATATACAGTCAGCTAGTTTTAAATACTTTATACAGTTAGGTAGTTTTCATTACTTTATATACAGTCGGACAGTTTTAAATACTTTATATACAGTCAGCTAGTTTTGATGACTTTATATACAGTCAGCTAGTTTTAAATACTTTATATACAGTTAGGTAGTAATACTTTATATACAGTCAGCTAGTTTTATCTACTTTATATACAGTTAGCTAGTTTTATCAAACAGTTAGCTAGTTTTGATTACTTTACATACAGTCAGCCAGTTTTATCTACTTTAACGTTATATACAGTCAGCTAGTTTTAAATACTTTATACAGTTAGCTAGTTTTAAATACTTTATACAGTTAGCTAGTTTTAAATACTTTACATACAGTCAGCCAGTTTTATCTACTTTAACGTTATATACAGTTAGCTAGTTTTATCTAAACAGTTAGCCAGTTTTAAGTACTTTATATACAGTTTGCTAGTTTTAACTACTTCATAATCTGTCAGCTAGTTTGAAGTGCTTTAAAGTTATAAATAATTAGCTAGTTTTAACTCATTTATATACAGTTCACGTTAACTAGTTTTAACTTCTTTATTATCTACTTTATGTAGTCAGCTACTTTATATAAAGTTATCAGATAAATCATAAACCAAAAACGAAAAGTACTTCAAAACTGTACTTAAGTACAGTAGGCTACTTGCAACTTACAATCACTGGGGGCAGGAAACATGCTATGAGCGGAAGAAGATGCTTAATTTTTTATGTTAGTATTTGTGTTTCATGACGGTTTTTGCACTTGTCTTGCACTTGTTTTTGAGCTTGAAGTAGGCTACTTGAGTAGATGAACTTTGTTACATTCCATTTCCTGTTAAGGAATAATGCAAAACACAATCAGAAATTATTGACTACTTCTGTATTAAATTGTTGCTCGAACTATTAAAACTACAGACATTAACCATGAAGCTCAAATCGGTTTATGACCTAAAAACGAGGCATGCATGAGGGACGAATATCTGAATGTCTCTGTATCACTTTCCTGTGATCATAATCAGCTGTTTAGACTAGCCCTGGTTACATCACCACCCAGCACACACACACACACACACACACACACACACACACACACACATAGCAAATGTCCCACAGATGGACTCCATTGTGAATTCATTGGCAGGCTGGCATAATGTGTGTTTGAGAGTGTCAGGCTGTGAACAATGAATCTGAGTGTTTCTATCTGGGTGTTTGTGAGTGCACAGCACAGCAGAGGGCTGAGACAGAGAACGTATTGTGTGATCCATTCTACCAAACAGACACTTCTACATGGCCTTTCTTTCACCAAATCTCTGTAATTTTGTCCTAACATCATTTATTCATATTCATTTAGCTGAATATTAATATCCAGCGATTTAACAGTGACTGTAAAAGTCTTACACACCCACAAACATGAATCAAATTTCAAGAGGGTGAAAGACACACAAGTTTGGTAATTCTACTGCAGGATCGTTCCCAGGGGCTGTGGAGGAATGTAAGTACTGTACTTTCTTAATTGTACTGTACTTAAATTGGACATACTTAAATTATGCTCCTTTATTCTACTCCACTACATCTCAGGGACAAACATTGTACTTGATACTGCACTACATTTGCCTGACAGCTTTAGTTAGTTACTTTTCAGATTGCAGTTTTTCACATGCTTCCTGTCCACTGAAAACCATGTGTCCCTAAATTGAATCAATGATGATTTAGAATTTGAATTTTTCTGATAAATTCAAGGATGAAGTGAGAATTCTGCTACTCCTTAAGCTTAATAAACTATTTTTAAACAAAACCTTGGCAACTACAACTTAATCAATCAGCATATGATCTATAGTTGTAAAATTTTCAATCTTCTTTTTCACCTCTGCATTTCCCCTTTGCAAAACATCCACCCAAACATCAGAGTCGCTCTATAATTAATGCAAAGGACAACCAGATAAATTGCTTCAAACACCATTGTTGTTTCTTAATCCGTCATCCATCTAATTTGCCTAATCTTTACGGTTCTTCAGATGCCTTGGAAACGCAAACAGAATGCACAGAAGGAATTTCAGTTCCTAGTTTACTTCTTTTGGCTCCTTAGTACCTGTAACTATTTTGTCAAAAAAGGCACAAGCCAAAGACAAAAAAAATCGATCTATCTATCTATGTATCTATGTACAGTATCTATCTATATGAAATGTCAGGGGGTTGCCACCTTAGAAATAATCCTCTGAGGACAAAGAATACAATACTGAATTTCAATGGCAGTTGATGAGCTATGAATTAAGGTTAGACAGACT